CCAATAAATTGTAATTCAGTCCATTAAAAATATTGGTCCCGCTATATGGTGCCAGTGCATCGCAATATGCATGAAACATCGCCCTGCGCAAAACCGCACTGCGCATTCACTATGTTGTGTTGCCTGAATAAATAGCTGTGGCTCGCCGCACCTTTCAATTGGCTTCTTGTACCTCGCTATATTTGGAATGGTTGTGCTAAATATGCCGTGATTTATGATAATAAGTTCGTCTATTATATCAGATATTGTTAGAAACGACGTATTAATTGTTATAATTTATTTTCCCCCTGGCATGGACAGGAAAAATAGTCATACAGTCCCGGACTCTGTCACGTTAGTCAACTTTCAGACTCTGTGTATCGGTACCGGTACAGTTATTGTACCATTCAGCCAATCAACCTTCCGACCTTACCCAGCAGACACTGAGAAACGGCACACGGTCATGATTAGATTATTCATACCAATTCAGCAATTGCAGAAGTCAGGAATTGTGCGTTGAATAATCCTTCAAAAGTTGCCCTCCACTTCCTACGATCTGTCTATATAAATATATTTCTGGCATTATGCAATATGCTAGTTTTCAAAATACCTTTATTCATTTAATAATTATCGGACATAAAGTGGACCTACCGGTATGGATCCGTTTGCTATTTCTGTATTACAGTATTATGTTGGTGGTGTTCTTGTTTTTCTTATTGTTGTTGTGAAAAAATCGCTTTTTTAACTACTAGACCAATTACGGTACTTTGAAATTTTTATCGGTCAAAATTGTACAGTACGGCACAGTTCTTCGGATTAGCCGCTATATCTGTATATATTGGAAATTGAAAAAATGTGTGTGCGTCTTTGAAAAGGGGGGCTTCGGGTGGACGGAAAGCTCAATGCGTGAGAACGTCAGTTGTCTGGACATACGTCACACGTGCAGTTCTCGAATTTTGTTGATTTGATTCACGTTTTTCACCGACTTTATAGTGCTCAATAGGAGTATACTATAACTGCATGTATTTCTGACCCATTCCTAATCAGTTCCGTGTCAAAAATGCAGACGATGCCAGTTAAAATAATGTTGCATAAATACAAAAGTCTGTAAATACAATAATTACTTTTAAAAAAGATCAGAGGATTACAAGAATATGCGTTACGCTGGGAAAATGCAACCGGTGTGTGTAATCGAAAGGAAAGTTATTTAGAGAGTTTTGGCTAGTTGTATGCTAAAAATATGCACTTCCATTCATAGGAGTCGAAATGAGTTGTTTGAAAATTTTGTGAATCTATGAGATAAATTGTCATAGAACAAAATCAGAAGTATGAAATAAAGTTTCATTTCAAAAGTTAAATTTATATTGATAGTGAAACTAAATGTATAAATTAATGAAATGCTGCATCGAGGCATTCATGTTAATGTTTTAGTATGGATTGTTGGTGTCCAAATCTAAATAGAAATCCCCATGTTAGATGATATCGCAATCCATTGTGCATTCGGAAGATTTTAATTCTGAAAAAAACGAAGATGCATTGTTCAATTGTTATCATCACACGTATGGACAGACTGGCGGACCAGAAAAGTTTTGTTTCACTATCAATATAGATTTAACTTTTAAAAATTTCTGTGGGTTCTATGGGATGCGTTTTTCACTAAGAATTTTTGTGTGATGAAGTCATCGAAATTAAAATTATGCACCTCATTTGGTGGTTCTGGTATGACAGTTGAAACAAGTCATTTTGTTACTATCTTGTTTGGGGTCTAAATTTGTTTCTTTCAAGACTAAATGCATCTCATTCGTAATCATGATTAGGTGATTTTTTGTGCACAGTGGTCTTGAACTTTGGCGAACAAATTTAAAACAGTTTATAGGTTCTAATAGGTTATAGTATTTTCACCTACACCATTCAGTATTAGATTTAGCTATTATTTCAGTTATTGTTTTCATTAAAAATGGTTTCATATTTAGTTTTTGGCCTTGCTGAAGTCATTGTCAGATGTAACCTACAACAATGACAACATTATCAAACTAATGTATTTAGAATTTTGTTAAAATAATGTTCTTGTCTGTTTGCAATCTATGATGGTTCAGAACTGGGATATTTCTTCTTAATATATCATGGAAACGTGAAAAATTGAAGTATTGATGACTACTGTTGAACTTATCTGACCAATAAAAATCAGACGGCGGTGACATCATATTTAATCAATGGGTGTGGTAAAATATGGACAATTAAATATTACTAAAGGGCTTTTTAAATATCAGATCGAGCCGTTATAACATTGTTAAAAGCATGATAGTTTGGATTTTAAAACGAAATGTCTGGTTATATATCATTTATTACTCTGTATTATACAGAACTATAGTCTGTGCGAATATCATAAAGTAATCGACTTCTAACACTGCCCTGCAAACTTTGGAGTTTTTTGTATCACGTCCTGTTTCCTATTGCTTGACTCAGTTTCCACTTCAATATCTAAGTTAGATCACCGTGTAGTAGTACTATAATGAAGTTTAATGTAATAAATCTTACAATTTAGCATAATGTCAGTAATTGTCTTGAGATAGTGTATGCATAATAAAGTAATTTGGTCACAATTCTTTTAATTTGTCATCACCTGGTAACTCTTATACGGCCACCTGTAGTAAAATGTTTTACTAGGTAACACTGGTCATAAATGTTCCTTTTGTTTTAATTCAACCGGAATAAATGATTGATGCTAAGTTTTTGAGTCATATTAACAAATAATCAGTTCCATACAAAATATATTTAATGCTAAATATTTAGCCACATCTTACAAGTTATATATGCCATCTGCCTAGTAATCAATCTGGTATTTAGTTTTTATGAGGATTTCTCATCTACTTAAGTACTATTTGTCTACACCCTAACTCAGTCTCAAATAAAGGTATTGTTGGTAAAGGCTTTATTTTGTTGGTTTGATGTTATTTTTTGCTATCCATTTGTCTATCTGAAAGGTGAATTAGTATGAATGTTTTGAAATTAACCTTCAATTCAGAAGCCAATTGTGTTTACTCTAGTAGTGAAATTTAACCAATTCCTTGTTTTTTCCCTAATAAAAAGTGTTTGTCTTGGTTTCTGATCTCTCTAGGGATAACCTGCCAGACTTGGACCAAATGAGTACCAATCGTTTGTGGTTTTAGCAAACCATTTTTTTATGAGAAGTGTATCTACTATATTGATCAAGATTTTATTACTGTGCCACAGACTGGTAGTGTCTGTTTATCTTCGAAGTATTTATTCTTAACAGTTCAAATGTTCAATGACAAGGGTTTGTGGTTAATTATGAACCAGCACACACATTCTGTGGAAAAGGAAAAAACAGCCTAATCAATGTATATTTTAAATTCATAGGGTAAATGCACTCAACCAATTCATACCCCAAATTCTATGTTACCTTGCATAATTAAATCACTAGTCATACGTTATTAAACTAGCTAGCTTTGGAAACAGTAATAACATGTTACTGTTTTTATGGTTTCTACATTGTGATGTCATAGACTGAAGCCATAATTGATCTAAATTGCCTACAGTAATTAATAATGATATGTCGTCGGCAAAATGGATGACTATAATAGATGGTCATGCATAGTTTTAATTGTCATTTAAAAAGGAATTTCTCTTCACGATAAATCTTAACACTCAGTTTTCAAATTGGAGCAGATCAATGAATTGAATATAAAATTGCTGTTCTGATTCCTGTTTATTTTTAGGATTTTAAGTTTATCATATCGACTATGTCATTCAGAATTATATAATTCTACTTTTTGTGGATTATTTCAAGTTTTGAGATTACCGTGAGTGTTGTAATCATCATAGTAAATTTTAATAACACAAAAAGTTGAAGTATGCTTTCAAATCTATTTTTGTTAATTTTTTTTTGAAGAAAAGCGAGAGGTACCGGTATATTTCCACTTTGTTGTTATTTTTGTTATGCTATATTACATACATCCAAATAAATGTCACGATTAAGAGTACATTGGTATCAATTATTCTAGAATATGAACTATCGTGTTGTAGTAATATTCGAACATTCCATTTTTTCTTGATTCTTCCTGTTTCTGCTTTCATTGTGACACCGCATTCAGTAATCAATCAATTACAGTGGTTATCAATACAGACATTTATATGATATTATATAGCCTATGTAATAAGAAATTCCCAGTATTCAGAATGCCCTGTTTCTCACTTGAGCATAGGTGAATCGAGTCTATTTTGCAGTTGGTCCTTTTCTATTAATGTTGAATTGCATCCATTAAATTGTTTTCATAACATCAATAACACTTTCATGTTATCTTATCTGATTGCAATTCCCCGTACCACTCTATATAATAACATTGATATTGACACTGCTTTCTTTATTGGGCATATGTTAATAGTTCAGTAGCCTGGTGTCACATGTAAGCTGGACTACCGTACTTTGTTTCATTGTTGGTAATACTATATTTGTAGCACCACCATGGCAAGGGGTGGGTTTTTAACTGACTTCTATTACCCAGCTTTCAACCTGAATTAGCTATCATGCTTGTATCGTGCATAGTGCATTAGTAGGAAAGTTTGTCCAAAATGGCATGAAGGCTATTGTTTCACGGTAGTGGTTAATATCAAGAAACCTCAATGGCTATGAAGCTGAGGTCCAGGACAGAGGTGAAAAATAAAGTGCCAGAGCTGAGGCCATAAAGATTTAGCTCTGCTCTTGTCACACTATCCTGAATAAATTTAATTTTAAATTTCGTTCAACTTAACTTTCTAGACCAGTGCAGATGTGCAGTTTTTATTTACGTTTATTTTATGAACCATATTGTCTAAATCAAATATATTAGGATTTTTGTATACATGTTGTATACCTTTTGAATTTGAAGTCCAACAATGTTGAGTATTTTGAGATTAAAATAATGTAACCTAGAAAGAACAGAGAACATAATGTAAAGTTTGAAAACAACCTTTATATATAAGCTTAGTTTTTTTCATTTCACAAATATATTGCATAAATTATTCTTTTAAATTACAGGAACTTGGGCAATCCAATAATTATTTTAATTACTGTTAATATTTTTGGTATGTTATAGCTTATAAAATAATTTTGTGAAATGTGAGACAACATTACCAGATGATGAAACATCGTTGAAGTTTTTACCAATTTTTCTAAAAATCTGTTTATCAACATTGTTCTATTTGGGTGGATTAACAAAGGGCAACTATGTCGAACTTAAGCCGAGGAGAGGGTCGGAAATCCAAATTTGTAAGTCTAAAAAGTCCCTGGACGGGTGGTGGCACCAGCAAAAAGGTATTGAAAGCTTGGAATATAGGAAGCTTGGAATGCAGACGTGGCATTTGAGTTACTTTGGATTTGATTTTAAATTTTATTTTTTGGCAATGCATGTCCAATCTCTGTTCAATTAAAAGAAAGTTTGGTCAAGACTGCTATATATATATTTTTTCATTCTTTATTACTTTTTTATAAACAGCTTATTGTTATATATATAAAGGTTATGTCAAGGTTTATATGATAATAGATTTAAATGGCAATCATGCGTAAAATGACATCACATAATCATATAAAGGCTGGGTAATAATTAGTCTACCGCATTTATAATACCAGTTTGATAAAGTTATTCAATGACTTGGAAAATATTATCACTATTGGAATTCCAAGGCAATCTCAAGATGATATTATTAATAAATAAGATTGCAATGCCAAAATAACAAGTTTTTTTTATTCACAGAGATAATAATCCACATATTTCCTATTATTGTGGATTCTTTTTCAGTCATGTGTATGTTTCCACAGCTATGTTCTTTATGTTATGATACAGATAAAAACATATGCATGATTATTGATGTGATTAAAAATTATTCCACGAGAATGGACTCTTTCATAGAGGGATATTTGACTGCCACGTTTAGGGTATTTAAAGAAAACATGCCAGGTTCAGTGTTCCATTCATCACTACATAGCGTTATTATCTACAATAACTTAATGTTATCAATGCTATATTGGCATTGCTATTAGGATATCCAGACTACTTGAAATTTTCAAGTACAAACGTCAACATGCTCATGCAAATCGAAATACCAACTTAACGATAACTGACTCAAGTTTGGTAAATAAAAGCTTCCAGCACGAAAGGGCAATATGCTCGTCCTCCATGGGAATTAGTCATGGTTATTTTTAATACTATCAATATCTTGATAAGTTATTATATCAGTCCTGCTTTTTATTTTGCGAATCCATTCAACTGTAAGCAACGAGTTACAACTGTTATTTTTGAAGCGATGGAGGATTAAAAAAAATAAAATAAAAAGTTCTTGAATTAAATTAGTTCGTATCATTGTTGAATTGATTTACTCTAACATAATATATAGCAGTCTTGACCAAATTTGATGCTGATTTGTGAAAAATATGTTAAATTCCAGCTTACTTGAATTCTTTTTATTGGTGCCATGTTTTTTCTTCTTAAATATATTTATGCTATTTTGTTTTGCTACATGGTGTGCAGTGTGTTTAGTTGCTGGACAGTTAGGTGAGGATCAGTCTCATTTTTAATGTAACTCGTAAAGTGCATTATTAATCGTAAATTATAGTGTAATATAGGTTTACTGCTCGGAACTCGATATCTTGAAACAGTTGTGATAAGTTTGAAAAAAATTTTTACAAGTCATACTATTCAAAATCCAAATTTTTGCTAAAAAAATGTGACTTTTTAATTATCCTGATTTAGCATGTAAATTGAGTGAAATATTCCTGCGATTATTTTTGACATTCTGCGATATGGCTGACATTCCTGAATTATTTTTTACAATAATATTATTTTATTAATATATTATTTTTTTCAAGTTTTGCCGCCAGAAGTTTTCATGTCTTATTAAAATTCCATTTTATAAAAGCTCGACAGATTTGCCTCCGTGAGTCAGGGCAAAAAGAAAGAAAAAAGCAAGCATCATGGAAAATCTGCAGCAATACAAGAAGAAGGTACAGCAATGCAGATGATGCCCGATACAGTAGCATCAAACCTTTCTGAACATGACATCCTCACACTGTTTGAAAAGATGTTGGTAAGAGCCTGTTAATTGCCATTTATCTTAAGCAGTTTGGTTTTTACGGCTCTACATAATAATATGGTCTTGAAACAAATCTACTATACACAAGTAACTAGCTGGTGCTAGCTAGGGGTTATCGAAAAAAAGAGTGTTTTATAAGAATTTAATCAGAATTATTTTTAAAGCTTTTCAATAATCTTGCCATCGCACTTTATTTTTTTGTGTATCGTCTTGTCTGACCAAATCAGACTGTTAGACAAGCAGTTTACAACAATGATGAGAAATGATCAATCACATAATATTTGGCCAGACATAATATTACGGAATAAAAAATTTGTGAAAGCGTGATTTAAACTATTTTTTCCAACAGATATAGCCGTTATAATTCTTGTCAGTTCATAGGGATCCATTAATACATAGCAAGCGAGAAAGCTATTTAACGATTAATTTTTTACTTTGGGAAAATTTCAATTTGAAAAAAATGGTATTCTGCACAATTGGCATCTGGTGTTCAGTTCTTATTTAAAACTATTTTAACTTTCTGCATTATAAAAATCAATATCCATGAATTCATGAAACTTTTCTGTTGGACATGACCTAAGTTAGAGTATTTCCTAAAGAAAGTGAATTTTTCTTCCTGTGTGTGAATAACATTCAAAATTTAACCATCCTAAAAGTGAAGAATTTGAATGTGATTGTTAGTTGCGTCATTGTTTAGTATATTTCCTCGGAATTCAGTATTTTGTGGAAATTTGTAACAAATTTTCTTGTGTAAAATAATATATATTATTCAATTCATTAAAATTTCAAAATTGAAAACTGCATTTGACTAAAAATTAAAAAAAATGGGATTTCCATTAATTGAGAATTTTTACAACCTTTTTTTAGGATGACATGAACTTGGCAGAAGACCGAAAAGAACCACTTAGAGGCAAAGACATTAACGTGAAACGAGGAATGGTCGTTCAGTGGTTAAATAAAACATCAATTGTAAAGGTGAACTTTGTTACTTTCTCATTTATAATCAATAAATATGTACCTATCATGATTTTTGCATTATGGATGAATCCTTGAATTGTAACGCTTCCCCTAGTTCTAGAATATCAAGCGTATGTCTATAGTACAATCTATCAAAGAATCAAATTTTTACTTTCATTGATAAAAGGAAATTATTTCAACATGGTTATCTGAGTTACAATATTTATATTCAATTTTCTCACTATAATCACCCAATCTAAAATTTGCCTCGAATTGTAATCTTAATTTATTTCACATAAATTTACTAATGTTTCTTTTTTCTTGTTTATTTATAAATACAACAATGTTTTAAAATTTAAATAGTCATGATTTTATTTGTAGGAAAAATGGAACTGTAAATATTTTAACATAGAGCATTAGGCTGCTTGTTGCTTGGTAAAGTATTTGATGGAAAAATATGTGATTATAAATTATAGATTTTCTCATATTCAGTGCCAAAAAATATATATATTCTTACTATCCCTTACATTAGGGAATACAGTATTAACTAATGGGACTGATAAACACATTTTCGCTGTTTATGATAAAGACAAATTTCTTCAGTTTTTAAAAACTTACATTTCTGCTGATCCATGATTTTCACATACTTGTGAATTGTGATTTGCTTTTTATTATTATCGTTATTATCATTTTCTAATAAGGAAATAGCGACCAAATAATAAATTTCAAATCGTGAGGTATCATTCAATATTTAATAATGGTTATATTAATGAAATATTTAATTTTATTATCCCTAACGAAGGCTGTTCAAGAAATGTGTCACAATTCAATTTTGTAATAATATAATGAGAATTAATAAAAAATGTCAGTTTATTCATCATGATGTAATCTAATAATTTCAGAATATGTATTGACTTGACGGTTTCATATTATCACAAAGTATTTTCATTGTCTGGCATTGTAAAGGATGACCTAATCTTACATGACAGAGTAAAATTAGATGAAAGAATATTTACTGAGGGATACTATCATACTGTGTCTCCCCATTGGAATGTGGACAGTGTGATAATAATGGGATTGCCATATTTACACAGTTCAGTCATTAATTGTTTACCTAAAACTAGCCGGTCTTTTAATCATTAAAGGTAGGCTATGATTAATGTTGTACCAACCATATCATTGTCGGTGTCATTATTAATAAAGTATTATTATAATTGGGAACATGCTGTTGTAATTGCACACTGTGTGATTAAAAAATGTTGAAAAATATAGGCATATTGTGCACACTTAAAAATATAATTATTTACATTTTAAGACTTTGGTTACTGACTTAGCTTTTGATGTATTATTTGCAAATTTAGGGCAAAAATTCAAAAAATTGTAAATTATTATTCATTTGTACTGTGTTGTTCATGCCATTTGACAATATTGAGATGCAAATAAATAGCCCTCATTTTGCAATTTGTGTTCTTATCTTAAACATGCTTTTTCATAGGCAATAGGCATCCACTTGAAATTGTGTGGTAAGATTTTGGAATCAATATCATGATGTTTCCAGTTATTTATATCTTGTCTGATTAATGACTAAATGACTGTGAGAGCACTGCTCAAATATATGGACGTGAAGGTCAAATGGCTAATATATGGCTCAAAAGTTTCCCATTAAACCACTTCAGGGTGCTGACAGAGCCTTACTTTGTCACCCCTTTTGCTGTATATGTCGGCGGAATAGAATGACGTAATGCTACTTGGTGATATGATACAACAAAATATGAGGTGAAGTATTGGGCCCCATTTGACTCTAGAAAATTTTTTCCACAGCAACAACCCCAACAGGAACAACAATATTTTAGCAAAATGATGGGTAGGTCCATCCCAGACCCAATAAACAATATAGTGCCAAGAATTGTGCAAAATTTTCAAATATCAATAAACACAGCATACTTATGAGGTTGATAAAATTGTTATATCAATATTAACCATGTTAAAAAATTTACAACCAGGGAGAACAAAGTACAACTCCACAACAATTCATACTGAATTTAAACAACCTAACGTTGAAAGATGAAGCCGGTACTCTCGGTGGGAATGATCGAAGGGATCTGCTTCGTCTTCTTGAATCACTCAGAGTGTCTTTGAACAGCAATCCATTGAGGTAGATAAAGATAGTATATTTACTTTTTAACTGACGGTGTGGATGACAAATCGTTGCCTTTTTTGATCGATAGTAACATACACTGGAATAGTTTGGATTTCTGCATTAAAATTAATTCAGATTTTTTGCAGCATATTTGTAGTAAGAGACCTATTGCTAGTTACATCATTTGTTTGTTGGACTTTGCCATCATTATTTCTCATACCACCTGATCCATATATGACTTGGTTTGGAAGATGTCTAAGCAGGAGTTCAAGTTTTTATTCACTGTTAATATAAAAAAAAACTTGTACAACTTTTATATCATGTGAATACCTGCCAAATTGAAGGTGGATAAAACTTTTATATTTAGAGCATGATTTCTTTTGATAGCTGTCCATTATCATATAGGCAACATTTACTTCATCGGGTTGTACTAAATATGTTTTTATTTCAACAGTTGGGTACAAAATTTTGGAGCTGAAGGTCTCAATATTTTGTTACGGATTCTCAATGATCAATATGACAATAGCAGAGAAACTCAAGTCGATCAGAAAATCAAACATGAAATTATTAGATGTTTGAAAGCATTTATGAATAACAAGGTATAGCAATGTGAATTTATATATGCTAATATAAGGTACATAAAATTTTAGTTAATTTTTATCGACCTTGAACATTGTGTTATTAAAGCAGTAGTTTTCAAACTTTTTTGAGTCGCACCCTTTTTGGAGTTGCTCAAGTCTCGCGGCCCTTCAAAAATAAGTAGATAACCATACGCTACAAATAACAGATAGTAAGACGAAAAGATGTTTTCATCTAAAAAAATTGTTGAAAATACGTGGAAGGAACATAAATAATGAAATAAATGGAAAGTTTTGAAATGTAAATATCCAATTATAAGGCAGGCAAGATCAAATCTAAAAAATATTTTCATTTTTAAGTAGCTTTACGCCCTCTCAAAAATTGTCTACGACCCCGTTTGAGAACCACTGTTTTGAAGTATACCAGATTGATAGATAGGTTTGAATAATATAATAATGTTGCAAATGGGTTTCTTAATTTATGTATGTATAATCATTTTATCTCTTGGGTGGAACTTCCTTTGGGTGACTACATATGTTAGTGGTTCTAAAAATCCTATGGAGATTTAATCGCTTTACTTCATATGAAAAAGAAGAATTTCAGTCATTAAAAGATTTCTTGATGGGGAAGCTTGTCTAAATTCCAGTAAAATACAACTGTACAAGCATCAATTGTAAGCAGTATTCTTAAATTGCTATACCACACCCCACTCGAACACGTTCTAGAAAAAAATCTCTCTTGAATGTAAAATATTTGAAATGAATTATTTTTTTTTCTTTAGTATGGAATCAGGGATATGTTTGAGAAAGAAAATGGCATTGTGACATTATGCAGAGCCATAGACCCACATAATAAATCTATGATGGCGGACACAGTAAAACTGGTTGCAGCAGTGTGCTTGCTTGAAGATGGGTAAGAATGGGTTTGAATCACTCATATCATTATTAAAGGATTAATATATGCAAGGATAAAGAATTGACAATTAAATTAAATACTCTCTGAATTCTATTTCGCAATATGGAATAAAAAGTGTTACATATGAAAGAGAAAAAGTTGAATTTAATTTCAGGAATATAAAGATTGCCCACATTCTTTTTCCACTTTTATCAACGTTAGTCAATTACTTTTATAATTCTCTCATCTGCTAGGTTGGTTAGTTCAAACTTAAATCTTCAAATTAAAATATCTCATATTTCTGAATTCGCATATTATTGCAATTCAGATATCTTTAGCTTTTGCGAATGGTCAGTTTATTTAATATTTTTTGTTTGCACAACATATTTATGAATTGAGAAAATTTTAATTTTGTGGTCTTTTTGCCGGTTGTTACACTTTTTCTCTTCCAAGAAAAATATTTTGAAAATTGATTTGACCATTTTCTTTTCAGCCATGACAAAGTCCTGACTGCCATTACCGTTTGTCATGAAAACTCTCTTCTCAAATATTCACCGAATGCCAATCGATCGGGACCCGGTACCGCTGTCCTTGCTGCAGGAACAAGCAGATTCGCTGCTATTATAGAAGGTTTGAGAAGCTCTGAACAACTTCCATTACTCAGTGTCGCGTGCCTTCAACTTGTCAACGTACTCGTATGCACTCCAGATGAGTTAGATTTTAGGTTTCATCTTCGTAACGAAATCATGAGAGCTGGTCTTCTTCATATTTTACCTGTGAGTGTTATTCTATTGGTTTATTCATCATTTATAAAAACAATCATGGTTTCCGTGTTTAGGTAACCTAGTGTTGCTTGTCATTGCTTCTTTTATCATATTTATTTACCATTTGAGAATGTGATCATATATGCGCCTTTTATTATACTATTGTGAAAATTCTAAAACAAATTTATAATTACTGTCATTGCTGTTATCAATTTTACATAAACTTGGAATTTAAAATGAAATGCGAAATTGAATAATTGATAATATGATTAATCGTTTATGCAGGATTAAGTAGGGAGTGAATCAAGGTACAATATTTTTTAATTTTTTATATTGAACTGCTAAAATTGAATACTATGCAAAGTTTCGTAACATAAATAGTCTACTTTGGGGGTGTCAAATGGATTTTCATCAAATGACGTAGAAAAAAATAATTTTGAAATTGAAAATGAGTATAAGGGACTGCCCAGAATTCAAAAGATGTCCCGTAATGACAGAATATAAAAATAAGTCCATTTCTAAAAAAAGGGTCATATAAGCTACTTTGGTTTCACCGCAACGATTTGTCCCGCCAGTTCCATTGTACTTTCTATCGGATGGTAGACAGTGGATGTCAATTAATGTATGCCAGAGATCATATCAAAGAGTGCTGTTGCCAACTAGCTTTCCATTATCAATTTGGTGATAGCATCATACACCTGTCAATTAGTGCTTGTCTGAAATCTTCCCAAACTCAGATGAATTTAATTTCATTTTTTGACGTTTTTTGTCTTTATAGGATTTAAAAAAGAGTCAAAATGAAGAACTTCAAATACAATTGAGGGTGTTTGAAGAACATAGGGATGTTGATTTTGATGATCTCGTCCATCGATATCACGAAATCAGATCTGAATTTGAATATCCTTTGAAAATATATTTGATTTGTTTAATTTTTTGCAAGGACGAGACTTTAATACTTTTTTTTGTGAATATTCTTTTTTTCTAATAATTTCTTAAAAAATTCCTTAATGTAATTTATTATTGAATTCACGGATATGTCAGAAATTTTTGAAGTATTGAAGGAATCACTTATAGGAACAGGCAGTGAACAATTTCTTCTCTCAATTCTCCAACATTTGCTCTGTATCAGAGATGATGAATGGGTCAAGTATGAGACGTTGTTTCAATTTTTCTCCCATTTTTTAAAAAATTTTTTCCAGGACTGTGGAATTGGGGAAAATTTGCCAGACGTCAAGATAAGAGCCATCAAACAAATGCTTTTGACTGTAATTCTATGATAATTTTGTTTATGGCTGCCAACATTCCAATGAAACCAAATTTTAATAGAAAAAACACTTGCATATGCAAAAGCAAGCTGTCTTTGATGCTCTGCTGAGAATGCTTAGTCAACTTGAGTTTTTGGAGTAAATTATTTTGACTTATCCTACATCTCTAAAAATCAAGTCGTCAAATGAGGCATTCTAGGTTAATTTCTACTTTATCAATCACTTTCAGACCCCAATATTACAAACTTATCGAAGAATGCGTTTCTCAAATCATATTACACAAAAGTGGAATGGATCCAGATTTCGGGTTAGTATTAGTATTTTTCTTCGATTTCCAAGTGAAAAGTGCTTTACTTGGACATTTGAAAATCTTGTTAAAATAACTTAAGCTAAGCTAAGAATCTGTATGAATGATGAGTGTAAGGTGCATTCTTTGTTGCTGATGTTGATTGACACTCCTTTATTGAATGAGTAATAAACATTGCCAACCCTTGCAAAATATATATTTGCTTACTCGATCATGACTTTTATACGATTGCCATTGACTCATGTATCAAAGTCTATCTGTGAATATTTTATATGTCATCATTCACCAGCTAAGCATATAGATTGTTCAAAAAAATTATTTGAAGGCTAACGAAAACAATGTTGTATTGGAATTATTCAATATCGGCATTTTTAAACATTATGTGATTTTGCAATTAATGAAATGTAATTGTAATGTAATTACAGAATAGGGTAAAAACCAAATAGTGGCTATATATGACTGTTTCGAACTTTCAATTGTCAATGTATTAAATTAGTCAAACGATTCCCAGTGGTAATATAAAAGTTACGCAGATTGCATCTATTGTTCACATCCCATGGCCATTTATTCAATATCAGCAATCATTCACGAAGATGATAAAAAAAATTTAATATTCTAATTAAATAGATAAAAAAAATTTAACATTAAAATGGAATATAATTTTCGATGTGTTTATATCTCAATGAATTTTCATGCGTATGGGATAGACGATAAATCCTAAAATATATTTTTTATATGGAATATTGAATATATTCTAAATTGGGTCTGTGTCTGAATCAACAAAGAACACATAATCCGATATATAGTCAATGAGTTTTAATTTGAAAAAGCAGGAAAATTAAAAAATAGTTATTTCATTGTCTATATTATTCCGGCTTTCAGAACTTAGTCACATCATGGTACTTAAATTGCTCAAAGTGATAGTTTTTTAAATGTAACTCGTCTAAATGCTTCCTAAAATCAAGGATTCAAAATATTTTGAAAGTAACTTTTTTTGTTGGTATACTATTTCCGACATTCAACAGAATTTGAAATTGTCTGTATGGATCTGAATGTCAAATGTCAAGACGATTGAAATAAGTGTTTAAATTTAAAAAAAATTCTTCTATTCACCCCATTCTCATCATCCCTCTTTCTTTGTCTTATTGTTAATAAAAATTCATGGTTTTTCGATTCAGATATCGACAAAGATTTGAAGTTGATGTTGAACCACTCATCGATAGCCTAATTGATAAAGCCAAAGTCGAAGAAAGTGAATATAAACTACAACAATCTCAAAAACAGGTTTGTGTTTATTCGACTTTGATTTGAATATGAACATTTAGCTAATTTGTAGTTTTTCTCTGTATTCAACCCAAACTTGTAGCTTAGGAGTTGGGACTATTCCGTCTTAATCACTTTTGTTGAAAATGTATTAAAAATGTATATGTGAAAAGATGAGACTCATACACCTTGGGGTACGCCACTGGTTTCATCTGTATTTATGAATTTTTTTAATTATTCCATCTGCAAGTTAGTTATGAAACTTGAGAAGTTTTTGGAGATTTTGAAATGTAAAAGCTAAGATACTAATTATAAACGAGAGATGTGGTGCGAGGCCATTTGTTCAACTTGAAAAATTCTATGTTATTTACTTCTTACCATTTATCTATGTACTAGGTATGGAAATTTTATACTGACAAAATGATTTTGTGAATAATAAATTCAATTAATTAATGCTATTCTCAGTTGGAAAGTGAAATGACTGCAAGACAAGAAGCCGAAACAAAACTTAATAAGAAAACCAAAGAAATGTTAGAAATTGAAGTTAAATTACGAGATTACGAAGCCGAAATAAAAGATTTGAAAGAGAAGGTATGTTGCTTCCCTTTTTCAATATTTCAGTCTGAAATGTTTTCTTCTCGAATATTCTGAAGAAATCTATTAAAATTTTCAGAATTGTGAACCAATTTTGTTTTATAATATCGGTATTTATTTAATTTTAAATTGTTTCAATTCCTTTATTACTTTGATATCTGTTTTCAAGTTAAATATTTCGTTGATGGTGTATTAGTATCAGATTTGTGAATTTTTTTCGTCTTTTTTCAGATCGCAAGTGGTGTTGTTGTTGCTTCTGCTGTTGGCGCCGCCGCAGGAGGCACAGCCGGTAATATTCCCCCTCCCCCACCACCCCCACCTGTGCCAGGTGGCGTGATACCACCACCACCCCCTCCTCCTCCAGGTATGGGACCTCCACCTCCTCCTCCCCCACCACCACCACCACCTCCTGGTATGGGAATTCCGCCCCCACCCCCTCCACCAGGTGCTCCACCTCCTCCGCCCCCACCACCAGGAATGGGTCCTCCTCCACCACCCCCACCTCCAGGCGGGGCACCTCCCCCTCCAATGTTCAGTGGACCTGCAAAACCAGCACTTCCAGGCGGCATGTCTGAAAAGAAGAAGTATAAACCGGAGACTATTATGAAACGTTTGAACTGGAATAAACTTGCCGTTGCTAAAGTCAAGGACAATAGTTTTTGGGTGAAAGCGAACGAAGAGCGTTACGAAAGCCCTGATTTATTTACAAGGTTAATGGCAGCTTTCGGACAAAAGAAAATTGTCAAAAAAGATGCAACGCAAGCCAAGCCACAGAAAAAAGTTAAAGAGCTGAGAGTCCTCGATTCCAAAATGGCGCAAAATTTATGTATGTGAATTTATTTTTATCACAGATTACAAAAATTTTAACAATGGTCGAGTGTGGCCTTGTCGCATATCTGTATTTTTCTCGTTATTGTAAACAATTAACTTTGCACTCAATTTTAGCACAAAAATGAAATGCTTCGGTGTTATTAGAGTTTTTCTTTTAGATAAATTTTTTCAATGGGATTGAAACAAGTATTTTATTTAGGTATTAAACATGTTTAATTAAAAATTTTACTAGTTTATAATGATAGCGGAATTCCCAAACATAGAAAAGTCCAGAAGTGAATCAAGGCTACTAGTGTTTTATCAGAATACATCTTGCTTACTTGGCAATAAAATTGATCTTTAATGTTGCTATTATTTTCAGCTATTTTCCTGGGCACATTGAAAATGCCTTACGAACAAGTAAAAAATATGATATTAGAAGTTCCTCCAGAGCTAACTGAATCAATGGTCAATAATTTACTCAAGCAATTACCAGAACCAGAGGCATTGACAGCTGCTGCTGAACAGAAGAAACATTACAATGAACTTGTAGAAGCAGAACAATTTCTTGTTGTTGTAAGTATTTTTTACTTGAGACATCCCATGAGAATATGAAAATTTCGAAAGTTTAATAACATCAAAAACTTTCTTTTTCTTGTATATGTCTAAGCGGGTCTATTTTGGAGAAAAATTTGCTTTATAATATGATTTTGCTTCAAATTTATATTAGATTGAAAATGAGAATTGTAAAAATTAAGTTGTATAATACCATTGTGGTCAATTTTTTTTTACCTGAAATACTAACCAATGCCAAAAACTAGTCAATATCCTAATAATTCCGAAGTTCACAAAATTTTCAAAATCACATCGTTTACATTTTTAATACAATAAATACAAATTTATTGTTATTAACGTGAAATTCCAACGAGCATAGGTTTATTAATTTATGAACTATGAACATTTCATTCGTGAGATAACAAAACCTGTTTTTTTAGCTATGAACAATGATCATAACAAGTCTGAATTTCAATGTCGCCACTCGCCAGTCCATTCTCCTATCCTAAGTAACATTAATTTTAATAAATTTGATCAAATGGGAGCAGATAAGAAGTGATTTTTTTTATCCTTAATCTTTCAATGTTTTCAACCTAGATGAGTGATGTGAAACGTCTTCATCCACGTCTTAATCATATAAAATTCAAATTACAATTTGATGAACTCATCACTGATATAAAACCTCTTATTGTCACGGCGACAGCAGCTTGTCAAGATATCAACAAAAGCATGAAGTAAGATATATTTCAAATTCATTTGTTCTCGTCATATTTTATTTCCTTCTAGACCAATATATCGAACTATCGTTAATATGCTGAGCTTCTGGAATTTTTGCGCCAAGACTGAATATGGGTACTTTAATGTTAGGAGCAATGCTCTAGTACAGGGGTGTACAACATTTTTTGTTAACGGGACATATAACCATCTTCAGCAATTAGCTGAGCGACAGAAAAAATTTTCCATTTACACAACGCCTCTGGAAAAGGCGAAAGAATAGCATGCGGCTATCGCTTAGCGTTACAGTAATAAAGGCACCAGGTAAAACTGCAAAAGATTTAATGCATCAACAACTGCAAAAAACACAAGATAATGTGTGTATATACTGCTATATAATGCCATATTATACTGACTGGTCAGCTATCCCTATCCTATGCCTGACTGTAAACTGGTATTGGAAACTCTCGCAAAGATTGTGCTTTGTGAAAATGCTGGAGTGTTGAGAATTTTTGATTTGCTCAAAGCAAGATTAGGCATACACTCACTTAGAAGCAAAGGAGGCTCATCTTTGAGCAAAGTGACAGATGACCACTGGTACACAAAGTACTAGTGAAACTACATAGATTTATAATTGGTCTTTACAAGCCAGCAAATGTGAAACTCAAAATCTCCTTTTAATAAAGCTGTTCGTGTCTGTACAATAGGCAATACTTCTATAAAATAACTGTTTTATCATTGCTTTCAGATTCCGAAACTTTCTCGAACTCGTTTTATTCGTGGGAAATTATATGAATTCTGGATCAAGAAATGCACAAACTATTGCTTTTGATATCAGTTATCTAACTAAGGTTTGTTTGGTTTGATTATCTGGCCAGTTGGAAATTTCATTTTGGCCTGTTTGATGTTGCCATATTTTTTGTCATGTTCAATTAATCTTTGCTTGACAAGTCTAATGAATTCACACTTGTATGTTAATTGGTATGGCTTAGTGATCAAAAAACAAACCTTGTCTAAGCTGATTGTGATTGCACTCAATAATTTCAGAATATGGATTTTATACAACTTATTACCATTAAGCTGGACCGACCATCACCTTGAGTGACCATTTAGAGTTTGTAATTACTAGTCTGCATTTGACCAAGCCGAGAGCAAGCAAATTTGATGATTTTTTCACCAAACCCGCTTGCCTGATTTTGAACATTTTTTGTCACCATTTTAAAAACTTTGCTAAAAGTGAATGTGTGAATGGTCTCATCAAAATTTACTTCGGTTTTTACACGTTGCAAAGTTGAATTGATTTTTATTTTATTTTTTTCAATTTCAATCATGTTAAAACATGTATGCTAGGTAAAACTCACAGTGAAGATTTACGGTAGTCTTCGACTTTTAGAGTTATTAAACTTGATTTTCATTTATGTTATTCTTAGTTGAAAGACACCAAAGATTCTGATAACAAAATCACAATGTTACATTTCTTGGCTGGTATAATTGAAGAAGGTAAAGAAAAGAAATATGCTGATGTCTACGGATTTATTGACGATTTACAACACACTGAAAAGGCTAGCAGAGGTATGGAGTTATATGTATAGCACAAGAAATTTTGAAAACTAAAGATGTAATTCTGAGGTTTCCAAACCTTTTAATCTCAGACACAATTGTTTTCTGTAATAGAAATCATGGCTCATTGACTGAAAAAAATTCACTTTAGGAATTTTTAGGAAATTTTCAGCAAATGGGTTGCTATTCCGCTACGCAATCGAGAGTATCTTAAAACTCAATCACTGGCCGGATTAACCTATTCAGGAAAATTATATTAAAATTTGGAAAATCAAATGATACTCACTGAAGATTCAGGATTTTATATGAAATAAGAAAATAAATGAAAATATGTTTATTTTTAGTATCTGATGAAACGCTTCAGAAAAATATGGGACAATTGAAAAAGAACATCGATCTTCTTGACAAGGATTTGAAAACTTTTGCTTCCAAGAATAAAAATGACAAATTTGTTGAAATCTTATCTATATCCTTTTCAAAAAATGTTAATTTTCTGTTGTATGAATTCACTATTTATTTACTTATCTTTGACAATAGGCCCCCTCGTTTTATTAGTGGGATTTCTATATTATTATTTTTTTGCAAAGTTATAGTATTCGGAATTCCCTTCGAATTAGCTGTTTCCAAGACAATGTCCACTGGAATTGCTTTCATTCTCGCGTTAGGCTATATACATTACAGTTTATTAAATATCTATTAATGTCACTGAAACTCAGTTGCACGTCAGTGACTTTACGTACACATAAGTGAATTTCTGGGTTTTGCATTGATCCGTTATTGTTTTCTTATATAACCATGGACAATTCGGTTTTAATTATGGCAGCACCAATCTACCAAATCCATTTTTAGAAGCCGGGAACAGTTCAATTCTTTTTAGCCATTTTCCTGATCTCATCTATATCGTAATAGAAGCTCTTGACAGTTCAATGATTGCCTCAAATTTTTTGGGGATATGATCCCTCTTCTGATTAAGCAGTGCCCCTGACTTTGTGTTGAACAACTTCAGAAAAAAAATTGTCTGGAAATTTTCTTAGCCATAAAATCACGCTTTTGCTGACAAGGCTCGCGAAGAAGTTGTATTAATGAAAGACATGTACGATAACATGAAGTCAATATACGATGACATCTGTGCTTATTTCTGTATCGATCAGAAAAAGAAATCAATAGAAGATTTTTTCTCAGAAATGAATCAATTCCGTATGGATTATCAGGTTTGTTTCATGAAATTATAATTTTCCGACCAGTCATGTCCACTGGATATTTGAGTTTGAATGAAACTGGTTATTCTTGATTTCTTATATTCATAATTTAACAATGTGAATATTTTTTTTCAAATATTTGCTAGAAAACTGCTTAATTTAATTATTCTGTGTTTTTGAATTAAATCTCTGCGGAGATGTAATGAATTTCGACAATTTCTCTGTTATTCTAGACTTCTGGCTTTTTCTGATTATTTGAATATTTCTTTCAAATTTTTCTCGGTAAGGTTTTTTTTCGTTTATATATATTGCTCTGATCTTCCTTGTCAATACATGTTATAATACACTTTCAGAAAGCTGTAAAAGACAATCAGCATCGTAAAGAAGTTGAAGAAAAACAAAGGAGAGCCAAAATTGCTAAAGAGAAAGCAGATAGAGAAAAAGAGGAAAGGAAGAAAAAGAAGAAAACTGGAGTCATTGATCTTAATACCGGTAGGCTTCAGTCTCTTTATAATTCATTTCGCTTGTGCTGAATAGACGGGTTTCAACACTTCCAATTGGGTTTGGTAAGATTTTACGGCCGACTTCCAATCTCTAAGTCATTTACAAAAGACTTAACTTTGGCTCCCGACTCCTGGTTACACCAAAATTATAACTTTACCATTCCATAGGCATTATAGGCCGAGTTTGGCAAGTTTTGATCGATATTGGAGTCAAAAACTCTTAAGCCGTATTTTGAAACTTGAGTTGGGAGTCTTTGTTGAAAGTGACCATATTTAGAATATATTTATTATCCAAAAAAGTTTTTACACTACATTTAGATTTTGACAAAATTAGAACAGTAATTGATTCAAGAGTCTTGCTGCACACCAACACTCGTAGGCACATTGTTACAGAAATATATTTGTGTTAGTGTACAGCAAGACGTTTGGATTAAGTAATTAGTGGATTAAGTAATTAGTCCCGCAGAGTAAACCCAATCGTTAGAAGAATAGTGTTTTGTTTATTCTACAACTATGATATTTTTTGTTGCAGATGATGATCAAGAGGGTGTTATGGATAGTTTATTAGAAGCTCTCTCATCTGGAAAAGCTTTTAAAAAGGAAGGAAGAAGGAGAACGCCGAGAGGTGATAAAGGTACAACTTATTAATGATAATTTTAGAATTAGAATAATAATAATACCGGTAGATTAAAGCTTTGCAACCTTTTGCCTATGAAGCTTAATAAAAAAAAAACTTCGGTGCGTTTGCGCGCAATCATATTTAAGCTAGTAAAACTAGATATATGTTGATAGTTATGCTATGTGTTTGTTTGTTCTTCATTCTTTGTGCTGTTACTTTTGTCTCTTGTTTGCCAATTCCTTACTTTCCGATAAAAAAATTCATCTGACGCATGGTTGAATCAAAGCAATTTTCTGTAACTTATAAAAGCAAGCAATTGAATTGGACTTTTCAAATTTTTCAACTTTTTCAAAATTTGAAATGTGTTTTGCTAAACTCATCCAAAAGTGTTGAAATTTACGAATATTTTTGTATAATAAAATTTTGGTGAAATTTTACAAAATATCTCTCCCCAATTTTTTTCCTGAGCTCCGATATCCTTCGTTTTTTTTTGTCTTTCTTCACTTACTAACACTCCGTGTGATCGTGTCTACTAATTCTATATGTTTGTTGCCTTTGTATTATGCCTCATCATTTTTACGAATGATGCTAAAGTCAAATGTATATATGGATAGATATATATACTGATTGACAATAGGTTTCTAATGGCCTGCCTATTCTGATTAAAGGTGTATTATATACAACACATAGTATCAAAAAAATTAATTTCTGTGATAAACAAACAAGAGGGTTTCTCGGTATTGTTCAGTTGTTTTGCATCAGTGGTGGCTTTTACAGCGTCTTATTCGAAGTGAATTTATTAGTACTTTTAAATTTGAACAATTTGGGCTTTCACAAACAATAGAAGCTCTTTGTGCATAATTGGTGGCTTGTACAGTTCCTTGTTTGGAGTGAATCGTAAAATCGCTAGGTAAATAAAAGTTCCAATTCTGTGATAATGTCTTGCGGCCTTGTGTCAGGAGGAATGAGCCCAGACCAACTTATGGCTCAGTTTCGTGGACAAAGAAGCATAGACAGAACCAACTCTGTGGTCATGATGAGAATGATGGCCCTCGCTGGCAACGACAATTACATGAACAACTCCTTTCAGTTTAGTAGAGAATGCTTGCTTGCCCGCTCTTGATTAACTCACTAAATAAACCACGCAGCACATTTTTTACTCCGGTGTCCAAAATTGTGTTGAAGGGATTGCTAAATCTTACAAATATAACAAAAATTATGTTTTAATGTACGCAAACTCACCTAGAGATCCCAAAGGAGCTATTATGATATATTATTACACGCATTCCTTGAAATACTTCTTCTTTGACAAAGATGTCCATATGTTAGCCCAATAGCTCTCTATGGCCGTTCAAATAACCCAAGGACCCCACACCCTTTTCTACTCCTAACCATAAATATAATAATTTTACAGTAGTAAACTATACATGTCACTCTTCTTTACACAGTACATTGGTTTGCTACAATTTCAGGCGCATATGTGCAACTAAATCATCAAAGCTATATTTGGCATGATTCCAAACTTAACTAAAGTCTTTGAAAGGTTGATTGAGATGAAAAAAATTAGTGTTTCAGAAATAATGATACACATAAATTTCGTATTTAAAATTGGGCCTGGTCATTTTGTGGTGTGGGACCCAAAAGCATTTCGTTTACTTTGGTCTGCTTGACCTTGAGTGAGAGCATGGACACTAATTTTAATAAACATTTAACACATTCTTGATGGTATAACAATACTGGCTTGCAAAAATAACATTCATTCTAAATTTCTAACTGTGGTACTCAGAGTAAAACAAACATAAATCACTAATTTTTATGACTCTTCTTTGACCTGCTTCATTGCAACTAATAAAGTATATCCAATGAATGGTGACTAAATCAAAAATGATTTAAACATGGGAATGGGTTGTATAAAAGAGTTTTTTGAACTGTATCAAGAAAATCATTATACAGTAATTTAAGTTTTTGTATCCATTTTTTTCATGAGTCACTATGATCTTTTTCTTGATGAACCCAAAAAATTATTCAAATAGGGATTTGGTTGTTATTGCAGTTGGAATATTTGTGGTAAATTTTTATTTTTTCATTATTTACACTATACTTCTATATCTATATCTAATTGTAATCTTCTAATCAGTATTTGAATTCTCTAGCAGTGGATCCCCCAAATTATCGGCAGGTTAGTTCAAAATTCATGTTTGGTTTTCTGGAAGCATTTCCCATATTCTCCGACATTTGTAGAATATCGGACAAAACAATTTCATTCAAATTATCACATACATTTCATTCAATTCAAAATGAAACAATCAAAAAAACATTTCATGCGCATGATTATAAAGTACCATTGCCAGACTGATATTGAGTTTTATTTTGTCACTGATCTCATCGCACTGTAGTATTCTCTCATAGAGGAATATACTATCATTTGTGGTGGCCGACTAAGGAGAAAAAAAAACATATTTTTTCGTGAATATTCTACTAAAGAATGATGAAAGAAAGTTTTTTCTGGCATATCAATATGTTGGCAGCTAATTATGTAGTTTGAATATTATTTAAAAATGTATTTATAATACATTTGAATTTGAAACTAAAATTTAGATATGAGAGAACATCAGTTAAGTTCCTGTCACTTTATTAATAATCATTATTACAGTTTTGTTTTTCAATCATAAAAGTCAAGACCTTATTTACTTCATATTATAAAACTATAATATGTATCACATTATACACCACATTAATCAAATGGCATGATACCAGAACATCATCTAATGATGTTTTAGATATTTTTATAAACAAATGTTAACAGATAGCATTGGATTTACGATGCTGTTCCCTGTATACAGACACTTGTTTTTCAACCTCATTCCATCTTTATTTACCCGATGTTGGCACATAAGACAATCACATGCATTTTTTCTTATTATGGTAGCAATTGAATGCAGTATACAATACTTATTCACGTATGTGTCGAAAGGTTGAATATTTTAATGTAACAGTATAAAGTTATGAAAGTTGATTTATTCAGGGCTATTTCAAAAAAAAGTACCTTGAAATTAAGCATCAATTTGTCAAATATTCTTGAATCATGAAAATACTGAGATATTGTGATTTTTAATCAATACATAGCCATTGTACAGGAATATTTTGTACAAAGAATACCTAAACATGTAGGCATTTTCATAAGGATGACAAGACTTAATACTCCTGTCCTACATAGCATTCATTTGATGCTATTATTACACATAATGTAACAGTTATACAGAAAATGGTACATGGTTCCCAAATACAGTTTACAGACAATGACTATTTTTAGACAGTATAGCAGGAATTATCTCATGTTGCTCTCTACATTATTAAATTCACCAACAATAATGGATATCAATAATGTCATTTAATTTTCAAACTGCATTTATTTTTCTTTGCTTCGTAAGTTTTTATCTGCTTTTGTTTTTGCATGCTCGTGTTGTGAAGTCATTGCCAATGCAATATTCATATTTTCAGTCTTGTATTTTCGTGTTATACTTTGTCATATTTATTTATGTTTGCGATTATATTTTTTACGGACTGATATTATTTGAATACTTGTTTTTGTATTTATAAATATGTTATTGCATTATTATTATTGTTACATGAATGCTCATTTTGTGTGATTTTTATTTATTTTTTGCATGAATCTGTTCTTGTTTGAATATCCTAAAATAAGTATGAAAATGATTATATATGAAAGTACAATGAATAGAATTCATAATTGGTATTATTAAATTTTTTATGATTTATACGAAAATATATTGAAAATTAGCCTTTTTCAGTTTACGGTTGGAGAAAATTAACTAACTGGTTGTGAGACTTTGTTTTTAATTTTATCAACTTTTTTGCTTTGTTTCTATGCTAATCTTGAAGATGCTCCGACCAAGTCAGGTGCAGCTGCCATGAGAACTCGATCGAGGGCAAGACCCGCCATGAATCTAGAAGCCATTTCACCCACAGCAACGAACCTGGAAGATAGTTTACTTGGGGCTTTGACTGGATCACGTCTTCCTATATCACCCACAAAAAAACAAACCGGAATAGGCATGAGACGACTAAAGGCTTCTGATATACCGAATATGTCATAGTTATATTATTCTGTTTTTTTTACAACCATTTTTATTGGAATCAAATCACAAAAAAAACTTTCTTGGTGTTTTATACTTTCTGTATGCATTGCAGAGTGTATCAATTCGTTTCACCATGTTTTAACTTTTTACTTTATTAATTATGAATATATGTTATTTGGTAATTTTTTATTGAAATTTAATTATTTTCACTAATATTCAGTTTTTCATGCTTGCCATTTATTCTTATTTGTTAAATTTTATTAGTTTTAATTGTTACGTACATGAAAAATTATGGCTAGCTAGTCTCTGATACCGAACAAAAATTTTCATATGATGAATTTAAGGCCATTATACTGCCCATCATAGTATTCTGTTATTTCAATATTTACAGTTGAATTTTTTAACTAAAGTTGAGTTTAGATGCGATATGATTGCGTCTAATTAAGTTTCAAAACAACTGGCATAAATTATGATTCATGCTATTCACTCTTTGTGGAATGTTCTATCAGATCTAATGAAATACTAGCCACCATTGTCAATATAATCATTGTCACAAAGTGAAACCTTGATGGAGAAAATCAAAGAAAACTCATAAAAATATATGGAATTATTATTCTCACAAACCGGTGTCTACGGTACCACCTAAAAGTAAACCATACATTTTTGTGTTAAACACTTTTACCATTTTATGATCGATGAATACTATACACAAAGTAGTATCATCTATTTAACAAATGACTTTGTATCTACTGCTCCTGCCATTTCTATTTCAACATCATAGCCTTACATGTTACATCTAATAGCACAATTTAATTAGAAAATGAACGAATATGAAGAACCACACATACATACTGTAAGAGTAAGCCATGTTATAGATCCAAACTGTTCGTTTTCAATGTTGCAACGGTGATTGCGTTTGATCTTACATAGACTATAATGGTATCTGTCGGATATCCCGTTTTTGTGCCTTGTAGCAGGATTGCCTTAATTTCACTTTGCCCAAATATACAATGCTTTGTTAAAATACTTCATTTTAAATATACTTTAGTTTATACCATATGGACTAGTAGAACTTTTTGACTTTTCTATTCGAATGCATTTTTAAATACATGACGGAAAAGCTTTATTAGATAGAATGCTGTTGCTATTATAAAAGCTGATAATATATATTCATTTTTACAATGGTATACGGGTAGATTTAAGATTTCAACTTTTTGACACAGAAAGGGTGCAAAATTTTGGGGAGATAATATTAGTGCTTAGTTAAACAAACAGCCGTGAATGTAGTATGTTTTCTATTGTACTGATTCATTGCACGACAAGTATTTTGTGGCATAAGGAATCTTTTTGCACGGTACCATTTGAGATTTGTTGTGTAGAAGTAAGAAACTTGTGATTTGAGGAATGTAGCATGAAGCCATTTTCATATTAAATTCGGTGTTCGAAATATGCTTAACTAAGCCATATTGTTGGCCTAATAAATGGATAAAGAATGGACCAAGGTGCATGCATGTAATGCTTCAATGACGAGTAAAACATGAAGTCACATTAAAAAGTATTTGTTCGTATATATGCTGTATATTTTATGCTTGACATAGATTTTAAGATGTGCAGTATCCTAGCATTCTGCTTTAAAAATGAATTCAGTTGTGAATATTTTAAGTGGGTTAGGGTTATACATGCCAAATTTGAGGGAGTAGAATTTTATTTTCAAAATGGCAGATTTAATAAAATTCTGAAATTTTGGTCAACTTTGACTAGCAGTGCTATTGAATTACTTCTGAAATTTATCCCGATATTCCTGTAAATGTCATTCAAAATAATGAAGATGAATAAGGTTATTATTCATTTCTAATGTTCAAGTTGAAGATGGTACACCATTTTCTTTGCTTTTCCATATTTACTTTAATTAATATATTTTACATTTATGATCAACAGGGGATAGAAGAGTCTTAGATCGATCACGTTCTAGGCGTCATCTAACCGGCCAAACTTCAAGTACTTCTGTGGTTGTAACTCCTGAAATCAACTTGGACAGTTTGACTGCTGATGATTTGGGAGCTTCCCCTTCATTAGAAAATTCAAACAGTGGGCCAAGGCGTAAAAAATACACGTCTATGCAGGCTGCTGCAGAAGCAGATAAAAAAAGAATGGGCCCTGGTTCCACCAGCTCTGAAGCACTACTCGCCGAATTACAAAGTTTATAAAAATAAATTAGTTTTATTTTGTGTTTTTATCTAGAATATTTTTTCTGAAAACTGAACGAAAATTTTGGGAAAGGGTAAAAGTTTTTAATCATACTGCTGTCAAATATTGTTCCTTCATATTAAATCTCTGTGATGTTGGTTTTGTTCAGTGGAGTGTGACTGGTCAGAATTGTCAAGATATGCAATCACCTATGTTTAGGGTTCGACAAAATTGCATGTTCACCCTTCAATCAAGCTGCTTTGATTATCCTTGTATCAGGAGTAAACGCAAATTATTTATATTGCGTGAATAGTTCTTAGACATAGGGTTCAGTTTTGCTATTGTCAGTCTCTATACAATTACCCATGTGCCCCTTTTTTTTCAAAGTTTAATTTTCAAAGACATATTTAGTTGAAATTATTATTGGAATTTTTATAAAATATTATTGACTTTAATTTTTTTCCATCGCTGTCACAGCTGCCTTTGAATGCCAGCCAATCACAAAAATTGATCTCCTATACAAATCTATTTTACTTATTCTATTCTGTATCAAGTGTCTTTTTGCTATAGTCCATTCTACTTTTTCAAGCATAGTGTTGTGTTCTGGAAAAATTCGTATCTTCCATTCATTTATAACCAAGAGAAGAGTAATTGAAAAAACTATATTTTATGTTTCTCTATATCAACATTTTTATAAATCAGTCATTTTGATTCTTTCCAAATGCTTGACATAACATTCTGAAGCTCCTAAACTTTTCAAGTTTTTTATGCAAATTTTCTCGAATTAGGGTTAGACCAAAATTGGAGCCAAAGGACACGCAAAAATTTACATATTAGGTCCATTCCTGCTTTTACTTGATTCCAAGGTTACATGCAATCAGTCGATTTAATCCTCTTCTCTATCGTGGAGTCATACTCATTACATTGACTTCTGTTTCAGAGAACCTCAAGTAACGTTTTTCTGCTGAGGATTTGTATCTGATCAGGTCCCACTTCACTGCATTTTCATTATTTAAAAAATTTGCATACCCGTAACAATTTTATTACTGTTTTTTTTTCGAAGTTGTTATTCCTATTAAACTTATTTTATTGAGATCTGCATGATAATCTGTTTTAAGACTTTAATTTTATTCATACTATTGCCTTTTGTTTCGTCAATTTCAATAACCATTCTAATTGATCACCTGAACCCATATTATTAACACGTCAGTAGCTTTTGATTAGATATTAAGGATTTTACTATTGTTAGCTTCAGTCAAATTCAAAATGATTTTGAATGGTTTGATTTACTGGGCTTGCACTTCATCCAGTGTTGCTAAATATATCGCCATTGCACATCTATTACTAGAATCTACTTTTCGAATAAATTGCAGCTTAAATCGATATTATTAGAGTGGTCACATTGACATTTACTTCAAACAATATATTCAGACAGAGCAGGTTTTTTGCTGATTTAGACTGGTAGAACTTTGAAGGGATAATAGAGCAGTGGTTCCCAACCGTCATGGCTCAAGGGTTTTAGCACTCATGGCTTGCCTGTTTATAATACCGGTGGTATTTTGATTGGCGGAAAATAGAATCCAAATACCACCATGCGCAACATAATGAAAACACCGTGAAATAGAGCAGTATTTTTTGTAAAGGGAAGTGTAAAATCGGTTTTGCGCCTATCATTGTTGTCCCCCGGTTGGGAACCGCCTTGATAGAGTACCTAGAATGACTAGTTTGGAGATTGTAACATTCGTAAGGAATATGTGGCCTAAATCGCAGAATTTGTGGATTCTAAATCTTTTAATTGCTCTGGCTGGTGTGATACAAGGATAACAATGAATAAATCAGAAGTGGTTATGCAATCTGTAAGTCAAATGGTGTATTAGTGCTCAATTTTACAAAAATTGACTCCTAACAAATCTGTTTCTAACCTTTCACTACAATATTGGAGATAAAACACTAGTTTTGTATTGGCTATTCCTACTGATCAAGAGAAGCAGAATCTGTGTAATTTCCAACCTTTGAATCTGGCATCCATTTCTGATGTTTTAAGCACTGTTAACTTGAGTTTTTCCAGCTGTCAGTCGCAATCATATCTACTGCTGAAGCTTGCATGTATCCATACTGACAAATTACATATACTTTGTTAAAATTGCATAGGAACAACCAGCAAATCATATATTGCAAAATATGATCCATTACTATAAGTAATATAAATAGTGAAGTTGGCATGATTGTTTGAAAACGAACAAATTTATCATTCTGCTGTGGATCTTCTTTTTGAATTTTTTGATGCTGTAGCTGCTGCAATTAATTGTTGAACCTGCTCGGATGAACCAGTAAGTTGGCTCAACAAGTGTGCTGGGATACGAAGCTGTTGAACAACTTGAACTTGTTGTTGCTGTTGGATTGGTCTTGATGTGATCTGCGTCCGTGGTGCTATGGTGTATGTTTGCTGAGAATATTATGGAATATGTCAATAAAAAGAAGAAAGTGATGATTTTTTATAATACCGAGTTCATTTGGATTAACTCCAGTTTACAATAGCATATCCAGTTTGAGAGGGTTGTTACTGTTTTCAAATGCAACTTTTTCAAGCATCTGTGGTACACTTCAATATTACCATATCTTTTCTGGACTGTTAATTAATACATGTCAGATGTGACTATGTGACCAATTGGAGATAACTATGTGCAAGAGAATTGGCTGGACTCCCCACTTCCATAGCATTTAGTTGCTTTCCTGTTACGGCTTCCTCCATGATCAAGACCAAATAAAAAAAATACTGATTAGCCATACTAGAATGTTAACTGGACTGTTGGTTTGCCAAGATTTTTATCAGTTTCCTCTACCCTCCAAAAAAAATTAAAAATCTTTTCTTGTTAACTGAAAGTACCCATGAACAGAGGTCTCTCTGATCTGTGATTACTAGGCCATTATACTTACCTGGTTAGTTGAGCTGTCTTGAACTTGCCAATTATCATTGTTAGCAACAATTGCAATAGGTGTTGTTGTTCCAGATTGACCAACTAATGATATTTGTTGTGGTTGTACATGGGTAGTGGGTGCATTCGATGAAGATATTAAAGATATGGGCTGTGAATTGGCATTTGCAATACTTGTAAGTTGCATTGCTATATTTGCAGGTAGCTGACTAGCAGGTATAGTGATGCCACCTCCTCCAGTTAACTGAATATTCCCAAGATCAAGGACGTTTTGTCCACCACTGAGAAGGTTCAGAGCAGTAATTTGCCCAGATGTAGTTGTAGAACCTCCAATAGCAACTGGCATTCTAATAACAGCTGTTGTTTGATTGCCTTGAATTTGGCCATCTTGTGATGATCCATTTGATGCCCGCTGTGAATTAACTGTCATTACTGGAACTTGGACCTGTACAGCACCTGTCCCGCCAATTTGCCCCAGCGCGGTTGCAAGAGCAGATGAGTTCATAGTGAATGTTTGACCAGCAACATTTGAAACATTTTTCGTTGTCAATATCCTTTGACTATTATCTGGGATTGGACTTTGGGCAGTCACCAATGTAGCTCTAGATTGAATGTTCTGGAAATCTGAACTAGCACGAGCCCGTCTTAATGCTTGAATTTGAGCAATTGCGCCATCGGGTCCAGGATTAGATTTCACTTTTGCTAATCGACGATTAGTGCTGGGAGTCGCCACAGGAAAATTGATACTGCTCTGAGAAGAATTCTGGAGTGTAATTGCATTCAAAGTAGGAGTTGTTGATGATAATTGAGTAGTATTCGCAGCGATTTGAACTTGTGGCTTTTGAATTTGTTTATAAATAGCAGCAGCTGTTTGTTGGGGTTTTGATTTTACTTCATATTTAGTCGGAATATTCATTTTCTTCCATTTTGTAATAGGAATGTTTATAACAGACCCAACTGAATAAGCAGACTTCTCTTGCGCTAGCTGCCAAGGTTGCTGCTGATTTGGAATATGGTATATCGCAGCATTCTGGCCTACATGTTTAACTGTAACTTTAGCTGGGCTTCGACCATCTTCCGTAAAAAGTTCTTGGTATTGTAGGATATACAAATTTGCTCTATGCTCAGTGCCGAGAGAAAATATTTGATTCATGTCTTTCATTCCTATCATGCTTTGCTTGAAATACTTATTAGATTGTAGCATCCCAAAGTAATGCATGTCTCTCGGCCTTTGCCCAATTGTAATCCGGGAACATACATCTCTATTTACTCCTTCTGATTCGAGTAAAATAGACTGGACTTCAATAATATCTTCATTTGAAATACCTCCTTCAGGAAGTTTAAATACGTTAACATGCTTAGATGTGTCAACATCTTCAGGCATTGCTAATTCTAGGGGTGACTTTCTCCATACATCCACTGCAGTTACTGGAAGCTTTATAGATGAAGCCAAACCTGAAGAATTATCCTTTTTCAATTTTTTACGCTCCTTCAAAAAATCATGCAATTTTAGAGAAGATGGTGCAGGACGAGATTTATACAGCTCTGCTCTTTTTCGAGCCAATGTACCATTTCGTCTGATGTGTTTCCTTAGTGGTATTGTGTTAAACATTTTTTTTCTTGCTTGCAATTTATTTTTCACAATCGCAACTGTTGGAGAGACATCTAAGCACAGGGGTTCAGCAGTCGCCAGCGTTAGAACACTTTCAAGTGCCAGTTTATCATCTATTCCCCATTTATATGTGCTGCTAGTTTCTTCTGCAATTAAGTTAACATCATTTTGAATAGTTTGTTGTGTGGGTTTTAATAAAACATAGTTTGTTTCGAATGTTGTCTCATCAGATGCAATTCTATAATCGCGTACTTCAGCTAATACTGATCCACTCACGAAAGCATTGTTATGGTTCCGATGTAATGTATCTACGAGCATTGGCGGCAATTCTTCATTGTCGATGTAATCCAAAATTTCATTTTCTTCGTAAGGCAAATGCAAATTTTCGGCGCATGTTCCATCACTTTTCATAAGAGTAATCGAATAACCTTCTGACACAGGAAACAAGTTTATCAGAAGTCTAGCACCATTCATATCTTTTACTAATGAGGATAATATATTGCTTGTAGGTCTTAAATTCCCCTTTGTCGGTTTTGTGAGGGATTTTGCATAAGTTTCTCGAACTTTTTTGCGAAACGATTTCCATTTCGTGGAAGGGATAGATCTTTTAGATTCTGGTAAAGGTGATTGCTCAGCTTCTTGTATAAGATAGTCAGCCTTGTCAAAGCATGATTCTAAAGTTTCCATGATTTTGTTCCTGGTGCATCATTTATTATAAACTTATTGAAATGCTGCAAATACAATAAGTAATAATGAATGTCTTCTTTATTGTTCAACTATATACCAATAACTTTTCAGAACATGAAGACAAAGCAAAGCCAATTACTGAATTATTTAGTAAAAATATGAGAACGATTCAATAAATAAATTGAATAAATTAAAATGCAATAAATTAAATTGAACATCACGACCAGATAGGCCTCGCCAAATATTCATCACAGCCTTAAATTCTGACATACTATATGTTTTTGATTTATATTTGGTTGCCTCAAAAACTTGTACAAAAAATTGGAACTTTTGCGCTAATATATGCAGGAATATAAACTGTTAAAAATCGCAAGCGCAAGCAGACTTCGTAAACATCAGTGAATGCATAAATAAGGTTTACATTACCGCTAGGCTAGGGGCAAAAGGGTGACTTTAACTGTGTTGATATCACATGTTACACTTGAGTTTGTAATTCAGTGTAATATACAATTATCTCACTGACAATGCTATATTCATGTACAAGAATTTACAGAATCATGAAAATCCCAGATCCTTGACCCCAATTTTGATGTATGACTGTCATATTGTTCTTGCACGAGACATTTAATTCATCAAATAATAAAGCAAATTACTTAACAATTTCAGAATTCAAACTCGTATTTTTCCTGCCTTTGTCGGTAGCCTAAGTCTCTGTAAACCTACACACTCAGACGGTGTACACGGTCACCATATCCTCAGACTGTGGCCCCTTTCCATCGCTATCTTGGCGTGCTAGATAGATAGATAGATAGTTTAGATAGATAGTTTATTTCGAAAACTCCATAACAAACCTAAATTTAAAATGGAGAATTCTGGAGGGCAAGCAAAACCTACAAAAAAGTTTAAAACATGAAGTATCTCATGTGCCTGCCCACCAGCACGCACACAAAAACACAAGCCCAATTAAATGAGGCTTGGGCCAAACTTAAAAAACAAAATACACGATAGTAATAAACTTTCGGGCTGTTGTACTCTCTTTCAACAATTACGTTGATAATGACCAATACCTACAACCTCATGCAAAGATAATGTGGGGAGTGGAATGTAATAAATTTGCGACGATAGTCATACTCATGAAGCCATGAAAGCTTTAAGAAAAACCAAGCCATTAAAAACTACACTGATTGCTAGATTGGGCATTGCGGAAAAGGTGATAAGTGGTTTAATATACAAACAAACGCAAAACCATGGCGGCAAATTCGGTGTGCGGACACTCATAAAAGCAATTATTAGGAAAAACACTAATCACACGTGAGCAGGTCTGTAGCCTAATTGATACATTGACGTGGCCAACATTGTTAAAACAGTACCGGTATACACACAGAGAGAACAAATCAAAAATATGCCACTAAATGAATGTTTAAAAATGTTACACTGTAAGTTACACTGCAAACTATTTACACATATATAGTTGAATACTCAGTATTCAAGCGGAATTTCTAGAAATAGCAGTATATCATACTCTTTGTCACAAAATAAAATATCCTAAATAATCCCTGTTGTATTCATCTTTCGATTCTGTTATGATGTCCGTATGTTGCCTTTATGCTGCCATGTAATTTCATATTTCGGCCTTTACTTGTTGATATTCCTTAAGTGCTGGTTCATTGTTGTCAATCTAATCTTTCTGCGCCGTTCAAAAATGCGACCGCACCCGACGATTTCTCCGCTTTTGGATCCGACTATGAAATAAAATTTCTTACTTTTGCTTCAACCTGGTATACTTTGACACTAAATATTGATCAGAATTGTCTATGTCACAGTCACTGTCCAGCAACTTGCTTTCCATAAAAATATGAATAACATCCACAGCATGTGAGTCAATTTGGTTAAAAAGCTTTTCCTAGTACACCTTCCATGAGTTGAGGATTTCGGCAAACTAAACACAGTATTTTTGAGTTTACTACTGTAAATAAATAAGTATTTGTCCATTCTGAGTTAAACACTCTGCCCTCAGTTTCAATCTTTTTTTCTTGTTTTCAGTCATTGCAACACTGCGGCATGCTACACAACAAACTAACTGCTGTCAAATAAACTGAAAGCTATGGTAACTGCTATGGTTAAAAAGTAAATGCTACCATTTAAAATCATCGTCTCAGTTACCGTGAGTGCCACCATCAGCCTTTTGAATCCATCACATCCATCACGAACGCAGCTAGCTATTTAGCGCAAAACTCATGGGCGAGAAACCAACACAATATTTTGACATTGAGCTCCGCTGTGCTGGTGTGCGATTATATATTGCGCTTGTTTGTTGTCGACACATGAGCTTTCCATGTCTATTTCGCCCGTTAGACTTATTCAGATCACACGCAGATCATTTTTCAAGTGTTCACAGAATTGGGACGATTTGACAGAAAGGGGCAAAGAAATAGTAAGAAGACATGAGGAAGCAATAAAGTCCAACCTCGCATTTTACGAAGATCCGGAAACTGGTTATATAGTTTGGACAAAAGAAAAGCATCTGCAGAGAAGAAAGTGCTGCGGGAGTGCTTGTAGACATGTGGGTAAATTAATTTTTCGATTGTGCCATATGTGGGAATAAATATATTGCGATAAAAATGCGGAATGTATATAATTTTCCATCATGTACCTATATAACGTTATGCACAAAACGCAAAAGCCTGCAAGTACAGAAGTAGCATAATGATTCGGAAACGAATATCTTCATATGAATACAATACAAATGTGGAAAGCAGGAAAAAGTGTATGGAATTTTCAACCACTTCCAAGCAAGGCATTCAAAGCTTACTTTATGGATATAGCCTAAATACAGAAATATATTATTTTTACTCAACAGTGTCCATATGATCATCAGAACGTGAAGGACAAAGCCAAAAACGACAAGAAATTCAATGGATATTTCTATGAATAATTCAAGTAGACTATGCTTACTGCATCCGAACAATAATTTGTTTCGGCAAATATAGTTTATTCAGTGGGATTTTACTTCATGAACACCCTTAATTAGAATACAAGAATCACTGATGCATGACTGGGCTAAGTATTACTATACCTGATATGATATCACAGTTGTCAGACATGTTTCATTAACCTTCCTTTTTCGAGCCCAAACTCTTTACGAAGCAAGGCTCTGGACAAGCAACTATTAATATTCAATGTAAACCATGATATATGGCTTGGAAAACTCATACCGAAGAAGGCATGCGCTCATATTCATTAAAAAGCTCGAATACTTAAGTCATCTCTTGGACATCGATTTCAATCTTCACCAAATATATTACCTCTAAATTTTTCTTAAAATTTTTCTGTTTCAGTTGCTAAACAACGTCACAGAATTGTAATCTTGTATGGAAGTCAGACAGGAACTGCTCAAGATGTTGCTGAGAATATTGGTGCCCAAAGTCGTGGGACACATTTCGAGTATTATTGATGAATTTAAGATTTCTTTTCGTATTTGGTGAACATGTTCATGTGATGTTAACAGGGAACATATTTACCAAAGAGATAGTTTGTCTTTTGTGTCTGGCTTTCGAATACTTCTATATAAAACCCCAAATAGATCATATAACGAGTGACGCTATTAATCATGTTTTCAATAAACAAACTTCATATTTCATTTCAGACTTACCGTAGTTTCAATTTTATTTGTGTCTGATGTGTTATTTCACGACTTCTTTCGCCATATTGGTATATTCTTAGTAGTGAAAATTGGAAATCGATTTCTCTATTAGTAGTTGTGCAGGAAAAGAAATTTTTTATTCAATTATTTATTTTTTGAAGCCTGCACTCTGTATGATTTTATAATACGCGCATAAAATTTACCTTAATAATATTATGAGATCATTTTACTTGCAGGGCATCTGTAATGGAGCTTGATGCATATTCTATCCAAAACCTAATAGAAGAGGATTTTGTTTTATTTGTCTGTTCTACAACAGGACAAGGTGAAACACCTGATAATATGAAAGTGGGTCTGAAGAATTTGTTGTCTTTCACATTCAGTTATTTCCTATTTAAATTAAGCACAGACAAAATTCATTGTTCATAAAAACTTCATTTTTTGATTCCACTATTTTAATTTTTAGAAATTCTGGCGTTTCATTATGAGGAAAAATCTTCCTAATGATAGTTTACAAAAGCTTAGCTATGGAGTGCTTGGGCTCGGTGATTCATCTTATGCAAAGTATAATTTTATAGCAAAAAAACTTGACAGAAGAATTCAACAATTAGGTAAGAAAATATGAGGGTAACACATTTTTTGTTATAAATATGAAGGTCGTGACAATCTGTTACGAATAAACGCATATGGAAATAAATGTAATAAACCTTCCTATTAGCAGTTTAGGTTTAATTTATAAACAGCCATACCCAACCTTATTATCCCCAATTAGTCATATCGTCTTTATTAATAAATTTATTTACCTTTATCTGTTCATAGGTGGTAAGAAACTTGTTGATATTGGACTAGCTGATGATCAGCACGAGTGGGGTGCAGATGCCACTGTTGACCCGTGGGTTACAGGAATGTGGACAAGTTTGCTAGAGATGTATCCACTACCAACTGGGGTAAGATCACTTTAGAATAATGAATATATTCCTGATTATTCAAAAACAGAACTGTAGTTTATCATAGAAGAAATATATTTCAAGAATACATTTCATGTTCTATTCTATATTATTTCTGTAATTTTGGATTGGAATAAGCAAAGCATGCTCAGTACTAGAAATATAACATTATGCATTATCATGAAATTGAAGATTATATTGCTGCATTGAATCCAAAGTATCAGAAATGGACATTTTTGATCTTATGTCATTATGGGCCATGGCCCATCTTTTGTTCTGGTTTTCGAAGCTGTACCTACTTTAGATTTGATTTCAGGTAGTGCTTCATGTCCATATTTAGGATTGGCTGTTATAACAAAACTAATTTATATCCAGTTTTTGAATATATTATGTACAAAACAATATACCACCTAGGTGACATGTCAAAAATAAATACCAATAAACACACTCCACCTTTGATCTATTTCCGACTACTTATAATAATGTTATATAGTTTATACATCACAGGTTCTCAATCCATTAGAAGGTTCATTGCCGCCACCAAGATTTGAAATCTATAATGATGATGAGCTTTACTTAATGGAGAAAAAAATCAAAGTCACTGATAAGGGTATGTTTTTTATAGAACATATTTTATATGCCTTTCACTCTGAATAAGCCACCACTGATAGGTAAGAGATACTATAGTTTAGAAAGCCAGGAATCTTTTCAATTTGGCTTTGCCTAGCCAATATATTACATTGAGATGGTGGGTGTGGAAATTAAACCCTACCCTGTGATGCCAACATAGTCTAGTGGTTCAACCACTAAATCATCACGCCCATAAGAAAAACAAAATCATATCGAAAATGTCTAGATTTCAAAAGGGTTCGAATCCCATGCAGGGATGGTTATGTGCGAGGGGATTGCTGGACTCTTCGCCGTCGTTGGGTGGTTCACGTAACCGCTGGTCGGTTACGGCTTCCTCCACCACCGAGTCCATGCTTCCGAAAACAAACAATATAACTAATCCCATACCCGACTTGGAATGGTAACCGGACGAGAGGCCGTGGTTCGCCATATGGATAAGCCGTCTTATCGGCTTTCCTCTCCCCCGGGATAAATATGTAAATCATATCATATCATATCAAAATGAAGTGTGGGGAATTGATATAATTGATAAATCTTTAAAGAGAAAGAGAAGAGAGATTTATTTTTTTCGTCAACCAGAAAAAAACGAGCATTCCAACAATAATAAAAATATACAACAACATACACAAAGTTTTTCGATAAAGACTGGGAGGAGCGATACGACCATACAACCACCATCAGGGTCAGTTCCCCCAATAAATAACAATAGCAGTTTTATTAGGCGAATTCGCAAACCACTAATATAGAAATAAGATAATAAGAATATGGTGACAAACAAATACTGTTTTGTTTTAAAGGCTCTTTTTGTCGCAATAACCCATTCCAAGCTGGAGTAAAAAGTAATGTTCGTGTTACACCAGACAATCATTTCCAAAATACAGTTCATGTGGTATTAGATATATCTGGATCTGACGGAAAACTTTCTTATAAACCTGGAGATGTTGTAATGATCAGACCATCCAATACAAAGGAAAATGTAAAAAGATTTTTAGGTTGGTTATTGCAAATTATCCAGTTGTTTTTAGGTAAATGCTATGTTGGAAAAAATCAATTTGAAATTTGCTTTGTCTGATATTTTTCTTGAATGCTTTCATTCTTTTTTATGTATTATCTTAAGATGCATATGGTTAATTGTGCCTTTTTGTCATCTAACAAGCATACTTGTATTGAACTCAAAACATGTCCCTCACGCAATTTTATTTGGTGTTCTATCGTTTGAGAACATTTTATCTGATACCGATAGCATATAGGTTAATCTATAGATCAGTGTTCTTCAAACTTTTTCTGCTTGCTGTGTGCGAGTACTGCAACCAAGAAAAATAAATTTTAAGCAATTAGTCTACGACTACAATTAGAAATTTTAATACAAATTATTTTCATTTTATACATTTTTATGTTCAGATACATTTTCTCATTTAAACCCAAATAAAACAATGTTGATCACATCAACTGATGATTCCAGTACTCTTCCTTTCTCTATGAATAATCCAACTACATTAGAAAAGCTTGCAACTCAATATCTTGATTTCATGTCTGTACCTAGGTAGGTAGAATATAATTTTATACTGATGTATGGGATTCTGAAGTTCATTTTTATCATTTTATTTTATGATTTTTATCATTTCATGGTATACTTGGTATACTCAACTCCTTGTACTGTACAAAGCTTAGGATTTTGTTCGCTTGTTCTGTTTTGTTGACTTGAGACTGGCAAACATAATAAGAATTATATCAAATCTAAATAAAACAATTTTTCATTTTTGGTATAAGATGTTAAAAATAAGATTCAGTCAGAACTATAGAGAGATAGTAGCACTTTTTTCATTGGAACACCAATTTTTTCTTTGAATTTAGTTTTTTTAAATTTATTATAGGGTTAAATAAAAGTTACACATTTTGACTTTTTGATATGTACCAGTTGGTTTCCTCATAGTGGGGTTGAGAGCCATCAGCTAAATTGGAAAAAAAACTCCAGTAACTAGTACAACTTGCCATTTGTAGATATACATACTTATTTATGCACCTAGTATTATTTAGGTCAAAATAAAATGGTAATGGTTATCATGGAAAGCCATATTATTGCAAATTTATATTTTATTCACCATTCTCATCTATCTACATTTCTAGACGAAGTTTCTTCCAAATGTTGAAACATTTTGCATCCGATGAGTTGGAAAATGAAAAATTAGTTGAATTTTCAACCCCCGAGGGTACGGATGAAAGATATAGTTATGCAAACAGACCCAGAAGAAACATATTGGAAGTTTTTGAGGTGAAAAATCTAAAGTTGTGCTTGACACTATCTAAATGAAATCAACTGCTGGTAGTTGTTTTAATTGTATTAAATATTGTTTTCAATTTCAGGATTTTCACAAGACTGTCAAAAATATTCCATTAGAACGATTGCTCGAGATTATTCCGATGATTCAGCCTAGAGCATTTTCAATTGCATCGTCACCTACTAAACATGTCAATGAAATTCACATTCTCGTGGCAATTGTCAAGTAAGGAAATGAATTTAGATATTTGAAATGTGGTCTTATTAAAACAATCTTCAAATTTCTAGGATTACTAGTTATAGAAAAATTGGGGTAACTGGTTATCTTTTACCACAGTGGTCACCAAAGTGTGGGTCGCGACCCCAAGTTGGATCGCCTTGAATATTTCGGGGGTCGCAGAGTGTCCGGCGTTGTATTCTTGTTATATTTTTCATTATTCTATTGCGTGCATTCTACACTGAGCTGAATAGCACCACATAGCAAGTTTGGGTATTCTGAATTACAGTGATATCTTTTATAATAAGGCCATTGTGTGACGGCAATAATTAAATTGTAACACGAAATCTAGAGTGTGTGATAGAGTTTTTGGGAATGAGATTTTACTGTGATTAGTTTTTAGTGGTTTGAAATATTTTTTTCTTTGCCATACCTAGGCGTCACAAGCTTATCATACACGGCATAATATTTGAAATGGGGTCGCGTCTCAAAAAGTTGACGACCACTATTTTACCACATCAGACTGGTTTGGTAACATGGAGAGCATTTGTGATTTGTTGTGTGTGGCTCCCTTTACTCTACCTGGAATAAAATCCTATCTCATTCCATGATGTTGTTTATCCCTCTATTTACTTCTGTTAGATACAAAACCATGCTTCATATCCCCCGACAAGGCTTATGCTCTACTTGGTTGGCAACTTTGAACCAAGGTTCAAAGGTTCCAATTTGGATTAAAACGGGAGGTATCAGTTTTCCTAATGCATCTAGCAAAGATTCACAACCTAATGGCACTTCCTGCATCATGATTGGACCAGGCACAGGTGTAGCCCCATTTCGAAGTGCAATACATGAACGAGTATGCAATGAAGAGAAAGGTGGGTGATTTTGAACACAGTGCTGACTGCTGATACTGTAATTGACTTATATCAGTGCTTTTCAACTGGGGTTAGGTGAGTTTTGAGAATACTGTAGCGTCCGGTTGGGGTTTCTCTTTGAGTTGGGGTTTTTCTCTGTGTCAATTTTCCAATATCTATTAGTTTACCAACTATAAAGAATAAAACCAGAAGTAGTTCGAGTAGTGTAGATTGAGCAACATTGAGCCATTTTATCTTCTGTAATGACTTTTCGTTGTCAGAGTGTCCAACACCGAAATATTTGACTTGTATGTTTATGGGTGTTTTGGATAATTGTTAGTAAAGGTTCTGTGATGAGCCCAATAGCATATCGCGGTTCCACAACTATAAAAGGTGGAGGAGCACTGGTTTATAGGTTCGTTTTAACTGAAAATTACTGAAATACGTAATTGCATTGCATGTAAAATTCCCTTTTTCAGGAAATGTTCTCTTTTTTGGATGTCGGAATAAGGATGCTGATTTTTATTTTCAAGAAGAGTGGAATAGTTTGATTCAAGATAGATGTCTGCAATTATTCACTGCATTTTCAAGAGATCAAGATGAAAAAATTTATGTTCAGCACAGGATAGCGGAACATGGTCAATTACTGTGGGATATTATTAGTAAATGCAATGGAAATATCTATGTAGCAGGGTAGGTATTCTCCATTATAAGGTTATCATTGTTTTAGTCAGTATCAATTTATCTTATCTCTATTATGTTTAGGAATTCAAAAAACATGCCGGATAGTGTCCGAGATGCTTTCTTGAAGATTTTTAAAGAATTTGGAGAGATGACCGAAAAAGAATCATTTGAATTTTATGAAACTATGCAGAAAAATAAAAAATATCAACAAGAAACTTGGTCTTGACACATCTTAATGCGTACTTTTAGCAAATTAATAAATCAATTTAAAATAATTTTATCATTTTTGCCTGTTTTTATTGTGAACAACTGTCTGTGCACGAAGGTGTAATAATATTAAAAAGCATATAGGGTACATTATTTGATAGATGCGTCCATCCGACCATTTAAAACCAGATGTTTCTGTTGGGAAGTTATTTGAATATAGCGATCCGTTTTCCATGATGTTAATGATGCTTTTAGCAAATTAATAAATCATCTTATGATCATTTTTGTCTGTTTTCAAAATAAGCAACTGTTTTGTGAACAAACGTGTAATAATATTAGGAAGTATATCCACAATATTTTATAGATGCCTCGGCCAGTTGTTTCTGTTAGAAGTTATTTGAAAATAGCGATAATGCAGCCATCTCAGATGGAAGTTTATCAGCTGGACACTAACTTTTTGTGTAGTTGGGCTCTTGGTGGAATGACATTGAGGCCATTTTAATATGATGAGCAAGGATGTTGCCCGCTGTTTTCGAATTAGGATCAGATTTGTGGCTCAAGCCAGTTCGAACAATTTGCAACCGAAAGTTGTAGCTCACCCGGTAAATTTTAGGTAACAATAGGGTGCGCAACATCGTTTCATTATTGATTAATGGGAAAATAAAACGATACCAACTCGTTGGTGAGTGGCCGCGTGCTCTTGAACGTTGCTTACGTTGGTGTTAGTTACGGTATACTCGTACTCGGGTTACTCTCCATTTCGTATAATTGTATTTTTTTGTTGTTCTATTCATGTCAGGACAGTCACAATAATTTATTGATAGACGTACTCACCGTTCGAAATCAATCACGCGTATGATGTAACCAAGGTTTTGCTCATCCAAGCATAAAATTTGAAATATTTTGGCAGAAAACAAACCAACATCGCTTTTCATTGTTAGCCTAATTTTCGTTACCGGTACGCCCTGAAGTTTACCGCTACTGTTTGTAGATTATGAAATACAAGCAGACTTAACTGCTCGTGTGGCGCGTTTTTCCACATTAAAATTGATAGCCAGACAGGACAGTAGGACGTTCTAACTCAATTTTCAGATTTCAGCGTCAACGATCCTCTGCAAACTGTGCCACGAGTGCGTTAACCGACACGTCCAACCGCGGTGTTTCTGTGTTTTGCCATTATGCAATTTACAATTTTCATCATTCAAGTCTTATTAATAATTCAAAAGTTGAGCAACCTCCAAAGGTTGTAACCCAGAGAGGTGGACATAAACCTATATTTGGTGGTGAACCTTATTCCTGTATTTGATGAATGAGCCAATCATCATATTTTTATTGCATGATTATGGAAACTGTGGAAAAGGACTGTGGGTCATAGATATTCGTTGAAGCATTGAAAATAATAAACATAATGTTGCATCTTTTTCAGAAGTTTTATAATCCTTGGTTTGTATTGTGTATCTTCGAACTTCACACATGCCGCATTTATAGTTATAAGTTCAGAAGTTGTAGGTGATTTATGGTACTCTAGTTTATGACATTGATTTACAAAAACATGGATTCGCATGTGTATAAATTAATCGAAAACCGTTTATAATACAGTAATACTAAAGCAAATCGTCTTATGGGATTGAAAAGATTTTGCAAAGGAATTCAACTCTGGGAGAATTATAATTTTTAATCCAATCACATAAATCCATCCTGCTCAGTTTTTATTTCAGATTGCTATGTTTGTAAATTAAGTCAATAAAATTTTGTTTTCTCGAAGGCATTGTATGCGTGAATTATAAACTGCAGAGTAGTATATAGTTCTCATATAGATAGTTTTATTATCAATTTTCATTACTAAGGTCTTATGCTTTTTTTCGTTAATTCTTTACTGTCACTTTGTGACGCGATCCCTGATGTATATCCTATCATATGTTATAACATGAAACATACCAGTATACTAACCTACTACTGTACTATGGTAAATGACCTCGAAACATTTGAATATTTAGATTTTGAATACAGGCTTACTGAGGTCTGGAGGTGTAAGGAATATTGATGCCGCTATTTTCAAATATTTTATACAGTTATCGGCATATCACTGTATCAGGATATAAAAATGCACTGAAATATTTCTCAGGCTACTTATCATACTCTCATATAACATAATGAATCAATGTATAATTTATTTTCAGAACTAAAATAACATAATATGCCGCCCAAAAAGAAAGGTGGAAAAAAGAAGGGCAAAAAGGCAGCTGCAGATGAAGCACCTGCTGATGATGCAGAAAACGCTAAGGAGCCTACAGGTCCTACTGACAGAGAAGTTTATTTAAAAAAAGAACTGAATCATTTGACTAATGATTTAGAAAGACTTAAAAAGCAGTCAGAGGAACTCAGAAAAGAAAATGAAGTATTACAACAAGAAGCTCAACATACCAGAATTGAAAGCCATGAATACATGTCATACATGGCAAAAAAGACACATAAACGTCAAACAACAATTGTGTCTCTAAGCGATCAAAACCAGAAGGAACTTGAAAAAATAAATTCGCAAAAAGAACAAATGTTATCGGATTATGAAGAGAAAAAAAATAAGTTAAAAGCAACTCTTTTGGAAAAAGAAAGTTTACTCACAAAAGCGAGAAAAGAGTTTCAAGATTTAGGTGAATATCGAGAACTTCGTGAAGATCAGTTGAAAAAAATAAAGCAACTCGAGCGTGAAGTTCTACACATGCGTGGAAAACATTCAGACACAATTCAACAGCTGAAAGCAAAATTTTTGCAGGAAAAGGCAGAATATACTGAAGAGAGTGAAAATAAAATTCAAGCATTAGCTCTGGAAGCTAACAAAAAAGCTGTTCAATGTTTGAACGAACATACAACAAATATAAAGTATGAAAATCGACAACTCAGAGCGGAACTTCTTAATTTAATCAGAAAAAGTCAGGTTTTAAATCAGCACAAACAAGAATTGGAAGAACAGAAAAAGCAGCTGCAACGAGAACAACAGTACAGTGAAGATATTCGTAAACTACGTGGCGTGAGACAGAAGAAAGCTCTGGCACAAATGGAGAGAGAAGAACAAGAAAATCAATGAATTCCAATTCGTTAACAAAAACTTCATTTTGAGATATTTCGAAAGTGGCTAGTTGAAACTTATTATCAAATATAGGAAAATTGTCACATTCTGTAATTAAGAGATTGTTTTATATATCATTGATAGCTAAATACTCTTTTTAATTCAACCCAGAAGTCTTTTTTTGTGGTTCCATTTATCATTATTCTCAGTGTTTATAACAACTTTATTGTTGAAATCCAATTCAGTTTCTTTACTGTAATTTTGTGGCGAAATAAATTCATTGTGATATTCTGTGATAACTTTTTGTTGCATTCAATCAGTAGAACACAACTATTCAATAGTTTTCGATATATTTTTATAATTTAGGGAACAAAACCTAGGCATTGATACAGTATAATTTTTAAATTTTATGTCTCCATGTTCTCTTTAGTGTTTGTTCTATAGTATGGCGTTATAAAATTTCTAAGGCTTATATATATATACTCATACTTATTTCAGTTTCAAGTCATTTTCAAATATTCCCAGTATTTATGTATTTCACTGTCAACTTATTTTGTTTTAGTTTCATTACATGCTTGTATCATTTAAAGCTTCCTATAATTCCAGTTTATATCACTCACTGTATCTATCAATTTATGACAACTTCGCTGTATTTTTATAGTGTATAAATAATTTATTAGAATATTTTTCACACATGGATTTGGATCTTCACAGGGTGGATTACTTGCAGGTATTTTTTTATTTTGCTTATAGTATTACTCAAGCTGTAACATCGACTTAGTCCTAGTAAGCTAACCTCTATGCTGTGAGCTTATTGCATTGAACTATGCTCTTATGTTCTGGGCACTGACTATTACCAGTTGTATTTGACAGAGAATCATCTCGGCTTAATTTAGATAAAATTCCATTTATGATGTCAAAATACCAGATAAATTTATACTTGTCATTGTCAATACTATATGTTTTTTCATATCACAGGTCGCAGTTACCGGAAAAAATTGCATGAAAGTTTTACCCAACAATGAAAAATCAAAAAGAATTTTGCAGAAAGTTGTAGTTGCGGACAAGAGCGGGGTTGTTACTTGTTTTGGATCGAAAAAAAGAGATATTTCTGTAAATAATTTATTTATTATCTTCGGATTGCAAAATAAACAATTTTTTATGGTAAAATCTTATTTTTCAGAATGTTTTCAAGACTTTGCCAGGAGAACCAAACAATTTTCTGGATTTGGGTGGTGCATTAGGAACTCCGCAAGATAAAATATTTGTTGCGTCTGGTTCTGTTGTGCACGGCTACTCAAGAAAAGGAAAAAAGTTTCTAGGATTTGACACAAATATTACAGAAAACATAAAGTGCATGTAAGATAATAAATGTTAACTGAGTGACCCAAAATACAAAATCTAGATCAGTTAAAACATATTCTGGAGGAAACATAACTTTTGTGTGAAGCATCCTAGATTAGTAAAACTTTTGGGTACAATCATACACAAAAAGAATTTCAAATGTTAAATAATTTTTTAAATACCGTAATTGTTGCGATTCATGGGTTCTGTTCTTTGGGTCACCCTGTATATCTAAGGGATAGTTTCTGTATGATATAGAATTTGGTTTTATTGAACTTTTATGCTCTATTGTAGCTATGATATAAATGTTCTTTGCAAAATTTTGCTACATATTTTTGTATAAAATATTACAAAGTAAGATCACCTGAGTGACTAAGGCAAAATCACATTTATATACAGAAGTAATTGCCTGATGTGGCGTCTTGGCTATTATGACATCATAGGGCCCAAGATTTTCAGGTCTTTGTTCAGTTCGAAATCCTCATCACCCTGTCATTGCAAGACCAGAAATATCTTTATGGTGCTTATAAAATGCCTTGTTTAAAGAAGATGTATAGAAAACCTCTATAAAAAGCCGTGTTTCTTTTTATGATTTAATTATTTTCAATTTTATTTCTAGTTGTGTGAGCGGAAGTGACCTTCTCATTGCAGGAGAATATATTTACAATCATTTTTGTGATTGCATTGACAAAGGATATTATCTGAGCAGCGATAAAATAAATGATATCATATGTATTCCTGTACTTCGAAAAGAAGGCGACAATTTCACACCAATTCTAGCTTGCAACGACAGATTACTTCGTGTTCTTGATGTAAGATGATCTTACAAGTTTGACGATAATAAAAAATGTGTGCTTTGGATATTTTTTGTTTATCAACTTGAATCTTAAATCTCAACTCAGCATCTTGAATATAGCTTAGAATTTTCATATTTATCCCATGGATAGGAAATTTAATAACAAAACTTAATCATATGGCGAACCACGTCCTACGTCCCGTTACCAGTTCATGTCGATAAAGGAATAAATAACCAGTTATCTGTTTCAGATGCATGGACTTGATAGTAAATAGAGCAATAACTGACCAGCTATCAGCCACCCACATATTATTGATTCTCGTCTTTTGCTTGAGCCAACAACAAATACCTATTGGCATCAAATATTTATGATGTGCTTTGATAAATTAAGTTTCAGATAAACAAGTTTCAGATAAATTATCTAGCACAAAGCATTAAATAGCATGGATCAAATTGCAGAACATTCCTCAGCAATACATATGTTCACAGTATCGTATGGTTTCATCTGATCAAAATATAGGTGATGTTAAATAACCATCCTCGATATTATTATATTGTCTATCTGTCCACATTGGAATTTATTACTTTTGCTATTCTCCACCTATTTTGTCTAGACCTCTACATAAAGCTCCCTAGCTTAATTTCATTGTATAATTTCTAAATAAATCTTTATACAGGGTACTGAGCTACGATATGAAATAGAAGTAGCTGGTGTTCCACAATGCATAGTTCCTTACCTTGGTAATGGAGGTGAAGACGGAAATGAAATAATATATGGGACTGTAGATGGAACGATTGGCCATATTGTCGTTGGCAGGTATGTAAATAAGAGTTGAGAGCTGTTGCTAGGGTCCATCAAATGACCATATATCATTAAACCACTATTTTGATCAGTTTAAATTTAAAGGTATTACGAAGTTGTTTAGAAAGTCGCCTCCCAAGGACGCTTATTTCAGGTGGGGGTTATGTAGTGTTAAGATTTAACCCTTTTGTACCCCGGCTATATAAATTTATACCAGCCTTGTCCGGCCAAGGCTTTGAGCAATCACTGGATGTCGAGGTGAAAATATTATACCAATTAGCTTCCATCAGCTTTCCATCTGACTGAGTATATTCTGTATGTTGACCGTGTACGTGCTAATTTATCACCCTGTCTGACCTGAGTGGTCTATAGACAATATATTAAAACATTTATTCTTATCAATTGTCTGTGACCCTAGATACACTGGTTGACCAACTAGTTTGAAGAATGATTTTACAGATCAAGTGAAAAAATGTTCGTACAAACTCAAACAAAACCATGATTAAATCAAATATCAAGCAGACATCAAAATCAAGAAAAATTAATCTTCTACATTTTATTGATAGGGATGAACCCAATCATACATGGGAGCTACCTAATGATAGAAATTTAGGTGGGGTATCCTGCTTGGCACATCATGATATGACTGGGAACGGAACGCCTGATCTTTTGGTGGGAAGAGAAGATGGCACAGTAGAAGTTTATAGTTATGATATTGGCGAAGAACCAACGTTAAGATATTCTCATGTGAGTACACACTTGCTTGACTCAACTAAATTCGCAAATTGCCAGAAACTTGATATCGACAAGATACTATGAAAAGCAATATGTGATATGCAAGTAATGCAACTCCTTAGATTTCGTTAGGTATCACCCACTGGCTGCTTGTACATGGCCATGATATGAGCAAATTACATAAATAGACGTTGTTGTAAAAAGAAAATGGAGCTAAGCAGGCATATCTTTGATTTCGTTTTACTTAGTATATAATTAGTTTTTATAAGGTGAAAAACGACTTCATGAAATATTTCAGACATTCAACGAAAGCATTACTGCCATACAAGGAGGTGTCATTGGAGCAACTGGGTTTGATGAAATTGTCTTGCTCACTTATTCCGGTTGGATAATCGGGTTGACAACAGAACCCCCAACCAAACACATTGGATCATCTCGCTCTAAAAGTCTGTCTTCTTCAACGAATGAGCAAGAAGACCAAGAAAATTTACAAAAAATCAATGAAATCAAGTTAGTTTGGGATAAATTTTTAATTTTAATCTACGATCAAACATTACATTGTAATAGAGGGACAATTTTTCATATTTATGTCGATATGTCAACTGAATTTTTAGTAATCCGAGAGTTTCGAGACGAAATGCAGGAATTGAAATTTCGAAAGAAAATTAATTTAAAAATATTACAAAGAAATAGGTGCTTATTAAGCTGGTATCTAATCATAGTTCTGTGCAATTGACGCCAAAATATTTCATTAAATAGTTACAAGAAAATGAAAAATATACATTTTATCAAAACAGTTTATTCAAGCTTGGCCTTTTTGGGGTCAAGCGCTCAACTTGTATCACAACATTTGTGAACTGCTTGTTTGAGGAAGTCCGGCTAGTTGGACCAAATATTACACAATGAAGTTTGAAAGTGTTATACAAGGTTCACTTTTGGGCCTCACAATTTATCCATTTTCATTCTTGCCATGGTGCATAGATACATTTCCATTAACACAAAAGCACAGAGAAAGGAATTGTAGTTAGACCCACTCTACTTCAATCAATAATCGTATTGTTACATTATTCAGATCAGAAATAGAAGAATTGCAGATGAAGGTTGCTTCTGAAAGAGACAAATACAGGAAAAGAGCAACTCAACCTGTTGACAAGAACGAATTGGTGAGAAATATTATTTGAAGCATGGCACTAGGTGTATTTTAAAAAAGATTTGTAAATATATTTAGCATTGCAATTTTAATTACTAATTATGGAAATAGATTAAAGCATGAAGACACAAGACAGATTTTGGGCCGTTCACAATCACATATCATTCACTTAATATGACCGTGCTGATCAAACCAACACTGAACTATACATATACCGTAAATGCTCGTTTTAACGCCCGGTCTTGATTAAGGGCCCGTTTGAATAGCCGCCCGTGTGAACAGGCCATGAAAATAAATAAGGGCCGGTGCTTGAATACCCACCCGGTGTAAAAGTTTTTTTTTTTTTAGGATTTGTATTTGCGGTGCGTAGAAAAAGTCTAAATTTTTATTATTCCCGTTTAAATCATACTTGAGAACTGGAAATGACAATATATGGTATTAATTATTGTAACGATCGATCTTATCTACCGGTATTTTTGTGCGTAATTTTACTTTAAAAATAACAAGCGCCCCTGCTTGAATAAGGGCCAGTTTGAATAAGGGCCCGGTTAGTGAGTATGTTTAAAAAAATAAGCGCCCGGGCTATTAAACGAGCTAATACGGTATGCATTGGAATATGGGATCTGTATCATGAATCAAACGTTTATTTAGAGTATCGTGTGTGGTTTGCCATATGCATGAGCCTTTTTTAAATTTTCTGGAAATGCTCATGACATTGTGATTGTCGTTTTTCATCTGATGCTTGGCCTACCCAATTTATCAAATCCTGTCTTGAGACTTGTACCAGAGATGTGTAATCTGGAATGGCAACATGTTAAGTGTAGCTTGAATTTCAATACATATTTTTGTTTCCCATCTAGCCAACAATGTCTCGTGCTGCAATATTTCATGTGAAAGATAGGTTTGTTCTATCACCTTCTGATTCAAGTTATAACCTAAGTATTGAAGTCCAAACACCAATCGACCACATAGTATTACAGGTCAGTGAGCTTGATTTTTTATTACTGTAGTTTAATTTAAATAAATTGCTACCAAAATTTAAAGAAAACTTGATAGGTAGGTTTTTTACTATTCAAATTTTTTTTCGATAATATACAGCATATTTATATGTTAAAGAGCTACTTGAGTTTGGAAGAACAGAAATTTGGATTTGAAACCGAAAAATATCTTGCAATCTCGACTTAGTTTAGTCTGATACCGTAAATCACACTCGGCCACTTCGCTTAGATTTCTTCTCTAATGTTTACTATATGCAATGTCGACAAACATTTCATTAAAAAAATTATAACTTGCACTATAAGTCATTTTCTACATTATTATTTTTAGAGTGATGTTCCGATAGATATTTTGGACGTTGCTAAAAACTCAGCAGTTGTTTCATATACCCCATGTACATCTGGTCCACCTTCATCTACTGGTGGAAATTATTCTGATGTCAACTCTGGGAATTTTCTGCTTGCTACCTACAGATGCCAGTCTAGCACTACACGACTTGAGGTGAGATTTAATATTAAAGCCTATATATAATATATAGAACTTTAGCAAATTACTGAGACATTGCTTTAAAGCAATATAGCTAGTAAAGATTTAAAGCAATATTGCTGGTAAAAACTAGAATATGTCACTGCATGGCAGTAAGGAAATAGGCTTTGAGTTTTATATTTCAAAATTTAAGGGTAGGATATTTCATATTCATGTGAGTACAATAGGGAGGAAAGGAAGCATGGGAGTAGATATAAGGATGGAACATGCACCATCCTGCAACAGTGATTAGTCCAGCACATTATTGTTTGCAACAGGGCTAAAACCATAGCAGGGTGTGACATCATGTGTGCCTATGTCTTTATAATTCATATACGTTTATAGATATCAAAGTGTCTTAACTCTCACAACAAGGTGGTCCCCTGAAATATGATGTTGATATATGAATACAATAAAATATGATATCTTGGTACAGATGTACAGATTTAAATAATTATTGTTGTTTAGGTACACGTTTTGTTAATATTTTGGGTATTTTGAAATGTGTAAGAACGAATTAAAATAATTACCATTGTTTCTTATGGAAAAAAAGTTTTGGTACTTGAACAAATCGGTACTTGAATACCAATCCTGAGCGAATTATGTTAGACTACTGAGGTATCACTGTATTATCAAACCAAAATGCTTTGTTTTTGCTTATTCAGCTAAAAGTTCGATCGATTGAAGGTCAATATGGACTTCTGCGAATGTACATCACACCACAACTTCAACCAAAGACTTGCATTGTTAGAGAATTTGTCATCAAACCTCTTTCACTTCATCAAAGAAGCCATTTTATTGATGATAACAGGTAATATTTTTCTAAATAGTTATCTATTTTCAGTGTTGGCAAAGAGGTGGATGAGCCCAGATTGACATAGATTTTATATCAATCCTAGTCTATCTAAACCTGGTGAAATAGTGTAATATTATTAGGCTGTACTGGATGAAAAGGGTCTATTTTCACAACAGTGGTCAGAGTACCCAAGCATTAGATGTCTCTCTCTTCAATGTTGAGAAGACTTGAGTTACAATATATTGAAGCCACTCTAATCATGTAATTGAAATGACTTGTACCTGTACTGAACTCACCACCGGTGAGATTTAACTAGGTCATCGACTTCGAACTCGAGGTTTAGGGACTTCTACCTGACACTGCTCTCTATTCACCTAAATTTTTCTGGTCAGAAACTATCGAAATCCATTTGTTATAGTTAAGGCTACTACATGCAAGAAAATATAGTTTCAGTTGTATTTGAGACATCCCAATGTATTGTAATAATAAACTTCACACAATCGTGTTGGTTATGATATAGTAAGAACAACAATATACAGATATAATTGAATGTCTTATATTGCAAAATTTTATACTGTACACTTTATCGATGACCGATAACAAACCCAGAATATCTAGATGTGTTTTTAAATTCAAGTAGGAAAATAAAGACGGTAATGCCATCTCATACAATGGAAAGTGAACTGTCTTGTGGTATAAATTTTCATATTTTTATATCTAAGGCCAATGAATGTGCTTAAATTGACCGGACCATTTAGCTTGGCAGAAATGCATTCATGGGTTGCATACAGCTTACCAGATGTACCAGACAGAACACCAACTGATGATGTTGCCACATTCAGCTTTGTGAATACCTTTTTGGACACTGTTCTTGAATGTACTTACAAGTAAGTGATACTTTCAAACTTTCATACAGATTTTTTGTGTTAATACAACAGAAAACATGAATTAGTCATTCTAACGTATGGACAAAAGTCATGTTTTGAGATGTTATTGGAATCTTTTTACAGCTGGATGGAGAATTATTTTCATTTAAGAAGCGTTATATACAATAGGAGAATGTGTTTGAATCTGTTTTGGAGTAGAGGTTGATTGGCTGAATAAACTCACCCAAAAATGGGTGGCTATAATTTGCCATAATATGTTTAAGTCGCCTTGACTTTTATGCCCTCACGGCTGTGTCGAGAATCAGACTTGATGAAAAATTTCGAATTATTCAAAGGCAGAATATCAGACTTTAATAGGTGGTAATCAATGCCTACAGAAACTAAAAAGTTAATAAATTGTCTAAGCATTCTCAACAGACAAAGAAGACAAGACGCCTATGCCTACATTTTTCAAAGGTCAAAATCTCTTTTAATATAGAGTCGTACGCCAGAGTTGGGATTAAAATTTGTCAGAATCAGTTTTTTAAATGTAAATTTCCGATTCCTAAGCCCTGTGTTAGATGACCAACTGGGATCTTATCATTTTATCCAGGAAAGGTGAAGGAATATTCAAATCTGATAATATTTCCACCATATCAATTTTGAAAGATGTTTTAACAAAAGAAGCAACAGGAAGAAAAATTAATTTGAATATAAATTACGATTTCAATCAGTCATCTATTCCACATACTTTAAGTTTAATTCACCCTAAATTGGATTACCAGTTGATGCTAGCCAAGAAGGTTCAACTCATTGATGCATTAAAGGTATATTCATATCATTTTTAAGTGTGGACAGTGATGATAATTAATTGGAATGAAATTGAGAGCATGGCCCGTTTAATGGGCTTATCTGCTATCATTAGTCTGCATCATTTTTCAACCTAGGATTCTTCATAGGAGAGTCACTGCTCGATGACCAAAACTGGATTATCGCATTTCCTATCATCCTGAAATGCAATTTTTTACTTCATTCTGTATGTACAATGTGTATTTACAGTATGGTGAAAATATAAAAAATAAATTACCGATTTCATCTTGGGAGGGCCAGACCCGGGGATGAAAAAATATGACTTGGGTATAGCAGTATAGCATTCCCTTAAGATAACACTTTGTGAAAATGTACATAAAATACCCCAGTTGAAAAAATAAAATGTAACCAGACCACTGAACACTGTATTTGCTAGTATTGCGACTGCTAAACCAAATCTTTATGATTCAGGAATTACAAGTCCACGAAGGTAACATTGATTTTCTAGCAGCAGAATATCAAATGATACTTGGGGACAGTGAGATGTTAAAAGAGGAATTCAAAAAACAACCCGCACATTTGGAGAGATTATATGGTATTATAAATGATGATCTCTTTAGCCTCAAGCGGCCAAGACTCCTCAAAATTTTCTGTAAAAAAATTCATTTTTATTTTTCCAGGCATGGTCACTGATCTCTTTATTGACAAGTTTAAGTTCAAAGGTGTCAATGTTAAACAAAAAGTTCCACAACTTCTAGAAACTTTGGACAATTATGATCTTTCAACATTGATAGAATTCTTTGAAACTGCAACAGTATGACTTCACATCATGTTTATAATTAGAAAGCATTTTAGTATTCCACAGCAGCAAGAGAACATTCCATCCCGTGATGTGGACCCACATTTAATATAAAACCTCTAGTATGACTAACGTCATCAGAGGCTGCTTAGCTGTATTTTGAATGTGATGTCCGGAGTTCTTTCAATTGTCAGTGCGCCACACCAGGGATGATGCATAGCCTACAATAATATAATTCAAGCATAACATCACGATTGCTTTTCGTACCTCTCTGCTAGCGGTCAAGCGACATACCAGTCTTTGTTACAAATTTTCTAATAAATTCATATTTTTTTTATACATGTTTATTTTATTTATAAAACAGCAGGGTCATAATAACGCAGTTCTCATGCAACCATCGAATCCGAGTTAGCCCGTCAACTTTGACTCTGCATCCAAAGGTCAATTACACTTATGCCCCTACCCGAGAATACCCCACTCCAGCGAAGGTGCTCTGACAAGAAATATGCCAGAGGTTTTTGCCAACATCACTAGTGGCTCCCGTCATTAGCTTCATCGTCACACATGTCATACTTTAGAATTATCCGCAAGAGTTCATTTCTGCATCTGCGTTGTTTGTCTGGGTGGAACCTACCCAAAACGTTTGCGATATACTGTGAAAATGACTCGTTCTCTTTAGATGGTCTTGGCTCTTTTATTGCTTCCAAAGCAGGGGGACTAGAAGATGGTTGCAAAAACGCGGACGAGGAATCGTTGTGTTTTTGTTGGTAGTCTGGATTCCACCGTCTCACGCGTCGTTGTATCCGATGTTTTCTCACGTATGCAACTGGTTCTCCAGCGGCGGGAGCTGTAGTGCGGTTGTTCTGCCTGGCGAAAAAAAAGCAATCTTGAACCAGGATTTTCACATTTAATAGGATGTAAAGGAAGCCGATAATACAGCTTAGTCGCATGGCGGGACTCGTTATCGTCGGGTTAGCAGTCCTGGTTTAGTATGAAGGAAGCTACTCGTTTCGGAAGACATACGCTTGCATTGCTCTGCGCAGTACCCCGCCTTCGCACGATTGAATCCTTTGTAGGAATGATTATGTACAAGAGTAGTGCAAGTATTACCTTACCGTCGCAGAGTGGTTCACCAGAACACTGGTTAGTCACGACTACGTCCACCATCCAACTCCATGCATCTATTGCTCTTGACTATTCCCCTCTTGACTATAACCGAAAAGGGCCGTATTTCGCTATGTTTAAGTCATTTTATTAGCTTCCACTCATCGATACAGTATTATCGAGTAAAAACCAACCCACGTCGGATAGTCAGCAGTGCGACACGAAGTCGTGGTTCTCTCCGCTATTTAACCTTTTTTGGATAGCATGACATATACAAGGCTCACCTGTCCGATAAACTCGTGGCATTTTCAATTATTGCATTCTCCTGGTCGTCGTCACTGTCCTCTTCCTCATGTATCAGGTTCTGCGAAAAACTAAGGTTGTCTTGAACAAGCGGCGACTGGTCTTCGTCACCTCCATACACTTGTGACAGTGACACCACTTCTCCATACTCTTCCTTCACTTGTAGCTCTTTATTTTGCGACCCTTCATACTGCAAATATTTTTATTTTAGTTTTCAAACGTTTTTTAAAGCCAATTCATAAATCAACGAAATATATTCACCACATTGTTATACTGACGATTGCGATCTGCTGTGCTGGAATCTGATTTTCTCAGGAACAAAAGTGTGGTATAGTGGTCCCAGGTCGGAACATACTGCAAAATATATACATATAACGTTTTACAAGTCGGAACAATATATTGAATAATATAATAAAATAAACGTACCGGTGCAAATTAAAAAATAAATAAGAGCATACCGCATACTAACAATCTTACATGTAACCTGTTTTTAAAGAATACTGGTAATTGAAAAATTCTCGCTACACCGTAAAGGCAGCGATTAAAACAAGTTTGTGGAATTTGACCTTCTAGAATTTTGGTGAATAATAAAGCACTTGGTTCATAACTATTTAGTCTGTCAAAAATGTTTCTATATAAACGTATGCTTGCTATACCCGTAGGATCGCCATCTGGTATGGTGGTGTATCCCCATATTGATCAACGTACATAGAATAAAGAAGCAAGAATGAAAGAATATCGGCACTTAAAAAGAAGGAAAATACACGAACAGAAAAAAAACTGAGAATTCTTGGTATTTAAAATATATAATAACTGTGTTGTTATTATTTTGCATTCTCTGTTACGTTTGTATTATATTAATATTGCAATATTGTTTTATGATATAAACCCAATATAAAACAAAACAAAGAAGCTTGCTATTTGCAACTTGCAATGCGTTAAATCAATTGTGAAATTTTGCATTAGGTTCATTTCATTCAGTATCATTGTTTATATTTAACTTCTGTGTGACCATCGGTATTTGGCATAACTATAGTAACTCACCGTCGGACTAACAGTTACTTTTCTCTCTTCGCGGCAAAATTGCGATCTCATCGATGACCAGCGCTGTCGGATTGTCCCTTCGTCAATGTCGAGCAGTTGAACAAGTTCAGAATATCCTTTCATGCGTGGCTCACGTTTGTGAAAAAGAATGTGGTCTGTATCCCACATATATCTGTGCTCTTCAAAGTACTTGATCATTTGAATTTCTTTTTCTGGCGTCCAATAGATTGAATATCGCTGATTCTTTCCTACACCATTTGATCTCGACTTGATGGCAAACATGGCGACGAACGTACTCTGTCTGTCCTTTGTTGAGAACAACATAGACAGACAAGTTAACACGTGACACGCTCGTGCCTGTCTGGAAGAAAGAAGGCAGGACTTATTTGTCTTCTAGTATGCCGCAATGTTCGCCAGTCGGAGTCACTGTTGGCGACATTACAACAGCCGATCCTTTTCTTCTTTTCTTTCGTTTTTACAAATTGATAACCGTGTAGGAATGGACGAAGCTGCGTGAATAAAATAAGTAACATAACGGTAACGTGTATGCCGTTAGTGTAACCACAGGAGATGGCTTCGGTGTCCACAATCTTACAGTTCTCGCCACAAGACCAATGAAAAACATTCATTCTGACATACTCCCAGCGAGAAATACAAAAATATGGACTCCTGTCATAAAAAATAACATACAAATTCGAGGAAGAAGTGATTCTATTTTCAAAATACTGTTCAGTTATTCTGTTATTGGTTAAATTTTATGAAAATTGATATATTACATTGTGGTCAATTATTTTTTCAGCATAGATACCAATGCAATAGTAATACCATACCTAAGTTTGATATCTGTAAAATGGAAAACTACTATGAAACATTACACGTTCCAGTCTTCTGTGAATTATCAGAAATCAAAACTGGATATCAATTTTTAATCAAGAAGTTACATCCAGATAAAAATATTCCTAATACTACAGATTTTGAACAAAATCGTGAGAATGAAAAATATTTTCATCAAGTGCAGACTGCATGGAAAATTCTCAGTGATAAACAGTTAAAAAAGGATTACGATACGTTACTGAAACGAACAAAACTTGAGAATGAATTATTGGTGAATGAAGAAATTTCATTAAGCGATATGGATATTATAACAGATGATGCAAAAGACATGGAATATATTTACCCTTGTAGATGTGGTACTGAATATATTTTGGACAAAAAATATTTAGAAATGGATTTGACAAATATTATTTTAACTTGTGAGACTTGTTCGCTTCATATAAAAGTAGTAATGAAACAAGAGTCATAGCAGTTTAATTTATATATGGTTAGTATATTATTTGGTTATCATAATATTATATCAGTTATTATCTTGCACTGACTGAATTAGCAATACTAATAAGTTCTGTCTGTTTCATCGATGATGATCTCAATTCATTTTTTAATATATAGGCCTACTTTTTTTAACTATTTATTCTTCGGAAATCTTGTTTAAAAAATTAAGTTCAACTAGCATTGTCTGCAACTTACTTTGATACTTTTAAATATTAGAATAAATGTATTTAAATGTTGGAATCACAGGCAAACTGGAATAATTCGAAACGAATCATTTTTTTGTGGGCTGGCAATTCAGAATCATTGTTTTGTATCATAGTACTGTAGTAAGTGTTCATTTATAAACATAGTAAGCTCCACTTATATCTAAATATGGAAGATATTAGAGCTCTGGAACTTTACTGTGGAATTGGTGGAATGCATTTTGCACTCAAAAAGATATGTCCTTCGGCAAAGATTGTCGCAGCTGTTGACATCAGTCCAAATGCTAATAAAGTATATGCTCATAACTTCCCACAAGTCAAACTCATGGAGAAAGGAATCGAGGGTTTCAGGTAATGTGACTAGCTATTTTTTATGCTGATTTTTATTGCGCTGATGTGATACTTGCAGTATTGAGGAGGCCGGAGTTGGATTCGAATCCTCTAAGTGGAATGATTCGGACTCCTTATCAGCTAACTGCCAGTGACCATTAACTCAATGATTGATTCGATTTTGAACTCGAACAGAGTTTCGAATTTTTGACTTGAATCACAGCTCTTGAGTTTAGGAACCTCTACCCAACATTAATACTTATGCTACAAATTTATACATCAAAAATAAACAAACGTAATAATTTTTCTTCCAACAGTGTGAAGATGTTAGACAAGCTCGATTTTAACATGGTGCTGATGAGTCCACCCTGCCAACCATTTACAAGAATTGGATTACAGAAAGATGTTGCAGATCCCAGAACTAAGTACTGTATGTTTGTCAAAAATCTATTCTAGCATACAAAATTAGAAGGTATTTTTATCAATGTTATGGAAGGGAAAACCTGATAATAATCTTATGCTAAACATTCTCTCGTTTGGTTACCTATACAAGTAAGGGATTATTAAATCAGTTAACAACAAACATAAAGGGGTATGGTTAAGGTTTCAGTCATTTCATGATGCAAAGAGCTTGACAATCCTTTTACAAAAATCATTTCTTGAGATTTGAATCTGTGAACCGGGCTCAGGGTAATCATTCACACGAACCAGCATGATGATGCAGCCATGTAATCACAAGTTGAACTAGGTTTTACTTTTTATTGTGACCAAATAACAATACCACAGCTTGCAAAACTACTACTGTAAAATTTATATTCTGAGTTATGCTTTTACATAGAGGCACCAAGCTTTTGGTATTTCTCAAACAACATTTTTTTCTGCATTCCAGGTCTTTCCTACATTTTCTATCTGTGCTTCCAAAGTTGTCAAAATTACCAAAATACATTCTACTTGAGAATGTCAAAGGCTTTGAGACATCAGAAGCACACAAGGAGCTCGTTAAAACTCTAAATGCATGTAAATACAATCAGCAGGAATTTCTTCTGTCACCGAGACACCTCGGAATTCCGAATTCACGCTTGAGGTATTACTTTACAGGTTGTCATGATTTTTATAAATCTTTAGCCAGCAGAAAATATTGTGTGAAATGTTTCAGTAGTTTATCATATCCATGATTTTCATTTAGTTGTGCATTTATGTAAGGAAAACTATTTTCCACTCTTTGCTGTTTTCATTTTTTTATAGTTTTATTAATTGTGGCGTTTGTTTTTTGATTTGTTATGAACTTTTGAAGATATATAAATAAATAAAATAATTTGATGTTTTCACTATAGTATTAGTGTAGTATTCATTATACATTAACCATTGCCCCAAAAATATTATCATATTTTATTGAATGTGTAGAACAGTGGTTCTCAAACTTTCATGGTCTGTGATGTGACCCTCTTCCAAAGACTGCCGAGCCCTTCCATAAGAATACCTAGTTTCGCTTTTAACATGTTTCCATCAGTTATTTCACATGCCACTTCAATAATAAACAGATAACAAATAAATGCATTGCAGGCGAATAATAATTTTACTTTAAATTAATGTAGTCATTCCTAATATTGGGCTTCTGCTTCCGACCTCCTGAGAACTGCTTTGTGGTCTCCAGGATGGCCGAGGGGCGAATTTGAGAATCCCTGGTCTAAAATCATTACTTTTCTTCTTATACCATTGATTTCCTATATTTACCCACATAACAGTAAAATTTATAGTTAGTCTCATAGAAGTTAATCATATTGCAAAAATACCACAGTCCACAACATCAACTTTTTGTATTACAGATATTTCATGCTTGCTAAAAGAGATAAATTTCATTATAATTTATCAAAACAAAACAATCAAATATGGGAAAGTCTGCCTATTCCAGTGAGCATCATACCAGGAGTACAACAGTCATTGCTAGAGCTAGAAACAACGGAAAATCCTAGCGAGCCATCTGCGAAAAGGGCAAAATTGGAGAGGTATCGGACCATTATTGAAATTTTATGGTCATACCTATATCGTAATATAATTTTGAATTGTGATTGACAATACATATGTAAAATAAATAACCGATTGTATGTAACTGATCTGCAGTTTGATTGACTGTGAAAATTCAATTTAGCAAAGAAGTTCAAAATGGTACAGAGCATAATCAAGGTGAATGTGATTCTGTTGAACTACAGACTATAGAAGCTTTTTTGGAGCCAAATCCACCAGAGGTAGGTCCATGCATTGGTATATATAAAATTTCGTTAGAAAGTTTATGTCACTTACTTTATACAGTATATCCATTTTTTGTGTTTGCTTGTTTTAGTAGGTATTTAAAACACCACCCTATGTATTTTCGTGTCACAAATCCATCTCACAAACTTTTTATTTATATTTTCATGTTTAATTTATTTGTTTGTTTAATTACTAATATAGGATTCTTTCGTACCTTCCAAAATCATTCAACGCTACCTTGGAGTTGTCGATATTGTGACAAAATACTCAACAAATTCAACCTGCTTCACTAAGTCATATACTCAGTATGCAGAAGGAACTGGTTCGATACTTAACATGAAGAACACTAAGTCAAAAACTCATATTTCTTCCAATATGGAGCCAAATATTAAGGATTTTCGATACTTCACACCAACAGAAGTAGCCAACCTTATGTGTTTTCCTAAACATTTGAGTTTTCCAGAGGAAATATCTAAAAAACAAAGATATAAACTTTTAGGAAATAGTTTGAATGTAAATGTTGTTTCATATTTGATTTCTTTACTCTTACTTGTGAATAAAGAAATATTAACTTGAAGAGTACATTTTCCTTCTGTCTGTACTATTGTGTGGATTTTCATGCCTCAAAAAATATTTTTGACCATATGTATTGCACCCATCCAATTATGGCCACTATATTTCGTTCAGATTTCTTAATTTATTCTATGTCCTGCTGAATGATATAGGTAAAAGCTATAAAATAGGATTTTATTGTCCTATCAAACCAGCTTGATCAATACTCAAAAAGGTCACTCGTATATATTTGTCAAATTAGATTGCAATAAATGCTGAGAATTTGCATAATAAAATTTTTGAATTGAGTCCAATAAAATAAAGGAATCTAGTACAGTTACCTTTCTGTGGATGGTCTATTTATGTTGCCAACATAGTGTATTTGAACACTTTCGTTAAATGCATATAAATTTTCTGGTTATGTTACACATAGGCTATATTAAATGCTGCAGACTGAATTCACGCACAACGCCATATTGACCTAAAACACAAACAAACCCCGGGATGTCACCAATGTTCTCGAATGACAGGTCGCCGCACATCGGCATATGAAAAAGTTTCTTGCAAAATTAGACTGTTTTTCAACTGTTCTCAAAGGTGTTTTGTCGAGTGGTGTATTAGTCATAATAGCTCCAAAACGTGTTTTCGGAACCCGTATGAACCTTCTATTTGCATTCGGATCTGTCCTGCGTGGACCGGTACTCAGAGCAAAAAAATCGGTAATATCTCGTGATTCTCGTCTATCCACCAAGCTTGTCAATAACAACTGTTTTTAAATTTCACGTCAGATTGTGGCGTCAGAAAAGTGCCGAATCGTATCAGCTGGTTTGCTCCGAGTAGTAAACAACAGGGTTCGTGCGCGGACGTTTCATAGTTGTGTTGACGTTTTCAGTCGAACAGGGTTCATTCGGGTTCGCTGACCGTAATTGCCTCGGGAAATAGTTTGACTGAAAAATTGAAGCTCAACAACATAATTGTATAACTATGGTATCGCAGGCCGTGCACTCTTAGCGGAAAATGCAATGCCGCGATTTTGTCTTGCAACCAATACTGACCCTCATTAAAACATAGGCGTACGGAATTTGCATGTGGAATAAGAAAATTATTTATTATTCGACACACTGTACGAGTATATTGTTGTGTCCGTTATGCGCGGTAATTCACTTTTTCAGATACGTTGTAAAATATCAATGCAACTGTCGGTATCACAAACCGTCCCAGCTGTTACTACTACGCTGACGTAATGTTTCCATTTCTTCTTTCTCTCTCTTTAATACATAGTCAGCTGACGACGAATCACCGCCTCCGCGAAAATAGATATTCATCCGCTAATCAGTCTGCAAATTTGTATAAGTTTACAGGAAAACTGCCGCTCAGATAGAACCAAAATTTATAATATTTTATTAGATTGATGTTAATGAGGAAAGGAAGTGTTTCATTAAATTGAAAAAAGACTTGACCGTATTTCTAGCGATTTGTTTATCGGCGGATGCACATACACTCGTATCACCAGCTGTGCACTCCGCTGAGCCTCGTGTTTCCCGCCATACTTTTTCAACCAAACGAAACGCAGAAAAGTTCTACAGCTGGTGTGCCTGGTCGTACTTTTTAAGGTCCGTATTCACGGAACGTGGAAAAGAAATATCGGATTATCAAATAGACTATTATTGAAAACGGAAATTATACCAAATGGATCTACATAACTCATTGACAAGGTAAGATATTTATTATGATGTGTGACCTTCATTTATGCATTTCCTATTGTTTGTAACGCGAGGCTGTTTATGTCGTAAATCTATGACTGCATTGTATAGCTACGCGTTGAGGCTCACGAGCATGAGTGGCCGTCATTTCAGTGCGGTTATTTATAGATTAACTTCGTTTATTTATGTATATTGTGTTAATCTTGTAACGGGTTTTTAACCGCCAACTAATCTATTCTTGACATGTGACCTTTTGATTGAAACACACGCCGTCTATACGTGCTCGTCGCTGATTGTGAATTTGCAAGTTTTTGCTTTTGAGCGTCCCCTTTTCCCAAGTGGGATTTTTACTGTGATAAAAATATTGGGCAATTTTCTGCAAGTGGTCGCCTCTTTGCTTAATTTTCGGCTCCATTCGTCAAACTGGTTTAAAAATGAGTTAATTATTTCGAAAAATGTTCGTAAACGAAAGGAATATAAATGAATGCAGACGGAAAGTAATCAGGCTAACATCTGAAAGGCTTATCACAGTTAATCTGTACAGCAAATCAATAAATACAGGGACTAGTATATGTACAATATCCGGGATCGTGAAATAATGTATTTGACGGGGATTTTATTGGTGTATCACTACAATGATATTTCGTGTAATTTCTGCATAGAGTAGTATTTTTAGGACGGTGTGATACTGATAACTACGCGTAAACACCGATATCATGAATGCATGGAATCGTTCTTTGATTTTTTCTACTGATAAAAATAGTATAAGGCTTTTACTACGCCTACCTGCGGAATTTTATGAGGCGCTTGATCAGGTGTATCTCGCGCTGTTACTCATAAGGGGTTTCCCTCCCTTCGCAGTTCCGGCCTCTTGCGGCATAGTCTGCGCTGTACTATAATCATTAACTTTTGTGTTTATTGAACCTCCTGTGCGCGAATAATATTTCAAGTGACATTGATAAAGGTTACTCCTATTCGCACAATAGGTAGTATTATCTGTTTATGGTATAGGCTGCATGATAGCATACCAAATGCGTAACTTCCGCTTTATTGCCGATTTCCCCCCACGCTTTCCCGTGCAAAATCTTGCTGCAGCAACGCGAAGTGTTGTTTATATGATTTGAGTTTCTGTTGTGACAAACTGTACCTCAAAGGACTACATTCAACATAGATGTAACAGCTGCCACGCCGGCTGAAAACTTAAATTTTGGCAAATCAATTTGATTTCTGTTCGGAAACTTGATAATCACGATTCAACATGCGATTTGTAGTTATCTAGTTTATTATTTCAATATTTCAAGTTATGGCGAATTTCAAATCTTTTGTTTGACTTAATTATGATATAGACTAGGGTTGTTACATATCGATGATACTTGAACTCGATGGGATAGATAGAGTATCATAGCCAACTTAACTAGCTCGCTTCGCCGTGTTTCTCGTCAATGAAATATCAGACGGTGTTTGGGTTTCGCATGTCGGAAAGAAACTACGCAGTCACGTCTTTTCGCGCCATAGTCTGTAGTTGATATATTTTAAATTACAGGTTTGATGTTATATACAGTATATAGTGAGGATCCGAATTGTACGTTCGTACGAATGGTTATGATGCGGCATTGTTGTTTTTTTGCGATGTCTATTCTGGACGTACGCAACTATAAAAAGACAGAAGTGACTTAACATTTTTCGCCCAACTTTCGCCAATGGAAAGCGGAAATATAAATCGATATTGCTTGTATCGATATGCCAAATATATTGCACTACTGATAAGAAATCTTTTAGGAAGTTGAAGAATAAGTATATATTTTGAACCATAGGCAGCATTATGTGTATGGGCGCACTAAATGTTCAGAACCAAGAAGAATTCACATCAACAAAGGGGATAGATGTGAACAAAAAATATATTATGAATCCGAGTAATTTTGTAACGTTAAATTAGGAATAGGCAAAACGCGCTTTGATAAAATAACATTGTAAATTGAATTTTATAAACCCAAATCACAATATCATGACGTTTGCGTGGTGAATTTTTTTCTTGTAATTCAGTCTCTCGACCCGTTCGACTCCCACATCCCAGCATATGGCCTGTTTTTAGTCTACTTATATTTACGATGGTCGCAGTATCCGCATATGTTTCATATGCTTTAAAATCAAAGCGTAACTTGGCGAGTTATTTTGTTGGCCGCTCCAGAGTGACCCGGTCTGACTTGATTCTCGTCTCAAATTAGCCGTAAAGACGGCGTTCGTCGCTTAACGATCCGTGTGGTATTTTGTCATCTTTGCTTTGTCTGCTACAGAAAGGATTTCTATTGGGCGTGACTTCGATGGAGGTATTTTGGGGTGTGTGGGAGGCGTCTTCTGCCACGTAGATAAAAGCGTGTGTGGCGGCCTTTTTCTCGCTAACGTCATTCTCTCGGTATTTGTGAATACCGCTGATCCGTTTTCCCTCCTACTCCAACCGTTTTCAACGATGCTGTCAACCGCAACTAGATCGTGTTTCTATTTGGAATGTGCTCGATATTTCCCCATGTTTTGGTCTGTTTTATTATTCATTGTTTGACTTCAGAGGTGGAATATGTTATATTAAAAACGCTGGTTATTTTGTCAAGTGTAAGACTGTAGATGCACGTAGATTTACCGTCCACAACTCCAATCATTTAATATCCTAACCGTAAGATGGCTCAAAAATGCGCTATCAGAAAGTGTGTATAGCCTTGTAGTGTGTTCTATGCATAGTCTGATTTCATATATTTGCATTAATTGTCATTTCTTGCTGTCCGTGCCAAAACCCATGCATTGTAATTGTAAACACCACATGTTTTCTCTCTTGCTGAGTGTTTCAGCTGTTTCATCGCTAGAGTAATTTTCCATTCACCTTCTGATGTAAACGTCGCTCGTACGAGCGCCATTTTTTCTCTCTCAATAGTTCAGACGAGCGCGGGCGATAGGGCGTTGTCTCACGTGACTCGGATTTTCATTTGGACGGTTATACACACGCTTGTCTGCTTGCTACTAAGGATTTTTTTTTTGAATCGCTACTTGAGTGTGGGTACTACATCTAACCCCCGTAAAATACCGCTATGCTTTTCTCAACCTCTTCTATTACATGTTGCAACATTCTTTGTTATTGCGCGGTACACAGTAATGTTTCAATGACTAATGTTCAGCTGAGCGGCGGAATGTTGATGAGTCATCTGTCCATAATCATTGTGTAAAAAAATTACTACAAAAATTACTCTACTTTCGCGTACAGTGCCGATTTGATGTAGGTTAGGGGCGCTGTTTATTTTTCGGTAAGGTGGCCCGTGAGGAAATTTTGTATTTTAACCTGAACGAGTGGTTTATTAATTTTCGAAAATAAATTCACCGTAATTCGATGTTTACCTGACCATGTGTCGACCTAGTTTGAGGCTAGGCTTCAACTACTTTGGAATAAAATAAACATGCACTATTATGAAAAGATACATACCCAACCAAAAAATATACTACGGCGTAATAACAACAAACGTATTCATGAAAATAGCCTGCTGAGATGTCAGAGTAATAACAGATGGTATTATTTAAACATTGTTCTCTGTATTGTCCTATCTTGTGAGGTCCATAACTTAAAATAACGTAGAAAGTAGTTCTTTGTGTTCTCAAATCGCGCGTAAATACTTTGTTTTCGATCGTTTTCTCTCGCTTTACTACAACCGTCGCAAGAAGCACACCAGCGGGCGTGCTGTTCGGTAATCGACCTTTCAGTATTTAATACGCGTTTGGCGCGCTTGTACTTTTCCGGTAAACGTACTTTTGTGATTGTTTTTTATACTCTACTGTGTATTTTCGTGATCGCTGAGCGTGCGATGCTGTTTTGCTGATTGCAGCGTCTTTGTGTATACGCAAAAGTAATTGATGGATATGCTTGCTTTGGAACGGACACAATAAAAATGAGAGTAAAATAAATGCTTGTTTTGCATACTGTTTTTGAATGACTAATTGCAGTGATTAGTTGCAACTTCCTAAAACTAAGTCCTCCAATTGTTACCTCTCTTCGAAAACTTTGATATATGATTCAGCTGTAAATTTTGTTGTTCAATTTAAATAGGTTTTTACTTTAACTGATATTGAATTTTATTTTTACAGTCAAAGCATGACTCAAACTGTCAGAATGGTTACAAATTCTCAACCGGGCTCCATGCCCATGAGTCACGTTTTAAGTGGATATTCTACAATTGACAATAATCAACTTCATCAACCCACCCCAGGATTGGTTACGACATTTCTACCTGCACAAACTATTCCAAGCTGTGACAATAACAATGCTGCTGTTGCAGTTCCAGTCACATCAGATGGCACAATGCGGCCAATGAGTCACCTTATTCTTCAATCACCAAAAATTGAGCAAGGACAGAGAGACCAAGAAAGAAGAATAAGAAGGGAGATTGCAAACAGCAATGAAAGAAGGAGAATGCAAAGTATAAACGCTGGTTTCAAATCCCTTAAAACTATTCTTCCACACACAGAGGGAGAGAAATTAAGCAAGGTGCATACATACATAGGCTACTTGATATAAATATATATATATATATGTGTCTATGACTGATTGCCTACATCATCTTTTTGTCTGGCTTTTTGTTCGTGGGTGTTTATTTGTATTTCAAAGATTCTTCATTTCATAGACCGAAATTTAGAATAAAATTATGTTTCCCCAAAAAATTGAAGTAAGTCCCCATGGCGCTGCGAAACTGACAAACTTCACAGAAAGCAATCAGTAAAACTTCTTGGTATTTTTCTTTAATTTCACTAGATAGATGTTAATCACTTTGTTTTTGCTCGATAACATATAGGTTTCTAGTAATAAAAAATATTTATTTTTCAGGCTGCGATATTGCAACAAACTTCAGAATACATCACACAACTTGAATCTGATAAGTTAAAGTTGATTCATCAAAATGAAAAACTCAGGCGTGCATTCACAGAATGTAAATGTCATGCATCGAAGTTTCGAACTATTGGAGATATTTTTGATAAGGTGAATGTATGTGTAATTATATTAAGTAAATATAATTCTCAGGCTTCGCATATTGTGAATTTTCATTTTTTTTCCCGTTATAGTCTGCCAAGCAAAATACATAGTGCCTTAGGTTAGTTTTTTAACTTCATCATTATTTCCATTTTAGGATGAAGGAATTGGTAGTCCGGCAGAAGAAGACTGTGAAGATATGAGACGGGTACTCATTGAAGTGAAACAACAGCTCGATAAGGAAAGAAGAACGCGGCTGTTATATGAGGAACAGGTTTGTAATAAATGAAACACTGAATCACATTCTGCAATGTTTTTGTAAAATATTCGGGCATTTTATTCTTTTCGACATTAACAATTTTATGAATCGAAAAAATAAATAGTTTTTACAATTAATACAAATTATTTTGTTCAACTGATATATATGTGACTGACCTTGTGAATGATTCAATTTCAGATTCGCAATCTGGAAAGCCAACTTTATCCTGATCGAATTCAGGCAATGAAGTTATCAAGTAGTGACGAACGAAGAAGTTCATCAGAGTACAGCCCGGGATTGATACTTCCTGCCAAGCAAAATAACAACAGCAACAAACTTCAGCCTTGTGCTCGCCCATTGCTACCATCTCAACCGCAGTTAACAAATAAAACTGAACCTAATGACATTTTAACATTACCACATGTCTCCGCCAGCCAAGTGACATCTATGTCAATATTAACCACCCCGACCAGTATTTTACAACAACATGAACACCCACCTACAATAGATATACACCCACCTACAATAGATGTACAGTGCCATCAACCACAAATGAGTAACAGCAAATTCAGAAAAGTATCGCGGGATAGTGATACAAAAGGGTTGACCTCTCCTCCAATGTCTGAACATTCTGTATGTATTCTTGTAAATTGAGTCAAGCTTATTAACAAAATTTTTTTAACAAAAGTGTTTTATTTCTCTAGATCACTATTTTCTCTCACTCAACGAAGTCGAATCAGCCTTTGAAAAAACGTGCTATCGAAATTCATCAAAGCTTTGTAGAGGCGAGTAATGATCCAGTATCCCTGCAACCAGAAAGGAAAGTAGCGAAAGTGAGTTTATAGCATAACTATCAATATGTTCATGCAAAAGTTGGCAATTCTCTGCGTATCTCTCCGCCGACCTGTCTAAACCTATAAAATTTAAAATGTTAAAAATTCGTCTTTCAGATAACAATCGACCAGCCTCCTGATATTGGAACAAGAGATTTTTTGCCACCGACTCTTCCACCAATTTCTGTTGATAACAATATACAATCACCGTCTATACTAGGAACGCCGCCCACGTCACACCCAAGTACTGCTGCTGCTCTCCAGTTTCATCAACCAAACTCTGTGATGTCTACACACGCAGTGTCACTATCAAATCACTCTGACGAAATTTTATCAAGTAAAGTAAAAACGACATCAAATTTGCCCCATGGTATAGTGGAAAAAGCAAAATCATACCTAGCAGGGTTAAGTGGTTTGCAAACTTCCCGATCGCCTGTAAGTACCCATTCTGATATGATAATTCCAGTCGTCTCGCACAATGTAAGTATGTCACATTCATCAAACGAAACAGTTAAGACACATCTAGTCTCCAGTCAGATTCCCGAGATTAGGGAGGTTCATGCTCCACAGAGAGAAAACCATCATTCACACCCTACTGGATTTCCCATGTACTTTGCTGTCGGATCACAAAGTCATAGCAACAGTACAAACATTGCCTATGTACAGCAAGATGGGGTGTCTCCAAAACTAGGGTGCGTCCAACTTGCGCCTTCTTACAACCGGTCCCACTTTATTGTGGCACCAGTTAGCAACCAGGGTCCTGGTGTACTGGTTACCAATCCCATGCAAGATCAAGTGATGTCTGTACCAACGACGGTGCTACCAGGCCTGCAGGTGGTTAACCAGCCATTCACCAATTCTCCTGTGCTCCTACCAAACATTCCTTCAAATTCGGTATCGTTTCAACCAAGCCCTTCACAACCATCCTTACCATTGCCTATGCTTCCTGTACTTTCTCAGTCAATTACGATTCAGCCAACACCTTCGGTTCTGCATTCTACGAATCTGCCCAAGTTTCAAAACACTTTGAAAAAGATACCGAACTCATCCAGGGAACAACAAACTACAACACAAACCTTACTTTGCTATGGACAACCTGAAATAACACTCAATCAATTGAACGCAGTTCCTAACTTGCTCGCTCCTCCACGTGGATTGCATCAACCGATTCTGCTGCCTGTAAGTTCGTCACTTGTGCAACAAATTGGTTCGAATTCGCCATCGTATGGAAGTCCAGCGATGCCAGAAGCTGTTCTACCTACAAGGCCAGCTACATTTTTGAATTCTTCGGTCATGAGATGCAGAAAGTCATCCCTGAGTGCAACAGACAGCTGCAGCACAGCTAGTGCCAGTGGCGCAGAGGAAGAGGAAATTCGAAACCCACTGCTTGAGGATCCAGATAGTCAGTCAGGAGAAAATGTACCAACGATAAAGGTGAATAAACTTACTTTTTCAGTATTACGCTCAGTAGAATACTTATTAAGAAATAGCCTTAAATGAATTTATTAACTTTACAGTTGTCGAATTCAAAGCCCGCTAAAGAAGAAAGTCCCTCGAAATCTCAAACAACGGAAGGGGTTGCTGCATATGACGAGGTCCCACACAATTCATCTGGTACACCAGAAAAAATCTCTGCTCCGCAAGGTATCGATGTTTCCGACTCGAATTCTCCTGCAAAACAATCAACTGTATCAGTTCCGTCTGTTGTGGCTGGTTCTCCACCTGTAATACGGCGAATTGATGCTATTCAGACAAGACGAAATTTAGAAACAATTGTTCAGGTAACTACTGCAGGCATAGGACTAATGTTTTCACGGCAGCTGATTTTTGGTACTCCCGTAGTGTGTGTTCCAGGTTAGGCCATAATTTTGTTCTGATTTTTCCTATTTTATTTCTATTACGAGTTCGGGGACTGTCTGTGTTAGCCAAATGAATATACCCCCACCCATAGGATTAGTCACTTTACACAACTTAATGTAAAATATGCAAACAAAATTAGTTACCGCCATATTGGTACACACACTTTTGGGAGCGCCAATTTTTTAAAATGGGGTAGCAAATTCCACATAACATAACTGAAGTTTTTGAAAGAAAACTTGTACTTTTTCCTTGTCCGTTAGTACACTGAACGGGTAGAGCTCACAGCCAACCGAGTTTGACAACTTTAATTTATCCCCTTTAGATGTGGTTTAGCTGCTTAAACAAATGTGTAAGAAATTGGTTAGGGCATTCTCAATCTGGAGTATAATGGTCATTATAAAGTATAAAGAGTATGTATCATGTGGAACTTCTTTTTAAGAGCATAAATCCATATGGAAATTTTGTCAAACATCAGTCTCTTGGAAGATGGGATAGTAATATAATGGCATGAACGATGATGAATGCTATTGCTCACTTGTAGTCAATGATTAAAACTCGTAATCAATTTGGTGTTTTCTATAGATAGCTTCTTTGAATTAACAAATACCTTCCACATATTGTTTAGGCGATTGATCATCTCGAGCAGCAAGAACGCAGAAACTCGCAAGATAGATGTGAAGTACCTAACGAAGCATCATCAACATCGACACAGAAAAAATCTTAGCAGAAAGTGTCTGCAAAGATATATATTTATATGTTCCATTGCTTTGTTCCGAGACGTCGCGGAAAGGGAGAAATTCAAGTTTTCTTAAAGTTGCCATTCGCCTGTAATGGGATGGACCGATTGGTAACATGTTGGCTTTACGCCATAGGTGCTGCTTCTATATTGTTGAAATATTTGAGACATCGACTAATACATTTCTTTCGAGCCCACAATGTGAGACGGCTTCATTCACCGTGGAGTCTTCTGTGAAGAAAACTGTAATAAAAATGCTGCTCGCGATGGAGACTACTTTTTGACATTTGTATTATTTTTTTACAACCTTGTGCCGCTGTATTTCGCAGTCAAAGTTTGACATTTTTCATCTAATAAAGTTCATCTTCGATTTCTTTTTTGGTGATTTTCTTTTTCCTTTTCTTTATTTCTTTTTTTCGATTCTGCCGTTGCACCACTGGCGCTCTCTAAATAGACGTTGAAAGTTTGAAAAACTTCGAAAGTTCATTTTTTTTGTGATCGTAGTGTTCGTACAATACATGTATATTTATCTTCATAAATAAAGTCAGAAATCAAATTACTGTGTATGTTAAAGGCTTAAGACCGGTCTGATGGGCGTTCTTTAAATTTTCATCATTCAGCTCCATTAAGTTTTATGTGGATTATTAGGATTCGTTTTTATTTTTTGATAATTTTCCTATTTGAACCGTGTAGGAAATGAATTACGTGCCATAATGCTAGAAAAACGAATAGCAACGCCCTGATTGGAAAGTTATCACTTGCCAGGGCAGTGAGCGCCTAACGCCCAAAAATGTCAAATTTATGCGGTTACACAATATAATGAAGCATTTTTGAGTTAACTTTTTAAATTCAGAGTTGTACATTTAGGCTTACGATGAAATATATTTTGGAAGGACCGTATTGACCCCAATGATTTTAACCTTTTTATAAATGGATCTTCGCTAAAATACTTCCGAAGCCCTGGCGTAGTGGATAAAATATTGGCATGGCAGGGTTTGTATCTCATGCCCACCGATCATCTCACCCAGGGTGTGAACAATTGCGTAGGCAATGCCGAAGTAGAAAAATTCTAGTTCAAAATAAAGTAGCCTAGCTCCTTACATAGCTGTGGTTGCTTATACAGAGCCTCATTTGGAGTGAAAAGCGTATGGAAATTATCATATTTTGTGGAAAGGCAGTGCGTATGATTTATCAATTATTGGAATAGTTACAAGGCCTACGCAGTCTTGTGTTATTCGATATGAAATTCGAACTGCGGCGGAACCGAAAAACGATAAAATCTAGTATTATATCAATTTCGGCGGCTGAAACTTCATATTTGAAAGATATCTATCCAAAAATTACAAAAGGTTACTCATGTGACGTATATAATTGCGATCGTAAGTTTTTTGTTTCGTGATGTCTCAAAGTTTCATGGCTAATTTTTACTATTAAAATCGAATCACGTCGACACATTTTTACGATTAATTCAACACAAAAGTGACGACATGGATGGTTACTTGACCAGTCACGATTCTTACATATGATGAAACATTTTATCATAGATCAAGTTTGTTCAATATTGACAATGTGATTCAACTCTGAGGGTACTTGCATTTTACAGAAAAAATTAGTTACTTTTCCCATATGTTTTCACTGTGTTTAAATATAAGTACACGCGTAGAAAAACAGATGTCTTCTTGTACAAAACAGCGATACTGGAATGGCTTGGTTTACGCCGATTTTACTATTGATAGTTTCTACTGCTTCTTGTGTTTTCTCGCAAGAAACAACACAGTGTGTTTGTTTAGAATATGAACAAAAGCAACAACAGACGCAAGAAATTATTGCAAAACTGGAAAAGAAGTTTGAAGGTTTGTTCGTTTGATACAATTTCGAGTCCTTGTTACATATTGTTACATATTAAAACCCAAAACTTACATAAGAGCAATTTTCATCTACGGTTATTAGTATCTGAGAATACGAGTATCTTTGTAAAAAGTCAGATGATAGAATAAATGAGATAATATAAAAAATATTTACTTTTAATAAAGTAGGGTAATTTATCGTCTATCTTTTTCCCACACATAATTAATATACACCCAAATGAAACACAAACAATTGCCACATGGGGATTGATTTTATTTATCTAATTCACATTTAGAGAATGACAAATTTGTTCTCAGAAGTTGATTCTATTGTAAACATTGTATTATATATAGCATTTTGGTAAGAAGTAATAAAAAATAACCCTATTTTTTCAGCTAAAATCGCTTCCCTTGAAAGGACAACTGGAGAATTATTAAGTGAGTGATTTTCATATATATTTCCAAAATTAAATCGAACCGAAATAATATATATTTTTAAATTACCCAGAAAAGTCAAAACGACAAGCAAAAAGAATTGAGGAACTGGAAAAGAAAGAACTGTTTTTGGGAAACAATACAGATGGAGGTAATAACCTGAAATTTAGTGAATTGAATAAGTAATGCTTATCTCCACATAGTTCTGTTTTTATTTATCGCTAGCACATAAGTGTGTATAATTTTCGAATACACTATATATTTAGGAGTCATTTGACAGTTTCTAGGTTCTTAAATATGTATATGTTCGCTGATAGTATATTTGTACACATGGTTTTTAGTCTATGAAGTGTAACTGTGGCTCGTTTTGATATTTGTTGTTCTTTCTCTTGGGACATAACCGTTTCCTACTTTGACTACTGAACCAATAGCTTTCAATTGTTGAATATACATGTTTCTTTGGGAGCTAATTCTTTCAATTTTCTTCTGAACCCATTCCTTCTCCACTTGTTTCAAATCAAATTTAGGGGTATTGCCTTTGTCAAAACATTTTTGGCATTGTGATGTTGTCTAGCTTGCAAAATTCTAATAAAAGTAATTGTCCGATTTTGGGTAAAAGATATATTGACGAGACACTATTACAGTCGAGTTAACAGTCACGATTTTCGATATCGTAATTTGATATACACTACATTATATATATCTGATATGATTCGTTTCCAACGAAACTCTTGAAAGGGTGGGCTGTAATGACACTAAATCATAGAAAAAAATATATATATACTGAAAAACCAGTAATTTCATTGCGAAAAACTTATGAATATATTGTAAAATTATTACCAATGATTAAGTCCCAATTCAAATACCCGAATACGAAGTAATCAAATTGCCAATACGTAACAGTATGTTTTACCACTAAAATTGAAGGAATGCCCTGAATGGATGAACAATATTGTCAAAATAAGATGAAACTCAAATAACTGGATGTACTGAATACAAATGTGTAGAAATCTTACTCATGTATTGCGATACCTCTCCTTCATATTTTGTCAATGTTTTTGTGCGATTCCGTGCAAATAGTCAAATCATTGTTGGTATCAAATTCAAAATAGCAAATTATACATTGAAACCTTTTGGCCCCGTTATGTTTCAAATATCCATTTAGAATTTCATATTCAGTTACGAATATGGCAATCTTCAATGTCAAAATTTACTGTAAACAATTATACAAAATTAAAATAATACCTTTCAAACGTATTCTACTATCCCCAGAAGAGAAAAAGCCAATGACAAACGGGACTAGGGAGTGGTCTGAATGGACAGATTGGACTCCTTGTTCTGTTACATGTGGCGTCGGAAACAAGAAAAAAGTTCGACAATGTATTGGACCCAAAAACGGAACGAACAACTGTATAGGTCACATGAAAGTGCAACTACCCTGTAAAATACAATGTCCAGCCAAAGAGCGCGAAGAAAGAGGTAAATATTAAATTTCTAATTGCGAAACAACAAACAATGAAATACTGGGTGCCAATGGTTCCATTATTTGGTGCTGTCAATTTGCGTCGGTATAAGTTTGTAAAAGGATGCCAAAAAAATGTCAATGTTTCTCTTATTGTATATACCGCTTCTGGTGTAAAATCTGAAGTTTCAAAACGTAATTAGTGGGCTAATGCAAGTTTTTCAAAACCTAATTTACTTCCGCGACAAAATGATATTACAAAACAATTCGAATGTTTTGTACCGAATTTTTTTCTTTTCTCTAAATGGTTTACACTACAGCTATAAAAATATTTGAGTTAACATTCTGCGTTTTTATTCTTTTCAACAGACAGCGACTGGGATGAGTGGTCTGAATGGTCGGCATGTGAAAACACTCGTTGTCCAAGAGCTTTTGATGAAAATAGAAAAAACAAAGGATTTGGAATACAGATTAGAATGCGTAAATGCAACATAGAAAAATGCCCAGGAAAATCGAAAGAAAAACGAGAATGTGAAATCGAATGTTCTGCAGATTCAGGTTACTTGTGCATACTCAAATATTAACCACAAGCAATCCTGTGTAACTTGAGCACTGTTATTAGATGAAGACATCCAACCCTCTCTTACTTATTACAACTGCGGCATTTGTAACTTTTAATTTGTTAATAGTATAATTCTGTTGCGGCTACGTCACCATCAAATGTCGCGTTGAGACCAGTGCGTCTTTTTCAAGTTAAGTCATACTTCTTTAATCATACGATAAGTAGACACTATATATTAAAAATATCAAAAGATAATGGAGCAGTTACATTTATTTCTCTTTGACTTTGTGTCAAACTTACAGATGAATATAGCAAACAAAATGGATATGGGGAATGGTCTGAGTGGACTGAGTGTAAACCGCTTTTACCATGCAACACCGATACACAACGAAGCCATAAAAGGTGGGCAGTTGGAAGACAAACCAGAAGTCGTAAATGTGAAGGTGTTGGTCATTGCAACAAGGAGTTGTCGAAAACTAAAAGATGTCGAATAGAATGTTCATCAAAAGGTTTGTATTTTCTTTTTAACATATTTCCTTCTATTTCTCGTAACGCCTCTAAACATTTATTCGCATTTTAGTATACTGAAGACCTCTTGCCGGATTACTAGATTGAATGAAATTTTTTTTTATTCAAAACACTTACAGTTGTGCAGTATATTATATCAAACAAATCCTGTCAATTTCATTTTACAACACGTATTCAGGCTTAAATTAATGTGTCATTATGTTCAGAATGGTAAAAAGAGGAAATTTCGTAACGTGCATGTGGATTCCTGCAGAAGAAAACTCTTGATTATTGCTTACCAACAATGTTGCCATTATTACAATTAATAATACTGAATGCTTATGAGTCATTTATAATAAACTGATTTGCTTTAACATAACTGTGGCGTTCAACGGGCATATATACTCCAAGAATGATTCCTAAATTTAGAGAAAACTGTACAGCAATTACTTCAACCGTCTCTAAACTTCTGATTGAAGTACCCCGTCGGTGACCCCGCCTCAACCCCTAACTTAAATAAACGTAATATCCGAAGATATGACATGACAGTGACCTTTTTCTCACTATTCAAAATTTGAACATTTTGAGAATAAAAAAAATCATAAAATTTAGCTGTACTTTCAGAAGATCTTTCTTAAAAAATCTCATAGTTTTCTTCGGCCAACATGGCTAATATATGAATAACAATGAGCAGGCTACATCGAAAGTAAAATCGAAAATTGACCAATAATGGCTGTTGACTCAGTAACCAAGTAATTTGTTTTTACTCCACTAATATGGTCCTCGCTTATACTGTACATTTTACGCATCATGTTGAAACTATTGGCAAAGAAGCAAACGCAATTTCCCGAATGCACGACGATAACACTTTAATAAATTCATGTGCTGTAGAATCTTGAACAGATGTTCAGTTGGTCATGCTGTAGTGAATTGTGAATAGCATTAATTCCGGAAAGGTCATTTTGTCACATTTGTAGTACATTGGATTTTTTTTCTATCAGGGCTATTTTACCTGATAATGTAGAAACTCACAGATTCGCGCGGCACAACGATATACTGTGATTCAATTCTGTAAAGTATTATGTCATTATTGCCTACTATGGACTGTGTTTCTTAATTTCTAATGTGAGAGTAAATTGGACTATATCTCCATTATACCGAAGAAACTTATATATAATAAAAAGAATATTACGTCGGTCGCCTTGTCTCCTATTGGCGTGTTCGCCTGTCGGTCGGACATTTCACAGAGCATCGTTTGAACAAACAAGAAACGCCTTTACATGGATCCATCTTGCATTTTCCTGTTTTAATTATTGCTCCTCGAGCATATCTGGTAGATCCTCGCCTCGTGTTCCTTTCGCAATGAGATCGAATTTAGCACTCAGACCATTCTCCAGTATTTAGTGTAAAATTATCTGTTCCTAGAGTGTTTTTTAAAATGTATAATTAAGGGGTGAGTTTTATAAGACTTGAAAGTAATAAAAAGATTGGGTATCAATCAAATTGAATTTATATTTCGAATTTTATGAGTAAAATATATTACCTCAGGCATTGCCTAAACATCCAATAAGTACGTACGCCTACTAATAGGCCAAATTATTGCTTGAATAAATCGCAATTTTTAATTGATATCATGCGTCAAATAGTGTCTATCGAATTAAGTAATTGACAGAAATAAATTAATGTTCTCTGATATCGCCATTTTGGGTTGGACTCCTTGCCATACCAATAACGGAGCAACAGAGAAGATTGTTTCATTATTAAAAAAATGTAATTCCCATTCAGTATTATACAATTCATACATACCCTGAGCATCGACATCCCCGGAACAAGCAGTGTTCTTGCATTGACGCAGTTCCAGACTTTGTCCAGTGCAATCAGTTACGTTTTCAATCAAATTACAGGTGAATATCTTTTCACATTACATGTGAATATCTTTTCACAGTTGTCATTATTTCAAGTTTATCCACACAATGTGTATCACCGATTTTGAAAATATCGATTGATTTCGATATTTTGGCATGGTCAACTTATTGATAAAAGTTTATTTTTTGACTTAAGTCGATGAAATAATATGGAATTAAAACTTATGTATACCTTGCGCTTCTTGATTAACGACGTCAATTTTATTTCATATTTCGTTGATTCTCTTCGACTGAATATTTTTGCCCTCGCTATATTCAAAAAAATGAAAAAATCGCTCATAAAGTGGATGCAAGAAGCGGGCATGGCAATTTGCGAGTAAGTATGTTTCGCGCAGGACAATCCGCTGCATTTGGGATTATTGACTTGCTCAGATATAATCGCAAACAGGTGAAATAGAATACGGAATGTTTTTGTTTTAAAAATATAAACGCCAACTTATTTCAATAAAAAAGCGATGTAAATATAGGTAATTAAAATAGACATACTACTTGTGTTCAGCAACATTTCCAATTGCTTTTCCAAATCTTAAATCCGTTTAGAGTGACGTTTCAACTTTGCTACAGAGTGGGAATATAAAAGAATTTACCCACAACACTAAAACGAACAAGGTGATCAAACCGTCAAAACAAGCAAAAGATCGTTTTTTTTTGTAACAAAAAAAAAAGAGAAAGCAAAAAAGCATATAATTCTGCAAAAGAATTTTATAAAAAAGAATTTAAATTTTCAAATATTGTACTATAGGTGAAAATGTATATATACTTGAAAAATTCTTGAAGATATTCAATAATCCTCACCTAAGGTGACATTGTTTGCTCTTTCTACACCTGAAAGTCATTCTGTAATATGATAATTTCATTTTCATATGTAAAATAAACATATCCCATTCGCTGATATAATTAGCATATATATATATATAATTAAAGCTAGTTTGTAAAGCATCCCACTAAGAACAAGTGTCTTAAAAAGCTGAATATAGCAACAGGGATAAACAAACAGTAATGTTTTAAGTGTATCGGTTATAAACTTATGTTACAAATGCGATTAATCTCTTTCATCACCTACCTTCAAACCGTTTTCCAACATTGCCAGTATCTTATTGAACTCTTTTGTCATATAAACTGTGCAACTTGCATCCGGGTGCCAATCAGCGCTGGATTAACCATTAAACAATATAAGCAAGGGCTTAGGGCACCAAGCAAAGAGGGACACCACAGAAATTTTAGAGCAGAATTCGATATAGTTTATTGATGTTTATAAAAATATTACGAGTTTACCAAGTGACTCGAACTTCAAAATGTTCGCTTATTTTTCGTCTTTAAGTATCCTTACAACCTTCTTTATTAAAAATATACACTGAAACTTATTTATTTGACACGAAATGGGCCTATAAGTCGTTTTCTAAAATTGTTGTTGTTTTATAGTTCTAGTATTCTCCTTGTTGCTGCATTTTTGTTTTAAAACATTCCTTCTCTCTTCAACAATTGGACCAATGAACTATTTGCACTATGTGGCGGTTCCACAGTCGCATTTCAACGATATAGTGGTCGGCGAAGTTTTTTGATAAGGTAGACAAGGGTGGTCCAAACCCTGTCATGCTGATACATTCCGTGTGGACCACGGACCAATTTTAGCGTATATTTGTATCTAATAGCAGAACGTTTCTGAGTTTTTTTTTAGTTATTCCAACCGGGGTTGGGATCCTGAGATTTAAACCCCTTTTTCTAACGCTTTATGCCTTTATTTTAGCGTGGTCCGCGTGACAGTAGTGACGAAACGCAGAGCCGACTTAACGCCGCGCAATCCAATATTTCTTAGCTAGGTCCCCAAATATCAACTTAGACGGATTTGGTTGTCATTTGACGATGTCACTAAGCTTGCTCACGCTGCAAGTTTTTAAATTACTCAAATATAACAATTCGTGGTGCTCCCGAAGTATGCGAACCAAGATGGCGGACATCGGAACGTAACATGGGTAACAGGTTAGGGTTAGGCGATAATTTTTTTCCAATTTTCCTTATTTTAGTCCTATTATCAGTTCGAAGACTAGCCAAGAGCCTCCCGTAGTATTTATACCTAAAATTATGGGCTAACCCTAACCTAGTACACATATTACATTCCGATGTCCGCCATCTTGGTTCGCATACTTCGGGAGCCCCCAATTCGTAATAAAATGAGTGTCACAAGAAATGTGACATAAGGAAAACACGGCGGAAACGTATTTCCTTGTCCATCACACAGTGTCTGGTTTGATTTCAAGTAATATCTGTCACGAAAGAATATAATTTGAAGCGATATTAAACGCGACATGCGGAAAATATAATGGTATAGTTGTATTTACAGCGGGAATTAATTTTGAAATAACTGAAGGCTTTATATATCTTCTTTAAAAGAACGCCATCCATGCAACATAACAATAGTCTGATTAGAACGGTAAACTCTCGTTGTTTATTAAATTAAAAAAAACAAACTCGCAACGCAATATTTCGATCACCTTTGGGTTTTCTCCAACTTGCGACCCGCGAGACCTCCTCAAAAGTTTTTGCGGTCCTTCAACCTAGCAACCTTGAACCACCCTGAGGTAGACTACTAGGTACCGGTAATATTCCAAACTACAGTTGTGACTTGTATCCTTTGATGTTTCGATTCACGTGGAGACTGAAGGCATGATATATCGACCCGATATTGCGTGTCGGTATATCATATCGACAGTAAACTGCCGATATATATATGGGCTATATATACCAGTTAAAAAACCTAAAAATGTTCGTAAAAATTGTTTTATTTACTGTTGGTTGTGATTATTTTTAATGGATAATACACTTACGTGGTTTATTGTTTTTATAATTAAATTACACATAAAGGGGGCACTAAAGTCTTCAGTGCTTAGGACACCAAAGTGGCATAATCCGCCCTGGTGCCAATGTAAAGTCGGACTTTGTAGCTCTTCGCTGCTTACAAATAACAAAAAACTCAGAAATAAAATAGTCGCACATTAATCGGTTTTCGATATCCACAGGTTATCTATTGCCAATCGACTCTTCCAATAATACTGCAATACTGGTTGGTTGCTTGCATTTAAAAATTTCTTGTATGTATGCCTCGGGGAATAATTCAGTTTATATATATATTTAAATTTTAGATAAGGTCAACATGATATGTTCATATAACTTGTTCAATTTACCGTTTCACAATTCACGTATGATAATTGCACTAAGCTGATTACAGATGCACAAATGCAAAATTCCATATACTGGATCAATCATCTATATCAGGGCTACTCGACTATTTTTACCGAAGATCCGCATACAAAACTTCAAAATTTTTTGGTCCGGTCTTTCCAGAAATTATATTTCGGCATCTTTAAACGCACACTTCCTCGACCGGCTAATGATTATTAGCTAATCAAAATTGCTTATTGTGGTGTTATAGTTCTTTTCATATATATTCAAAACTATGAAAATCATTTCATAAAAGGAAACTTCAAAAGTGGGGCTAATGATCCAAAATTAGGTGCGGTCCGAATCGAATGTCGAAAGGTCCGGATTCGGACCGCGGTCCGCCAGTTGAGTATATCAAGTCCCACTTTGAAAATAAAATATAATAAAACCTATCCGTAACTTGTGTAACCGAAGTGGAAACAAAAGTTCATGTATTGTTATGGCAAAGTCATGTCATGGACCTTTCCCCGAGCATCGACTTCCTTGTTTACTTCGTGACATTGGCCAATCAGCAAGATGCAAAAAGTGACGTAACAAAGCTCCCTTTTCGCATCCGCTCAGACACTTTTCTCACTCAGACATATTTTCAAGCGTGGTCGTAAACATTACCTCGTTTTTGCGTTTTTGAACTCTATTCGTTAGTTTTCTGTTGTGTTTTGGAAACCTAAATATAAATCAGACAATTCAATGATCACTCTGTCTTTCTAAGAGTTTTTTAATTTAATTGCAGTAATAAAAAATTAGTGTAGAAATAGCTGTGATAGGCTAAAATTCTTTACCGGTACTTTTAAAAAACAGATTGTTGTATGCGATGAATCATAATGATGGTTTGAAACACATACTCCATTTTACAGTCGCCAACAGCAGAAGCACTCTTAAAATAGTCCCGAAAATTTTGCAATGATAAAGTATAGGAAGAATTTTTGGGGGTCAAGAGTCGGGGAAAGGTCCATTGTTCTTCGATTCGGTTCAACTGAGAAATCCGAAACACCACTGCTGTACCATGTGCAATTTTGTTTGCCATCCTTTAACTTTACGTGTTGTCGATCATCTTGTCTTACGCAAATTTTGATTTCATAAATACAATATATTCCAATTTAAGTCGTTTCAATGTAAATCCGTTAGGGTCAATATATGCTACCGGAAGGGATTAAAGTTTAAATAACAATGGGCTCTTGTAATTTACAATTTTGAGCAGCGATCTTCTCTTACGACGCCAGGAAATTTCCAAGCGATAATCATAATTATCACTTAGGTCTTCAATTATGACTGCTGTGATAAACATTTTTAATGACGATGCAACAGATATAACCAGCTGTTAACGTTCTATATGCAGGCGATAGCAAATCACTGCGGGTGACAGTCTACTTGACATCGTTTTTCAAGGACAATAACAGAGAAAAAAGCGACGTGTTATTGAATGGAAACACATAAAAGCCTGCCGTTTGATGAGCATACATCAGTCGTTCGAAATATATATCGACAAACTATCAACAAAAACAAGATGCCTAACGTCAATCTCGCTCGTTACAATGGAAAAGAAGAATACCCAGATTTGGAAAAACACAACAATCACATGGCTCACTGCCTTACCGAAGACATTTACAAAAGGATGAGAAGCAAGGAAACACCCAGCGGATTTAACATCGACGACTGTATTCAAACTGGTGTCGACAACCCAGGTATGGTAATGTTATTTATCTACTAAATTCTTAGTTATACAATATTACAACTTCCTTTAAACCCGCCAATGGTTGTCAACCTCGTCTTGAACAAACACGCAAAAAGCACTAACCACAAGATTCTGACAAAACACTATGCAGGATATATCAGAATTAGTAATACATAATCACCGAAATTCGAACTGTTGTTATTTCGAATATAATCCGAACTATTACATCATTTTGAACACTATCTTCATAATGACGTGAAATATTTGGTTATGACATTCTACAGGTCACCCTTTCATTATGACGGTCGGTTGTGTAGCAGGAGACGAGGAATCGTACGAAACATTCTCTGAATTATTCGACCCAGTGATTGAAGCCAGACACAACGGTTACAAGAAAACAGATAAACATAAGACCGATCTCAACCCAGAAAACTTGAAGGTATTCACAATATTGTACAAGGTTATGCTAACTAATGATGTAATTTTTTGAGATATTAATGGTTTATATTCAAAATATTCTTTTAGGGAGGAGATAAATTAGACGAGAAATATGTTTTGTCTTCCCGTGTACGAACCGGACGAAGCATTCGCGGATATTGCCTTCCTCCACACTGTACCCGCGCTGAGCGCCGAAAGGTCGAAGAAATTTCGTGCGAAGGTAACTTTCTAAAACCATTTATCATACTTTTGTAAGATAGAACACAGAGAAAAGCAAAATATATATATTTCCGCAATTTGACAAATAAAAAGTGAAAAATTATTAGGAATATTTTTTCATAACGAGTCCGCGATGACGGTATGGTGAATATATTCGTGTTGTATTGCCAATGTTCACATTTGAATATTTTCAGTATTTTTTTCCCTTTAGTTTATATAGTATTCTGGAATTATTCCATTTTTTGCGTAGCAATATATCAAACCAATACCAATATAATGTTTACTTATACTTTTCTTGTACTTTTCAGCTCTTGCCAAGCTTGATGGAGAATTGAAAGGAAAATATTATTCACTGGCTAAGATGACTGATCAAGAGCAAGAGAAACTCATTGCAGATCATTTTCTTTTTGACAAGCCAGTCTCCCCATTGCTTCTATCTTCTAAAATGGCCCGAGATTGGCCAGATGCTCGTGGAATTTGGTAAGTCAATAATAGGCTTTTTCAAATGATAACATTTCATGAATTTAGACGGTATGTTTGAAGCTAGGTATCAAAAGAGCAGCAAAGACTTACATAAATACGTCGTTCCGGTATACATACTTGATTTGCAATCGATATCGTGTGGCGGCCGACATGATTTATTTTCTCGTTTTCAAATAGGCACAACGACAAGAAAAACTTTCTTGTCTGGATCAACGAAGAAGATCATTTGAGAGTTATTTCGATGCAGAAAGGAGGGAATATGAGAGAAGTTTTCTCTCGTTGGTGCGAGGGACTTGGCGAGGTAACATAAATATAGATCTGAGCTCATTCGATTGCATTTCAGCTTTTCATGTGAAACTAGCTGTTTAGCTGTGATTTAAATAAACATAACAATATTTTAACAGTTTGAAAAGCATATCAAGTCGGCTGGGTACGAATACATGTGGAATGAGCACCTCGGCTACATCCTGACTTGTCCAAGCAACTTGGGTACTGGAGTTCGTGCGGGCGTTCATTTGAAAATCCCCCTACTTTCTCAACATCCAAAATTCGAAATGCTTCTTAAGAAACTCCGGCTTCAAAAACGGGGAACTGGTACGGCAGTATTTTTATGTTCTCTAAAATATGTTATTAATTGTTAGTTTTATAACAAATTTATTAAATAATTTGTTTTTTCAGGCGGAGTAGACACCGCGGCTGAAGGCGGTACTTTTGATATCTCAAACGCTGATCGACTGGGATTCTCCGAAGTAGAACTAGTCCAAATGGTAATAGACGGAGTAGAATTTATGATCAGCTGTGAGAAGAAATTGGAATCCGGACAGAACATCGACTCAGACGTCGACAAACAGAAGCAAAAGTAGACTGATGCACCCACTATCTTTCACAAAAGTTTACGGTCCTCATCTACATTTATCATATAGATAGATTATGCTATAATGTCTGCAACTATTATAATATATTACCTGCATGATTTACCGGTTATTTATCGATATTATCACACCCCATATATTTATTTGTCACATTCACGGAATATATTTGTTTCGGCTATTTAATTAGTATGACATTTCCATATAAGTAATTATAAACATTTAAATATTTATTTTTGGTTCTAAATATGTGATTTTTACTAGTATTAGCAAATTAAGTTACCGTAATTTAACATCACACTTTCGTTTGACGGATCCCTAGTTTTCTATATGTGTGATTTCATAATTCATTATTTTATTTCGGTTTTAATTATTTAAATTGGCAATATTCATGAGTTCATTATTATGTTACTTAATGTTAAGTTAGAAAAATTATTAGTTATAAATAAAATATCATCATCTAGTACTTGATCTTTGGTTATAATATACCGAGCAACCAACAGCTATGTGAGGGATGAGGCGACGCGACAAGTAGATTACTGAAAAAGAAAGCGGATCATACCGCCAGCGCAGTCGAAGAAATTATCCTGGGTTCTTACAGTACATGTCTATGTACTGTCCATCACCTCTATTGATTGGCGGCTTTCGGTTCGGGTGTTATACCTATACTTCCTATTGTAACATACAATTGATGTAGCCACCATTCAGCACGGTCATAACACGGTACAGTTATCCAGTAAACCCAATTGCAAATCATGAAGATATGTACAACTTTATTTTCAAATGTTACATCAGCATAATTATCTTTTGTTCTTTATCGGATAATAATGGAAAACGCGTGTTGTCACTTTTTTTATTGTTGTCATACGAATTCCTTTCATACATATATATATATATATATACACATAAAATTTCAAGAGGATCACTTACAATATTTACCATTAATGACATTATTATAGAGAACATTTAAATAGAATATTGAACAAAAGTCACATTTCTAGTGAGCATGCAATGGATCAACACTTGCACTAATTTATAAATAATGCTTGGTTGATTAGTAAGTAAGCATTCCTTGAATATAGTGGATTGAAGTGTATCGACGAAAAGTATGATCTATGTTTGAGGCGTTTTGATTATATCTTTATTCAATTCTTTTGCTATACCCTCTCCTACTTGTGAACCTGTGGCCAGATCAGTTCCATTTGACTTCTGTTTTTTCGGACCTGCAGTAAAAGCGACAATAATTGTTGAGTGGAAAGTTTATAAAAATCTTGAATCCAGTAAAGAACCAGTTAACACTATTTTATTTACAGGTAAGTAAGTAAGATTAATAAGTAAATGATACTCACATAATTTACAGCAAAATCTTACTGCGTAATCCTCACAGCATATTCCCTCCGGTTGTTTTTCATTCTTGCAAATTAGGCCAACCTGAGAGTCCACCACCATGTCAACATTGCCACCCGATTGCCAGGAGTCCTGAGTTGCCACAACAATGGCATCAATCGCAGTTGGTTTCTCACATACCTTGTCCTGGTTTTGGCTTACCAGATCTGACAAAAGCTCGTAGTCGCCTGTACTGTCGGTAGGATCATCTACGTCATACCAGTCTGTCCAATCGTACCCTTCTTCGTCGCACTTCGGCACTGCAACGAATACAAAAAAGTCGTGTGGCCAGTTAGATAACATCTCAAATACCAAATAATATTGAATAGTTAACAGACGACATTGCCTTTAAAGGGCTTGTGTGGCGTATGGCAAATAAAGTGAATGAAAATTCCATCCAATGTAAACTCACATTTCGGACAGCAGAATCTGATTTTCATATCTGGGCATTTTCTATCTCCTCGGTCATTGATACAGGCAACTCCTCCAGTGGGAGGATAAATAACCAACTGTTGCGCCAATGGTGGTAGATCATTGGGATTTACCAACTCAAAGTGTTGCGCCACTGGATTTTCACATGGTTTCCTAGGAAAAGACGACCATGTCTCCCAATCACCAGTTACGCTTGGATCATCCCTGTCTAACCAATCGCTCCAATCCCCGTTTTGACATTTAGGGATAACACCAAGTTCTGTGACATACGAAATATATTAGTTACAAATTTGAAAGATAAAAAAAAAATTAACAAACACTAAAATAGATAAATACAAGTATATATGGGTTGCCCCATTTTCAAACACAAGTAAAAGCAATCACTCACCGTATTTTAATCGTTTTTCGCTACAAATATTTATTGCCATTTTCAGATAAATCGTAAATGATATTATTGTATAGCATAATTTTGGCCATAATCCATACGTCAGCGCACTTGTATTCTAACTAAAGTACAGGATTTGTAAATCAACATTTTCTCATGTTAAACGAGTTTAAACGGAGAAATTGATATAAATTTTAATAAAACATTTGTTTAACTAAATGGGAGTATTTGTGCTTATGTGGCCTGGTAGGGCACTGGTCTAGCAACCATTATTACCTAATGAAATTATTTTTTAAATTTTTTCAATCGTCACTGTTGTCGGAGATACCAAAATGTGAGCTGTATAAGATGTATGAGAATTTAGAACCTTTCAAATAATGTATTAAATAATTCTCGTGAAGATTATGTGCCTTCTTGTAATAAATTCGGTGTGCAAATTGTAAAATGTCGTATTATATTGTAAAAATATACTTACGGGCACTGCTCTGATCCACGAACATCAACACAGTAAAGCAACAGGACAAAATAATTTTGAACATCATTTTTTAGCGATTTCGTTATTTGTTCAACTTTAAAACAAATAGGTATGGCAAAAGTCGGTTTGTGCTGCTAGCTTTATAGTAAAATAGTTCCGGTAATGAATCATTATATTAACCGCTGCTTGTTTTTGTAATAATAAAAAAAAGATGAGAAAAAATTAAACAATCAACTATTAGTGCACATTAATTAAAACTGCATAATTAAGAAAATTATATTCAAACGCAAATACGGTTTATTTGAACGTGTGTTACATCAACATGTATTAAACAGTTTTAAAGTGCAGCCTGTAATTTAGATCGACAACCGACAACCCAGTGTTCAAACTAGATGGTATTACATAACCGAATGAATCGAGGCGCAGTACTTACCACTTCATGGCGGCTCCCGCCACGAACGAACCGCGCCGTCACTTGCCATGATTTTATGGCGGTAGCACCGGTATATTCACACAGTCATGTACCAGTTTTAGTTTTCCATGCGGAATTATATCTACTTAAACCTGGAACCTAACCCCAAATTAATCAAAACTGTATCCATAAGGAAGATGTTCCATTTTACCCAAAGTTTGTCACCATAAGGTATTCTGCCATTACAGCCTACATGCTATTATTTGTGGAAGCTCAGTTTTACCCACCATGGTTTTCAATTTGATTTTACGCTGCCTCACGCCATTGGTTTGTGGCAGCCAAAAAATCAGCCGCCATTAACATAAAAAATTATCTCAATTTCGCATAGCTTGGTCGAACTTTATCGGCAAATATTTATTTGGTAGGATTCAAAATTTTTGGAATTTGTTACCAATGTTTTGTTGAATGACTATCACTACCTGAATACGTTTCGACATAGGAAAACTATAGAGGATGTTTGTGTTTAATACACAGATGCAAGAAAAATAGAGTGCGGCTGTCTTCAAGTTTTAAAAAAATTAAACCAAAAAATCACTGCGTCGCACTATCGGCCTTCAATTTGTTAATTGTACGCATTTTTCATTTCTATAGAGGTATAGAGAACAGGAAATATTTATTCCGCTATCGCAAAATGCGAGATAAACGCACACTAACTAATAAGTAATGCATTTCCACCTATTATAAAAGTATTTTTATTACGAATAAAAGTTTCATAACAGACCGTGTTATTCATATATAATATGAAAAGTCAAAAAATTTTCAGATGTCTCAGTAATATTCAATATTCTCGTCCAACTACGCTTCCTTATTAGACATTGTTATTCCTGTCTATTGGCCAGTGATATAACTAACTACCGACGGGTGGTTTCATCTTGAGCCAATTTACGCCAATAAAATGTTGGTGTGCATATGTGTGGTAGCACTAACATTAAATAATATTGTAAAAATTGTCTGATATTTCCTTGCGACCGATTTGATTTTCAAACGGGAAACAAACGGGCGACGTGAATGATCGTGAATTATTAAAGGAAGTAAATGACGAATAACTCAAATATTTGATTTAGTTATACAAGATCCTTTCTTTCAGAGCAGGAAGTAAGACGTCCGAAAGTATCGTTTCGTCTCAATTTATTCTTCACAATCAACTTTGCAAACGATTGAAGCGTAATGGACCGTCATATAGGTACAAATGATCTTTTTCAATTACAAATAGTCTCACAGGTTGGTGAAGAAAATGCAAAGCATTACAAAATTTTGACAAAGTTGGTCGGGATGGGAATTTGTCCCCAATAGCCATTTGAATTGGTCAAAATCAAGGCTTTTCAGTATAACTCTGGCGTACATGAAAAGCTAAAGATGAAGGCGCACCAATTCAGTGTTGACTAGCTTTACCATAGATATCTTTCATCAAAATCTATGCCAAAGGCTAACATCTTTTCAGGATAAATATTATACAAACAAGAAAGTAGACCAATAATTGACGCCAAACAACCAGGGGCCTAGCCAGAAATTTTCAAAGGCGGGTGTTCTGAATTTTTTTGCCAAGTTAGATCGAAACCGCTAACGGGTCCGATCGAACGCTGGAATAGGCGTGTTTTTAGTAGTCTTGGGGGGCCTAAAAAGCATTTCAAGTTACAGAAAATTGCTATATTTGATACAAAAAAATGATTTCCTTTTTTTATATTATAAAAAAAAAAGGGGGGGGGGGTCGACCCGCCAACCACCCCCTGGTTACGCCACTGCAAACAATAGACTTTGTGCCAATTTACAAAAAAATTATTAAACGAATTCATTCAAATCATTACCACTCTTTCTATCTCAGACAATATTTTCAAAATCTCCGGGCTACGTATTAAAATATGTTTGGCACCCTTTCAATATCTTGGAATTCCATATTCATTAATTTTAACCACTGATGCCACTAATTGTTTTCACCTACCTTTCAATAAATTACTTTATATACAAAAATGCAAGCCAATTTAGGCGACACTAAAACATCAAAAACCAGAATAATTTTATTGGAGAACATTTTCATATATAAAGGCTCTTCACAACCTGTCACTCATAAGTTATGAGGTGGTATGCCTCAGATTTAGAATGACCAGAACCTTTCCATTTCGGCATCTTATACATTCAATTTTATCAGCTGTAGGTAGGCTAAGTAAGCTAGTGGACATGGGTTGAACATCAGATCAAAACTGACATCCTCAACATGGTTAAATCCAAATCAGAGACCATTAGTACATTCCAAAATCAAGGAACACCACACTTCGAAACATTTATTTCACGCTTTCCTAAGAATGGATGTCAGATGAAGCATTTCCAGACATGCCTTTTATAAAATTCGGACACTCAATGAAAAGGATTACATGGGAACACAGAGAAGCCTAACTCAAGGCCTACGTTTCCAGTGCATGCTGAAAAAAGCATTCGCCTTGTGACCTGGCTCCGAATTTACAGTCTTGAACATTCGCGCATTGACCAATTTGGCCGCCGTAATATCGAGAATAATAATACGCAGTATTTTTATATTTGATAAAATATGTTATATCCATTATTAGTTTTATAACAAATCTAAATGATTTGTTCTTTCAGGTGGAGTAGACACCCCGGCTGACTGTGGTACTTTTGATATCTCAAATGCTGATCGACTGGGATTCTCGGAAGTAGAACTAGTCCAAATGGTAATAGACGGAGTAGAACTTATGATCAGCTGTGAGAAGAAATAGGAATCCGGACAGAGCATCGACTCCGACATCGACAAACAGAAGCAAAAGTAGACTGATGCAGTTTTCCCACTACCTTTCACAAAAGTTTACGGTCTTCATCTAAATTTATTCTATAGATTATGCTATAATGTCTGCAACTAGTATATATTACCTGCATGATTTACCGGTTATTTATTGATATTATTACACTCATATATATATTTGTTTGTCACATTCACGGTATATATTTGTTTCGGCTATTTAATTAGTATGACATTTCCATATAAGTAATTATAAACATTTAAATATTTATTTTTGGTTCTAAATATGTGATTTTTACTAGTATTAGCAAATTAAGTTACCGTAATTTAACATCACACTTTCGTTTGACGGATCCCTAGTTTTCTATATGTGTGATTTCCTAATTCATTATTTTATTTCGGTTTTAATTATTTAAATTGGTAATATTTATGAGTTTAATATTATGTTACTTAATGTTAAGTTAGAAAAATTATTAGTTATAAATAAAATATCATCATCTAGTACTTGATCTTTAGTTATAATATACCGAGCAACCAACAGCTATGTGAGGGATGAGGCGACAAGTAGATTACTGAAAAAGAAAGCGGATCATACCGCCAGCGCAGTCGAAGAAATTATCCTGGGTTAATGACACCTTCTTACTGTACATGTCTGTCCATGTCTATGTACTGTCCATCACCTACCTCTATTGATTGGCGGCTTTCGGTTCGGGTGTTATACCTATACTTCCTATTGTAACATACAATTGATGCAGCCACCATTCAGCACGGTCATAACACGGTACAGTTATCCAGTAAGCCCAATTGCAAATCATGAAGATATGTACAACTTTATTTTCAAATGTTACATCAGCGTAATTATCTTTTGTTCTTTATCGGATAATAATGGAAAACGTGTGTTGTCACTTTTTTATTGTTGTCATACGAATTCCTTTCATACATATATATATAAAATTTCAAGAGCATCAATTACAATATTTACCATTAATGACATTATTATAGCGAACATTTAAATAGAATATTAAACAAAAGTCACATTTCTAGTGAGCATGCAATGGATCAACACTTTCACTAATTTATAAATAATGCTTGGTTGAATAGTAAGTAAGCATTCCTTGAATATAGTGGATTGAAGTGTATCGACGAAAAGTATGATCTATGTTTGAGGCGTTTTGATTATATCTTTATTCAATTCTTTTGCTATAACCTCTCCTACTTGTGAACCTGTGGCCAGATCAGTTCCATTTGACTTCTGTTTTTTCGGACCTGCAGTAAAAGCGACAATAATTGTTGAGTGGAATGTTTATAAAAATCTTGAATCCAGTAAAGAACCAGTTAACACTATTTTATTTACAGGTAAGTAAGTAAGATTAATAAGTAAATGATACTCACATAATTTACAGCAAAATCTTACTGCGTAGTCCTCACAGCATATTCCCTCCGGTTGTTTTTCATTCTTGCAAATTAGGCCAACCTGAGTGTCCACCACCATGTCAACATTGCCACCCGATTGCCAGGAGTCCTGAGTTGCCACAACAATGGCATCAATCGCAGTTGGTTTCTCACATACCTTGTCCTGGTTTTGGCTTACCAGATCTGACAAAAGCTCGTAGTCGCCTGTACTGTCGGTAGGATCATCTACGTCATACCAGTCTGTCCAATCGTAGCCTTCTTCGTCGCACTTCGGCACTGCAATGAATACAAAAAAGTCATGTGGCCAGTTAGATAACATTTCAAATACCAAATAATATTGAATAGTTAACAGACGACATTGCCTTTAAAGGGCTTGTGTGGCGTATGGCAAATAAAGTGAATGAAAATTCCATCCAATGTAAACTTACATTTCGGACAGCAGAATCTGATTTTCAGATCTGGGCATTTTCTATCTCCTCGGTCATTGATACAGGCAACTCCTCCAGCGGGAGGTAAAATAACCAACTGTTGCGCCAATGGTGGTGGATCATTGGGATTTACCAACTCAAAGTGTTGCGCCACTGGATTTTCACATGGTTTCCTAGGAAAAGACGACCATGTCTCCCAATCACCAGTTACGCTTGGATCATCCCTGTCTAACCAACCGCTCCAATCCCCGTTTTGACATTTAGGGATAACACCAAGTTCTGTGACATACGAAAGATATTAGTTACAAATTTGAAAGATAAAAAAAAATTAACAAACACTAAAATAGATAAATACAAGTATATATGGGTTGACCCATTTTCAAACACACGTTTTTCGCTACAAATATTCATTGTCATTTTCAGATAAATCGTAAATGATATTATTGTATAGCATAATTTTGGCCATAATCCATACGTCAGCGCACTTGTATTCTAACTAAAGTACAGGATTTGTAAATCAACATTTTCTCATGTTAAACGAGTTTAAACGGAGAAATTGATATAAATTTTAATAAAACATTTGTTTAACTAAATGGGAGTATTTGTGCTTATGTGGCCTGGTAGGGCACTGGTCTAGCAACCATTATTACCAAATTTTTTAATCGTCACTGTTGTCGGAGATACCAAAATGCGAGCTGTATAAGATGTATAAGAATTTAGAACCTCTCAAACAATGTATTAAATAATTCTCGTGAAGATTATGTGCCTTCTTGTAATAAATTCGGTGTGTAAATTGTAAAATTTTGTATTATATTGTAAAAATATACTTACGGGCACTGCTCTGATCCACGAACATCAACACAGTAAAACAACAGGACAAAATAATTTTGAACATCATTTTTTAGCGATTTCGTTATTTGTTCAACTTTAAAACAAATAGGTATGGCAAAAGTCGGTTTGTGCTGCTAGCTTTATAGTAAAATAGCTCCGGTAATGAATCATTATATTAAACGCTGCTTGTTTTTGTAATAATAAAAAAAAGATGAGTAAAAATTACTCAATCAACTATTAGTGCACATTAATTAAAACTGCATAATTAAGAAAATTATATTCAAACGCAAATACGGTTTATTTAAACGTGTGTTACATCAACATGTATTAAACAGTTTTAAAGTGCAGCCTGTAATTTAGATCGACAACCGACAACCCAGTGTTCAAACTAGATGGTATTACATAACCGAATGAATCGAGGCGCAGTACTTACCACTTCATGGCGGCTCCCGCCACGAACGAACCGCGCCGTCACTTGCCATGATTTTATGGCGGTAGCACCGGTATATTCACACAGTCATGTACCAGTTTTAGTTTTCCATGCGGAATTATATCTACTTAAACCTGGAACCTAACCCCAAATTAATCAAAACTGTATCCATAAGGAAGATGTTCCATTTTACCCAAAGTTTGTCACCATAAGGTATTCTGCCATTACAGCCTACATGCTATGATTTGTGGAAGCTCAGTTTTACCCACCATGGTTTTCAATTTGATTTTACGCTGCCTCACGCCATTGGTTTGTGGCAGCCAAAAAATCAGCCGCCATTAACATAAAAAATTATCTCAATTTCGCATAGCTTGGTCGAACTTTATCGGCAAATATTTATTTGGTAGGATTCAAAATTTTTGGAATTTGTTACCAATGTTTTGTTGAATGACTATCACTACCTGAATACGTTTCGACATAGGAAAACTATAGAGGATGTTTGTGTTTAATACACAGATGCAAGAAAAATAGAGTGCGGCTGTCTTCAAGTTTTAAAAAAATTAAACCAAAAAATTACTGCGTCGCACTATCGGCCTTCAATTTGTTAATTGTACGCATTTTTCATTTCTATAGAGGTATAGAGAACAGGAAATATTTATTCCGCTATCGCAAAATGCGAGATAAACGCACACTAACTAATAAGTAATGCATTTCCACCTATTATAAAAGTATTTTTATTACGAATAAAAGTTTCATAACAGACCGTGTTATTCATATATAATATGAAAAGTCAAAAAATTTTCAGATGTCTCAGTAATATTCAATATTCTCGTCCAACTACGCTTCCTTATTAGACATTGTTATTCCTGTCTATTGGCCAGTGATATAACTAACTACCGACGGGTGGTTTCATCTTGAGCCAATTTACGCCAATAAAATGTTGGTTTGCATATGTGTGGTAGCACTAACATTAAATAATATTGTAAAAATTGTCTGATATTTCCTTGCGACCGATTTGATTTTCAAACGGGAAACAAACGGGCGACGTGAATGATCGTGAATTATTAAAGGAAGTAAATGACGAATAACTCAAATATTTGATTTAGTTATACAAGATCCTTTCTTTCAGAGCAGGAAGTAAGACGTCCGAAAGTATCGTTTCGTCTCAATTTATTCTTCACAATCAACTTTGCAAACGATTGAAGCGTAATGGACCGTCATATAGGTACAAATGATCTTTTTCAATTACAAATAGTCTCACAGGTTGGTGAAGAAAATGCAAAGCATTACAAAATTTTGACAAATTTGGTCGGGATGGGAATTTGTCCCCAATAGCCATTTGAATTGGTCAAAATCAAGGCTTTTCAGTATAACTCTGGCGTACATGAAAAGCTAAAGATGAAGGCGCACCAAGTCAGTGTTGACTAGCTTTACCATAGATATCTTTCATCAAAATCTATGCCAAGGCTAACATCTTTTCAGGATAAATATTATACAAACAAGAAAGTAGACCAATAATTGACGCCAAACAACCAGGGGCCTAGCCAGAAATTTTCAAAGGCGGGTGTTCTGAATTTTTTTGCCAAGTTAGATCGAAACCGCTAACGGGTCCGATCGAACGCTGGAATAGGCGTGTTTTTAGTAGTCTTGGGGGGCCTAAAAAGCATTTCAAGTTACAGAAAATTGCTATATTTGATACAAAAAAATGATTTCCTTTTTTATATTATAAAAAAGGGGGGGGGGGTCGACCCGCCAACCACCCCCTGGTTACGCCACTGCAAACAATAGACTTTGTGCCAATTTACAAAAAAATTATTAAACGAATTCATTCAAATCATTACCACTCTTTCTATCTCAGACAATATTTTCAAAATCTCCGGGCTACGTATTAAAATATGTTTGGCACCCTTTCAATATCTTGGAATTCCATATTCATTAATTTTAACCACTGATGCCACTAATTGTTTTCACCTACCTTTCAATAAATTACTTTATATACAAAAATGCAAGCCAATTTAGGCGACACTAAAACATCAAAAACCAGAATAATTTTATTGGAGAACATTTTCATATATAAAGGCTCTTCACAACCTGTCACTCATAAGTTATGAGGTGGTATGCCTCAGATTTAGAATGACCAGAACCTTTCCATTTCGGCATCTTATACATTCAATTTTATCAGCTGTAGGTAGGCTAAGTAAGCTAGTGGACATGGGTTGAACATCAGATCAAAACTGACATCCTCAACATGGTTAAATCCAAATCAGAGACCATTAGTACATTCCAAAATCAAGGAACACCACACTTCGAAACATTTATTTCACGCTTTCCTAAGAATGGATGTCAGATGAAGCATTTCCAGACATGCCTTTTATAAAATTCGGACACTCAATGAAAAGGATTACATGGGAACACAGAGAAGCCTAACTCAAGGCCTACGTTTCCAGTGCATGCTGAAAAAAGCATTCGCCTTGTGACCTGGCTCCGAATTTACAGTCTTGAACATTCGCGCATTGACCAATTTGGCCGCCGTAATATCGAGAATAATAATACGCAGTATTTTTATATTTGATAAAATATGTTATATCCATTATTAGTTTTATAACAAATCTAAATGATTTGTTCTTTCAGGTGGAGTAGACACCCCGGCTGACTGTGGTACTTTTGATATCTCAAATGCTGATCGACTGGGATTCTCGGAAGTAGAACTAGTCCAAATGGTAATAGACGGAGTAGAACTTATGATCAGCTGTGAGAAGAAATAGGAATCCGGACAGAGCATCGACTCCGACATCGACAAACAGAAGCAAAAGTAGACTGATGCAGTTTTCCCACTACCTTTCACAAAAGTTTACGGTCTTCATCTAAATTTATTCTATAGATTATGCTATAATGTCTGCAACTAGTATATATTACCTGCATGATTTACCGGTTATTTATTGATATTATTACACTCATATATATATTTGTTTGTCACATTCACGGTATATATTTGTTTCGGCTATTTAATTAGTATGACATTTCCATATAAGTAATTATAAACATTTAAATATTTATTTTTGGTTCTAAATATGTGATTTTTACTAGTATTAGCAAATTAAGTTACCGTAATTTAACATCACACTTTCGTTTGACGGATCCCTAGTTTTCTATATGTGTGATTTCCTAATTCATTATTTTATTTCGGTTTTAATTATTTAAATTGGTAATATTTATGAGTTTAATATTATGTTACTTAATGTTAAGTTAGAAAAATTATTAGTTATAAATAAAATATCATCATCTAGTACTTGATCTTTAGTTATAATATACCGAGCAACCAACAGCTATGTGAGGGATGAGGCGACAAGTAGATTACTGAAAAAGAAAGCGGATCATACCGCCAGCGCAGTCGAAGAAATTATCCTGGGTTAATGACACCTTCTTACTGTACATGTCTGTCCATGTCTATGTACTGTCCATCACCTACCTCTATTGATTGGCGGCTTTCGGTTCGGGTGTTATACCTATACTTCCTATTGTAACATACAATTGATGCAGCCACCATTCAGCACGGTCATAACACGGTACAGTTATCCAGTAAGCCCAATTGCAAATCATGAAGATATGTACAACTTTATTTTCAAATGTTACATCAGCGTAATTATCTTTTGTTCTTTATCGGATAATAATGGAAAACGTGTGTTGTCACTTTTTTATTGTTGTCATACGAATTCCTTTCATACATATATATATAAAATTTCAAGAGCATCAATTACAATATTTACCATTAATGACATTATTATAGCGAACATTTAAATAGAATATTAAACAAAAGTCACATTTCTAGTGAGCATGCAATGGATCAACACTTTCACTAATTTATAAATAATGCTTGGTTGAATAGTAAGTAAGCATTCCTTGAATATAGTGGATTGAAGTGTATCGACGAAAAGTATGATCTATGTTTGAGGCGTTTTGATTATATCTTTATTCAATTCTTTTGCTATAACCTCTCCTACTTGTGAACCTGTGGCCAGATCAGTTCCATTTGACTTCTGTTTTTTCGGACCTGCAGTAAAAGCGACAATAATTGTTGAGTGGAATGTTTATAAAAATCTTGAATCCAGTAAAGAACCAGTTAACACTATTTTATTTACAGGTAAGTAAGTAAGATTAATAAGTAAATGATACTCACATAATTTACAGCAAAATCTTACTGCGTAGTCCTCACAGCATATTCCCTCCGGTTGTTTTTCATTCTTGCAAATTAGGCCAACCTGAGTGTCCACCACCATGTCAACATTGCCACCCGATTGCCAGGAGTCCTGAGTTGCCACAACAATGGCATCAATCGCAGTTGGTTTCTCACATACCTTGTCCTGGTTTTGGCTTACCAGATCTGACAAAAGCTCGTAGTCGCCTGTACTGTCGGTAGGATCATCTACGTCATACCAGTCTGTCCAATCGTAGCCTTCTTCGTCGCACTTCGGCACTGCAATGAATACAAAAAAGTCATGTGGCCAGTTAGATAACATTTCAAATACCAAATAATATTGAATAGTTAACAGACGACATTGCCTTTAAAGGGCTTGTGTGGCGTATGGCAAATAAAGTGAATGAAAATTCCATCCAATGTAAACTTACATTTCGGACAGCAGAATCTGATTTTCAGATCTGGGCATTTTCTATCTCCTCGGTCATTGATACAGGCAACTCCTCCAGCGGGAGGTAAAATAACCAACTGTTGCGCCAATGGTGGTGGATCATTGGGATTTACCAACTCAAAGTGTTGCGCCACTGGATTTTCACATGGTTTCCTAGGAAAAGACGACCATGTCTCCCAATCACCAGTTACGCTTGGATCATCCCTGTTTAACCAACCGCTCCAATCCCCGTTTTGACATTTAGGGATAACACCGAGTTCTGTGACATACGAAAGATATTAGTTACAAATTTGAAAGATAAAAAAAAAATTAACAAACACTAAAATAGATAAATACAAGTATATATGGGTTGACCCATTTTCAAACACACGTTTTTCGCTACAAATATTCATTGTCATTTTCAGATAAATCGTAAATGATATTATTGTATAGCATAATTTTGGCCATAATCCATACGTCAGCGCACTTGTATTCTAACTAAAGTACAGGATTTGTAAATCAACATTTTCTCATGTTAAACGAGTTTAAACGGAGAAATTGATATAAATTTTAATAAAACATTTGTTTAACTAAATGGGAGTATTTGTGCTTATGTGGCCTGGTAGGGCACTGGTCTAGCAACCATTATTACCAAATTTTTTAATCGTCACTGTTGTCGGAGATACCAAAATGCGAGCTGTATAAGATGTATAAGAATTTAGAACCTCTCAAACAATGTATTAAATAATTCTCGTGAAGATTATGTGCCTTCTTGTAATAAATTCGGTGTGTAAATTGTAAAATTTTGTATTATATTGTAAAAATATACTTACGGGCACTGCTCTGATCCACGAACATCAACACAGTAAAACAACAGGACAAAATAATTTTGAACATCATTTTTTAGCGATTTCGTTATTTGTTCAACTTTAAAACAAATAGGTATGGCAAAAGTCGGTTTGTGCTGCTAGCTTTATAGTAAAATAGCTCCGGTAATGAATCATTATATTAACCGCTGCTTGTTTTTGTAATAATAAAAAAAGATGAGTAAAAATTACTCAATCAACTATTAGTGCACATTAATTAAAACTGCATAATTAAGAAAATTATATTCAAACGCAAATACGGTTTATTTAAACGTGTGTTACATCAACATGTATTAAACAGTTTTAAAGTGCAGCCTGTAATTTAGATCGACAACCGACAACCCAGTGTTCAAACTAGATGGTATTACATAACCGAATGAATCGAGGCGCAGTACTTACCACTTCATGGCGGCTCCCGCCACGAACGAACCGCGCCGTCACTTGCCATGATTTTATGGCGGTAGCACCGGTATATTCACACAGTCATGTACCAGTTTTAGTTTTCCATGCGGAATTATATCTACTTAAACCTGGAACCTAACCCCAAATTAATCAAAACTGTATCCATAAGGAAGATGTTCCATTTTACCCAAAGTTTGTCACCATAAGGTATTCTGCCATTACAGCCTACATGCTATGATTTGTGGAAGCTCAGTTTTACCCACCATGGTTTTCAATTTGATTTTACGCTGCCTCACGCCATTGGTTTGTGGCAGCCAAAAAATCAGCCGCCATTAACATAAAAAATTATCTCAATTTCGCATAGCTTGGTCGAACTTTATCGGCAAATATTTATTTGGTAGGATTCAAAATTTTTGGAATTTGTTACCAATGTTTTGTTGAATGACTATCACTACCTGAATACGTTTCGACATAGGAAAACTATAGAGGATGTTTGTGTTTAATACACAGATGCAAGAAAAATAGAGTGCGGCTGTCTTCAAGTTTTAAAAAAATTAAACCAAAAAATTACTGCGTCGCACTATCGGCCTTCAATTTGTTAATTGTACGCATTTTTCATTTCTATAGAGGTATAGAGAACAGGAAATATTTATTCCGCTATCGCAAAATGCGAGATAAACGCACACTAACTAATAAGTAATGCATTTCCACCTATTATAAAAGTATTTTTATTACGAATAAAAGTTTCATAACAGACCGTGTTATTCATATATAATATGAAAAGTCAAAAAATTTTCAGATGTCTCAGTAATATTCAATATTCTCGTCCAACTACGCTTCCTTATTAGACATTGTTATTCCTGTCTATTGGCCAGTGATATAACTAACTACCGACGGGTGGTTTCATCTTGAGCCAATTTACGCCAATAAAATGTTGGTTTGCATATGTGTGGTAGCACTAACATTAAATAATATTGTAAAAATTGTCTGATATTTCCTTGCGACCGATTTGATTTTCAAACGGGAAACAAACGGGCGACGTGAATGATCGTGAATTATTAAAGGAAGTAAATGACGAATAACTCAAATATTTGATTTAGTTATACAAGATCCTTTCTTTCAGAGCAGGAAGTAAGACGTCCGAAAGTATCGTTTCGTCTCAATTTATTCTTCACAATCAACTTTGCAAACGATTGAAGCGTAATGGACCGTCATATAGGTACAAATGATCTTTTTCAATTACAAATAGTCTCACAGGTTGGTGAAGAAAATGCAAAGCATTACAAAATTTTGACAAATTTGGTCGGGATGGGAATTTGTCCCCAATAGCCATTTGAATTGGTCAAAATCAAGGCTTTTCAGTATAACTCTGGCGTACATGAAAAGTTAAAGATGAAGGCGCACCAAGTCAGTGTTGACTAGCTTTACCATAGATATCTTTCATCAAAATCTATGCCAAGGCTAACATCTTTTCAGGATAAATATTATACAAACAAGAAAGTAGACCAATAATTGACGCCAAACAACCAGGGGCCTAGCCAGAAATTTTCAAAGGCGGGTGTTCTGAATTTTTTTTGCCAAGTTAGATCGAAACCGCTAACGGGTCCGATCGAACGCTGGAATAGGCGTGTTTTTAGTAGTCTTGGGGGGCCTAAAAAGCATTTCAAGTTACAGAAAATTGCTATATTTGATACAAAAAAATGATTTCCTTTTTTATATTATAAAAAAGGGGGGGGGGGGGGGGGCGACCCGCCAACCACCCCTGGTTACGCCACTGCAAACAATAGACTTTGTGCCAATTTACAAAAAAATTATTAAACGAATTCATTCAAATCATTACCACTCTTTCTATCTCAGACAATATTTTCAAAATCTCCGGGCTACGTATTAAAATATGTTTGGCACCCTTTCAATATCTTGGAATTCCATATTCATTAATTTTAACCACTGATGCCACTAATTGTTTTCACCTACCTTTCAATAAATTACTTTATATACAAAAATGCAAGCCAATTTAGGCGACACTAAAACATCAAAAACCAGAATAATTTTATTGGAGAACATTTTCATATATAAAGGCTCTTCACAACCTGTCACTCATAAGTTATGAGGTGGTATGCCTCAGATTTAGAATGACCAGAACCTTTCCATTTCGGCATCTTATACATTCAATTTTATCAGCTGTAGGTAGGCTAAGTAAGCTAGTGGACATGGGTTGAACATCAGATCAAAACTGACATCCTCAACATGGTTAAATCCAAATCAGAGACCATTAGTACATTCCAAAATCAAGGAACACCACACTTCGAAACATTTATTTCACGCTTTCCTAAGAATGGATGTCAGATGAAGCATTTCCAGACATGCCTTTTATAAAATTCGGACACTCAATGAAAAGGAATACATGGGAACACAGAGAAACCTAACTCAAGGCCTACGTTTCCAGTGCATGCTGAAAAAAGCATTCGCCTTGTGACCTGGCTCCGAATTTACAGTCTTGAACATTCGCGCATTGACCAATTTGGCCGCCGTAATATCGAGAATAATAATAGGCAGTCTTTTTATATTTGATAAAATATGTTATATCCATTATTAGTTTTATAACAAATCTAAATGATTTGTTCTTTCAGGTGGAGTAGACACCCCGGCTGACTGTGGTACTTTTGATATCTCAAATGCTGATCGACTGGGATTCTCGGAAGTAGAACTAGTCCAAATGGTAATAGACGGAGTAGAACTTATGATCAGCTGTGAGAAGAAATAGGAATCCGGACAGAGCATCGACTCCGACATCGACAAACAGAAGCAAAAGTAGACTGATGCAGTTTTCCCACTACCTTTCACAAAAGTTTACGGTCTTCATCTAAATTTATTCTATAGATTATGCTATAATGTCTGCAACTAGTATATATTACCTGCATGATTTACTGGTTATTTATTGATATTATTACACCCATATATATATTTATTTCTCCCATTCACGGTATATATTTGTTTCGGCTATTCAATTAGTATGACATTTCCATATAAGTAATTATAAACATTTAAATATTTATTTTTGGTTCTAAGTATGTGATTTTTTACTAGTATTAAGTTACCGTAATTTAACATCACACTTTCGTTTGACGGATCCCTAGTTTTCTATATGTGCGATTTCATAATTCATTATTTTACTTCGGTTTTAATTATTTAAATTGGCAATATTCATGATCATTGATCTTTGGTTATAATATACCGAACAATCAACAGCTATGTGAGGGATGAGGCGACGCGACAAGTAGATTACTGAAAAAGATAGCGGATCATACCGCCAGCGCAGTCGAAGAAATTATCCTGGGTTAATGACACCTTCTTACTGTACATCCAAGAACCATCACCTCTATTGATCGGCGGCTTTCGGTCGGGTGTTATACCTCTACGTTTTAATGTAACATGCAATTGATGCAACCACCATTCAGCACGGTCATAACACGGTACAGTTATCCAGTAAGACCAATTGCAAATCATGAAGATACGTACAATTTCATTTTTAAATGTTACATCAGTATAATTATCTTTAATTCTTTATCGGATAATAATGGAAAACGTATGTTGTCTCTTTTTTATTGTTGTCATACGAATTCTTTTCATACATATATATATATATATATACACATAAAATTTCAAGAGGATCACTTACAATATCTACCATTAATGACAATATTATAGCGAACATTTAAATAGAATATTAAACAAAAGTCACATTTCTAGTGAGCATGCAATGGATCAACACTTGCACTAATTTATAAATAATGCTTGGTTGAATAGTAAGTAAGCATTCCTTGAATATAGTGGATTGAAGTGTATCGTCGAAAAGTATGATCTATGTTTGAGGCGTTTTGATTATATCTTTATTCAATTCTTTTGCTATAACCTCTCCTACTTGTGAACCTGTGGTCAGATCAGTTCCAATTGGCTTCTGTTTTTTTGGACCTGCAGTAAAAGCGACAATAATTGTTGAGTGCAAAGTTTGTAAAAGACTTGAATCCAGTAACGAAACAGTTAACACTATTTTATTTACAGATAAGTAAGTGAGAATAATAAGTAAATGATACTCACATAATTTACAGCAAAATCTTACTGCGTAGTCCTCACAGCATATTCCCTCCGGTTGTTTTTCATTCTTGCAAATCAGGCCAACCTGAGTGTCCACCACCATGTCGACATTGCCACCCGATTGCCAGGGGTCCTGAGTTGCCACAACAATGGCATCAATCGCAGTTGGTTTCTCACATACCATGTGCTGGTTTTGGCTTACCAGATCTGACAAAAGCTCGTAGTCGCCTGTACTGTCGGTAGGATCATCTACGTCATACCAGTCTGTCCATTTGTACCCTTCTTCGTCGCATTTCGGCACTGCAACGAATACAAAAAAGTCATGTGGCCAGTTAGATAACATCTCAAATACCAAATAATATTGAATAGTTAACAGATGACAATATTTTTAAAGTGCTTGTTTGGCGTATGGCCAATGAAGTGAATGAAAGTTCCATCCAATGTAAACTTACATTTCGGACAGCAGAATCTGATTTTCAGATCTGGGCAATTTCTATCTCCTCGGCTATTGATACAGGCAACTCCTCCAGCGGGAGGTAAAATAACCAACTGTTGCGCCAATGGTGGTGGATCATTGGGATTTACCAACTCAAAGTGTTGCGCCACTGGATTTTCACATGGTTTCCTAGGAAAAGACGACCATGTCTCCCAATCACCATTTAAGCTTGGATCATCTCTGTCTAACCAACCGCTCCAATCCCCGTTTTGACATTTAGGGATAACACCAAGTTCTGTGACATACGAAAGATATTAGTTACAAATTTAAAAGATAAAAAAAATTAACAAACACTAAAATAGATAAATACAAGTATATATGGATTGCCCCATTTTCAAACACAAGTAAAAACAATCGTTCACCGTATTTTAATCGTTTTTCGCTACAAATATTTATTGCCATTTTCAGATAAATTGTAAATGATATTATTGTATAGCATAATTTTGGCCATAATCCATACGTCAGCGCACTTGTATTCTAACTGAAGTACAGGATTTGTAAAACCACATTTTCTCATGTTAAACGAGTTTAAACGGAGAAATTGATATAAATTTTGATAAAACATTTGTTTCACTAAGTGGGAGTATTTCTGCTTATGTGGCCTGTTAGGGCACTTACCTAATAAATTATTACCTAATAAAACATTTGTTTATCTAAATGGGAGTATTTGTGCTTATGTGGCCTGGTAGGGTACTGGTCTAGCAACCATTATTACCTAATAAAATTGTTTTTTAAATTTTTCCAATCGTCACTGTTGTCGGAGATACCAAAATGCGAGATGTATAAGGTGTATAAGAATTTAGAACCTTTCAAACAATGTATTAAATAGTTCTCGTGAAAATTATGTGCTTTTCTGTAATAAATTCGACATGCAAATTGTAAAATGTTGTATTATATTGTAAAAATATACTTACGGGCACTGCTCTGATCCACGAACATCAACACAGTAAAGCAACAGGACAAAACAATTTTGAACATGTTTTTTTGCCGATTTCGTTATTTGTTCAACTTTAAAACAAATAGGTATGGCAAAAGTCGGTTTGTGCTGCTAGCTTTATAGTAAAATAGTTCCGGTAATGAATCATTATATTAACCTCAGCTTGTTTTTTTAATAAAAAAAAATAGATGAGAAAAAGTATCTCAATCAACTATCAGTGCACATTAAAACTGCATAATGTAGAAAATTATATTCAAACGCAAATGCGGTTTATTTAAACGTGTGTTACATCAACATGTATTAAACAGTTTTAAAAATGTAGCCTGTAATTTAGATCGACAACCGACAACCCAGTGTTCAAACTAGATGGTATTACATAACCGAATGAATCGAGGCGCAGTACTATCACTTCATGGCGGCTCCTGCCACGAACGAACCGCGCCGTCACTTGCAATGATTTTATGGCGATAGCACCGGTATATTCACAAAGTCATGTACCAGTTTTAGTTTTCCATGCGGAATTATATATATCTACTTAAACCTGGAACCTAATTAATCAAAACTGTATCCATAAAGAAAATGTTCCATTTTACCCAAAGTTTGTCACCATAAGGAGTCCTGTCACTACAGCCTTCATGCTATGATTTGTGGAAGCACAATTTTACCCACCATGATTTTCAATTTGTTTCCGTGGTACCCGGCCTCACGCCATTGGTTTGTGGCAGCCAAAAAATCAGCCGCTATTAACATGAAGAATTATCTCAATTTCGCACAGCTTGGTCGAACTTTATCGGCAAATATTTATTTGGTAGTATCTAAATTTTTTGGAATTTAGTTACCAATGTTTTGTTGAATGACTATCGCTACCTGAATACGTTTCGACATAGGAAAACTATAGAGGATGTTTGTGTTTAATACACAGATGCAAGAAAAATAGAGTGCGTCTGTCTTCAAGTTTTGAAAAAATTAAACAAAAAAAAAATCACTGCGTCGCACTATCGGCCTTTGGTTTGTTAATTGTACGCAGGTATAGAGAACAGGAAATATTTATTCCGCTATCGCAAAAAGCGAGATAAACGCACAATAACTAATAAGTAATGCATTTCCACCTATTATAAAAGTATTTGTATCACGAATAAAAGTTTCATAACATATCGTGTTATTCATATATTATATAAAAAGTCAAAAAAATTCCAGATGTCTCAGTAATATTCAATATTCTTGTCCAACTACGCTTCTATATTAGACATTGTTATCCCTGTCTATTGGTCAGTGATATAACTAACTACCGATGAGTGGTTTCATCTTGAGCCAATTTACGCCAATAAAATGTTGGTTTGCATATGTGTGGTAGCACTAACATTAAATAATATTGTAAAAATTGTCTGATATTTCCTTGCGACCGATTTGATTTTCAAACGGGAAACAAACAGGCGACGTGAATGATCGTGAATTATGAAAGGAAATAAATGACGAATAACTCAAATATTTGATTTAGTTATACAAGATCCTTTCTTTCAGAGCAGGAAGTAAGACGTCCGAAAGTATTGTTTCGTCTCAATTTATTCTTCACAATTAGCTTTGCAAACGATTGAAGCGTAATGGACCGTCATATAGGTACAAATGATCTTTTTAATTACAAAATAGTATCACAGGTTGTAAAGAAAATGCAAAGCATTACAAAATTCGACAAATTTGGTCGGGATGGGAATTTGTCTCCAATAGCCAATTGAATCAGTCAAAATCAAGCCTTTTCAGTATAACTCTGGCGTACATGAAAGGCTAAATTTGAAGGCGCACCAATTCAGTGTTGACTAGCTTTACCATAGATATCTTTCATCAAAATCTATGCCAAAAGCTAACATCTTTTCAGGATAAATATTATACAAACAAAAAAGTAGACCAATAATTTAAGACAAACTACAGACTTTGTGCCAATTCAAAGAAAATGTATCAAACGAATTTATTCAAATCATCATCACTCTTTCTATCTCAGACAATATTTTCAAAATCTCCGGGCTACGTATTAAAATATGTTTGGCACCCTTTCAATATCTTGGAATTACATATTCATTAATTTTAACCACTGATGCCACTAACTGATTTCACCTACCTTTCAATAAATTACTTTGTGTACAAAAATGCAAGCCAATTTAAGCGACACTAAAACATCAAAAACCAGAGTAATGTTATTGAGGGAGAACATTTTCTTAGATAAAGGCTCTTCACAACCTGTCACTCATAACATAAGTTATGAGGTGGTATGCCTCAGATTTAGAATGACCAGAACCTTTCCATTTCGGCATCTCATACATTCAATTTTATCAGCTGTAGGTAGGCTAAGTAAGCTAGTGGACATGGGTTGAACATCAGATCAAAACTGACATCCTCAACATGGTTAAATCCAAATCAGAGACCATTAGTACATTCCAAAATCAAGGAACACCACACTTCGAAACATTTATTTCACGCTTTCCTAGGAATGGATGTCAGATGAAGCATTTCCAGACATGCATTTTATAAAATTCGGACACTCAATGAAAAGGAATACATGGGAACACAGAGAAACCTAACTCAAGGCCTACGTTTCCAGTGCATGCTGAAAAAAGCATTCGCCTTGTGACCTGGCTCCGAATTTACAGTCTTGAACATTCGCGCATTGACCAATTTGGCCGCCGTAATATCGAGAATAATAATACGCAGTATTTTTATATTTGATAAAATATGTTATATCTATTATTAGTTTTGATAACAAATCTAAATGATTTGTTCTTCCAGGTGGAGTAGACACCCCGGCTGACTGAGACTGAGTAGAACTTATGATTAGCTGTGAGAAGAAATTGGAATCCGGACAGAGCATCGACTCCGACGTCGACAAACAGAAGCAAAAGTAGACTGATGCAGTTTTCCCACTACCTTTCACAAAATTTTACGGTCTTCATCTAAATTTATTCTATAGATTATGCTATAATGTCTGCAACTAGTATATATTACCTGCATGATTTACCGGTTATTTATCAATATTATTACACCCATATATATATTTATTTGTAACATTCACGGTATATATTTGTTTCTGCTATTTAATTAATATGGTATTTTCATATAAGTAATTAAAAACATTTAAATATTTATTTTAAGTTCCAAATATGTGATTTTTTACTAGTATTAGAAAACTAAGTTACCGTAATTTAATATCACATTTTCGTTTGACGGATTCCTAGTTTTCTATATATATGTGCGATTTCATAATTCATTATATTATTTCAGTTTTAATTATTTAAATGGGCTATATTCTTGAGTTCAATATTATGTTACTTAATGTTGAGTTAGAAAAATTATTACTAATAAATAAAATATCATCATCTAGTTCTTGATCTTTGGTTATAATAAACCGAGCAACCAACAGCTATGTGAGAGATGAGGCGACGCGACAAGTAGATAACTGAAAAAGAAGGCAGATCATACCGCCAGCGCACTCGAAGAAATTATCTAGGGTTAATGACACCTTCTTACTGTACATCCAAGAACCATCACCTCTATTGATCGGCGGCTTTCGGTCGCATGTTATACTTATACGTTCTATTGTAACATGAAATTGATGCAGCCACCATTCAGCACGGTCATAACGCGGTACAGTTATCCAGTAAGCCCAATTGCAAATCATGAAGATATGTACAATTTCATTTTCAAATGTTACATCAGCATAATTATCTTTAGTTCTTTATCGGATAATAATGGAAAACGTATGTTGTCACTTTTTATTGTTGTCCTACGAATTCCTTTCATACATATATATATATATATACATAAAATTTCAAGAGCATCACTTACAATATTTACCATTAATGACATTATTATAGCGAACATTTAAATAAAATATTAAACAAAAGTCACATTTCTAGTGAGCATGCAATGGATCAACACTTGCACTAATTTATAAATAATGCTTGATTGAATAGTAAGTAAGCATTCCTTGAATATAGTGGATTGAAGTGTATCGACGAAAAGTATGATCTATGTTTGAGGCGTTTTGATTATGTCTTTATTTAATTCTTTTGCTATAACCTCTCCTACTTGTGAACCTGTGGCCAGATCAGTTCCATTTGGCTTCCTGTTCTTCGGACCTGCAGTAAAAGCGACAATAATTGTTGAGTGGAAAGCTTATAAAAAACTTAAATCCAGTAAAGAACCAGTTAACACTATTTTATTTACAGGTAAGTAAGTGAGATTAATAAGTAAATGATACTCACATAATTTACAGCAAAATCTTACTGCGTAGTCCTCACAGCATATTCCCTCCGGTTGTTTTTCATTCTTGCAAATTAGGCCAACCTGAGTGTTCACCACCATGTCAACATTGCCACCCGATTGCCAGGAGTCCTGAGTTGCCACAACGATGGCATCAATCGCAGTTGGTTTCTCACATACCCTGTCCTGGTTTTGGCTTACCAGATCTGACAAAAGCTCGTAGTCACCTGTACTGTCGGTAGGATCATCTACGTCATACCAGTCTGTCCAATCGTACCCTTCCTCGTCGCACTTCGGCGCTGCAACGAATACAAAAAAGTCGTGTGGCCAGTTAGATAACATCTCAAATACCAAATAACATTGAATAGTTAACAGACGACATTGCCTTTAAAGGGCTTGTGTGGCGTATGGCAAATAAAGTGAATAAAAATTCCATCCAATGTAAACTTACATTTCGGACAGCAGAATCTGATTTTCAGATCTGGGCATTTTCTATCTCCTCGGTCATTGATACAGGCAACTCCTCCAGTGGGAGGATAAATAACCAACTGTTGCGCCAATGGTGGTGGATCATTGGGATTTACCAACTCAAAGTGTTGCGCCACTGGATTTTCACATGGTTTCCTAGGAAAAGACGACCATGTCTCCCAATCACCAGTTACGCTTGGATCATCCCTGTCTAACCAACCGCTCCAATCCCCGTTTTGACATTTAGGGATAACACCGAGTTCTGTGACATACGAAAGATATTAGTTACAAATTTGAAAGATAAAAAAAAAATTAACAAACACTAAAATAGATAAATACAAGTATATATGGGTTGACCCATTTTCAAACACAAGTAAAAGCAATCGTTCACCGTATTTTAATCGTTTT